GCATATAGGAATATGTCTAAAACATTGTCCCCCTATAGAGGGATGACAACAGGTAGTTCAATACCTGTGAGGAGATCATATCCTCAATCTAACCAGTTGTATCATCCGATACAATATGAGGTTAGGCACCCAGAAATGCCCAAACCAGGAGCTGACCCCTCTAGAGGGGCTCCCATGGAGAAGGGAGTAACTCCCAAGAAAGAGACATATCCCATAAACTACAGGAGGAGACCTCCAACCCCTGGTACATCTGGGGGAGTCAAGAGGGACAATGTTCATCCCATCAACAATAAGTCAAAACAACCCCAGTCTGGGGGAGGCCTGACTTGTTACATTTGTAACAAGTCCAGTCATTGGGCAAATACTTGCCCTCAACAAAGAGATGTGGGTCTCGCAGCACCCCAAATGATCAAGGGTTTAGAATACATCCTTGAGGATGATGGCATACATGCCATATTGATGGGACCTCATCTAGATGATGAACCCAAGGATCTTCATCCTGAGGATGATATAGGTGACTACAACCTGGAGGATGAAGAGTTTGATCATCCTCCAATACATGAGTCCACCAACATCAAAGATGTTGAAGATGTCCCAGTGGAGAACATCATACCTGCTAACATGTGGGTTATGTTGATTAAGCCTGTTGGCTTACTGGTGGTATGAGCAGGATCTGCTCATACTAAGTTTGCAGCTGCAAAGGATGTAAAGCCAGAGATCTGGCGAAGGGATGGCACTGCATTGTCCCCCATCAAATGCTCTATTAGCATCGCTGGGCACCCTGCATTTGCCCTGCTGGACAGTGGTGTGGAGATTGATATGATCTCTGCTGACTTTGTCCAAGCCCATGGCTTGGAATATATTAAACTGGATAATCCAGTTGCCCTACAACAGATGAGTAGGGGCAGTTGTACTGTGATTCAGTACAGTGTCAATGCCAAGATTGACATTGGTGACAGAGTAGTGGAACACTACTTTGACGTTGTCAATACTGACAAATACCAAGTGATCCTTGGTATGCCTTTTGGCAAGAAGTTCAAGATCTTATTAGATCTCAGTAGAAAAGGCCTCCATCTTGGAGGCCCTATGGGGAAATGGATAGCCTTGGGAGAGGCATTATCTGTAGGAATATGGGACAGCATCCTGAAGATGAAGCTGACTTTCAAAAGGGAAGTCAAACACCCCAACCACATTGGGGTCAAGCATGTGCTCACAGCATGAGCATCCACTCCCCTGGCCCTGAAGGGTACTAGGGAAACAATGTCTTCCTATGGGGAAGAAATGTTACAAAAGATAAGAGAGACTCTTATCAACAATATAAAGGATCTCATGGGTGAGACCCCACAACAGTTCCCTCCTTTGAGGGAAGTTAATCATCACATCAACCTGATTGATGATAAAAAACAGTATAGGACTCATTGTCCTGCCTGCCCTGAGGTACTCAGGGATGAGCTTCATGAGAAGACTCGGTGGTACATTGCTGCCAACTGGTGGGTACCAGCCCAAACACAGCAAGCATTGCCCATGCTGTGTATTCTGAAATGGAACGGTCGACTCAGAACAACTGTTGACTGTCAAGAGAGAACCTCAAACATGGTGAAGGATGTTACACCAATGCTGGATCAGGATGAGATCCATAGATGGGTGGCCCAACACCCATTCAGATCTAAATTAGATCTTTGAAACATGTTTGAAATGCTTTGAGTGCACCCAGATGATGTCTGGAAAACTGTGTTTCAAAATCCATTTGGAACATTCATTAGCCAAGTTGGCCAACAAGGGGATTGCAATCTCCCTGCATCATTCCAATGCATGATGATGCACATCCTGCATGAGCACTGGATGCAAAAGGTAGTTTGCTACCTTGATGACATTTTGTCATTGGCTCCACTTTAAGTGAAGCTACTGCAAATCTTAGGATAGTTTTCAATATCCTAAGAAAAGAGAAGCTTTACTTGTCCATGGACAAGGTTGACTTGCTGTCTCCCAGCATTGAGTGTCTTGGACACAAGATCACAGATGAGGGCATCTACACAGATGACAACAAGATGTCTGTCATCTGGAATGCAAAGTTCCCAAAGGACGCCAAAGGAATGCAGTGCTTCCTTGGCATGATGACCTATCTGGCACCATATTTTTCAGATGTAGCTAAATACACTGGACTGTTGTCCTTGTTGACACACCAAAATAGGAGTTATGATGTAACTCCTATGCATGAAACTTGTTTCAAGAAGATTCTTTGCCTGGCTACAGACTACCTGGTGCTGAAGCCTATCAATCCCAAAAATGGGATCCCCATCTTCATCATAGTAGACACATCCACCAGCAGGTAGGATGTTATTATGGCCAGGGGCCATTGTGGGACAAAGTCCAACCTGCTGGATTCCATTCCAGATGCTTTACAAGTGCCCAATCGCGGTACCCTACCTACCAGCATGAATTGCTGGTGGTATTGGAAGCTCTCAACAAGTGGGAGAATGATTTAATGGGCATTCCCATTACTATTTGCATGATATGTGCTCAGGAATACCTGCAGTGCTTTAATATAATCAAGATTCTCCATATTCCTGGAGATCATAACAAGTTAGCAGACTGGATGTCATGCTCAGATGGTCCTACTGAGACTGTCTCTGCTGATATGTGGATAGACAAGGAGATGGAAGATGCCTCCTCAGATCATCTTGCTGAGCTGCAACAAACAGTTGTGGTGCATCAGATGATGACAAGATTCAAGGGTACAAAGGTACCCCCAAGGGAACAACTCATTCCTGAATTCCCCTTGCTGGTATGCAAGAAACTGCATGTCCCTCAGGGACGAGTTGAACAAAGAGTTCATCAAAGTGCTGAACTCAACAGCAGTCATGCTGACCATTCCAATGCTATGGTGATCACCCCTTCTGCTGCAGAGGCAGGAGTCAAACATGTTCAGGCTGGGATACAGCCTGAGGATCCAACCCATGCTCCTACAGGGGAAGTGGCAATGCTACCAAGCCTTGGCTCACCTATACACATAACGGAAACTTTGAGTGTCCAGCTGTGTGGATATTCTGCTCTGATACAAGCAATAAAACATGCCTATATGGTGGATGCCTTCTACCAGAAGGCAGTAGCACAAGCGCCAAAGAACAAACAGTGGTTTGTCAAAGACAACCTGCTGTATATGCATCACCCAGAAGGTGATGTAGCTCTGTATGTGCCTAATGGACAGTACAATGGGCAATCTATATGATTTCTCCTCATAGCCAATGCTCATATGAGCATTGGCCATTATGGCAATAGGAAGACACTAGCCTTCCTTCAACACCAATTTTGGTGGACATCTGTTGCTAAAGACATGAAAAAGATTTGCAGGACTTGCCTGCGTTGCCAGATGGCAAAGGATAGCATGGCAAAGCCTTCTGGCCTTCTCTATCCCCTCCCTATCTCTGGAGCTCCTTGGAGCTCCATAGCAATGGACTTTATGGGTCCTCTCCCTCTATCAGAGGGATCTGACTACTTGTTAGTAGTCATATGTCAGTTGACAGCAATGGTACATCTAATACCTTCAGCTGATGTTGCATGAGTATTTGCTTGGGAAATCATGTGTTTGCACAGTGTACCAGATATTATTGTCTCAGACAGAGACTCTAAGTTCACTGCCATATTCTGGCAGGCATTGCATAAGCAACTCGGTATGACATTGCTTATGTCAACCTCATTCCATCCTCAAATGGATGGAATGACCAAGCAGATGAGACGCTCGGTTGCACAAATGCTACAAATGGTCATAGCAGATGACCAGTCTGACTGGTGTGAGCATCTACCTATGGTAGAATATTTGATCAATGCTAGCATAAGCACTAGCACCACATTCAGTCCTTTTGAACTGAATTATGGACATGTTCCATCCATAACACAGATCATAAGGCACTCTGAGTCAGAGTACTAAGGCATAGATTGTTTTGTGCAGTGTGCACAATATGCAGTACATATTGCAACAGATGCAATAATCAAAGCCCAAGTAAATCAGGCTTATCACGCTGATAAGTGTTGATAGGCTTTGCCTGGATATGAGAAAGGAGACATGGTCTTCCTTTCCATGCATAACTTGGCAGTTCCAAAGAACTGGGCAGTAAAACTACTGCCAAGGTATATCGGACCTTTCCATATCAAAAAGGTCATGGATACAGACAATTGTCTGTTAGCTCTCTCCAAGAGCATGATGAAACGTGGGATACACCCAACATTCCATATGAGCCTACTAAGGCCTTATGTCTGTGGTGATGACATACTCTTCCCAGGAAGAAATCCAGATACCATTTACAGTAATGCACCGGATGGCAAACAGATCATCATTGGAGGCAATGCAAGTTGCAATTCCACTTTATTTGGTCTGACAGGGACCAATCGTGGGAGTCTGCCAGTAAAGCAGACCGACTCACCCAACTGGATGAGTATCTGGAGCTTCAGGGCATGAAGACTCCAGAGGAGCTCCCAAAAAGGGATCCTCAGGGATAATGTCATTGTTAGCCCACATGACTAACAATGGAAGGACAGAGCGATGGATGCTTCCGACGGTGGACCGTGGGTATGCTGATCGACTACAAACAGCTCGGTCTCTGGCTGTTCACTCGTTCCAGAGTTTGGGCCTCCACAGCCATCGATATAGTTGGCCAACGAGAACGCTTCATGCTTCTCCTTCTTCTCCTCACATCCGCCTCTCCGTCACAGCTGGGGATGAACACCGCTATAAAAAATACAATCGACGCCGACGGTCAACCCACTCTCACATTCGATCCGATCACTCTCGAACCGTTTGGACGAGATCCCCAGCACAGATCTCTTCCGCATTACCGCTCGGCGTTTGCATACACAAGCAGTGCTCCTTAGTGGGACGTGGCACAACGGTCTATCGCACGCGATATGCATCGGAAGACGTCGTGGTGAAGGTCTGCTTTCCCCCGAAGACCAGGAAATCGGAGGTCGAATTCATCGCTCGACTCCGACAGTACGCCGACATTATGGACATGGTCCCAGCGGTCTTCGCCCATAGTACTATCGAAATGCCCGACTTCCTCGAACTTGTCCTCCGCTCCAAATCCAAGCCCAACGTCGAAGCTGGCGTGCGCGAGATGAGAGTGTTTGTCATGACGCGATACCAGACACTTTCTGAGGTTACCTCTGCGGATGATCTGTTATCCATTATCAGAGATATCGGGCGCTGTGAGTCTCATGCTGCACCTCACTGAACTGAAATACTTACGTGAGATCATCAGGCCATACCCATGCTTACCTTGAGGCCCGCCTCCTGCATCGCGATATATCGTTCAATAATATCGGTTGGTATCGGGATGAAAAGGGAAAGGCGAGAGGCGTGCTGCTTGATTGGGATTTGGCAGCTGAAGTGAACGAAGCAGGGGAGCCAATGGGAGCTACTGCCCGGCACCGAACAGGAACGCCAGCATATATGTCTATGCGACTACTTGAGTCTCATGACAGCAGCCATGAACCGGTGGACGACAAAGAATCGCTGTTCTGGGTCATGGTGAGCGCAATGACGAAGAAGCACCTCCATGGATCAAAGTTTTTCAAGGCGTTCCGGCGTGGTGGTCAAGACATGTGGGCGCAAATTGCCCGAGAGAAGAAAGCCTTTCTCGAGAATCTCTTGAGGCCCAAGGGTAGCAAGTGGCCGGAACACGTGCACGAGAACTTCCATGAACTGCTCCCAACTATTATTCACTGGGCTACGGACCTCCATTGGTTTTCCATGTTGTTGTCCATGGCCGAGGTGCCTAATCACCCATTTTGGAACAACAGGGGGGGGGGGGTCACAGGAGAGCTCGCACAGGCAAAATCGAAGTTGATTAGACTGGAGGCTTTGTTCGGATTCGACGATCATATTCCTGTTGGTGCATAACTTGTAATATTAAATAATACAGTACAAACAACGCATTTCCTCCCGATGGAGGTAAACAAGTTTGCCTCCGCATTAATATTGTCAGTATTAGTACAAGCATTCTGTCATTCAATTGACCTTAAGCTTCATCAAACACAGAGTATGGCAAAAGAAGCATTCGTCTTCGTTGAGGATCTCGATAATATCACAGCGTATGATGTCACAGGTCTCAAGATCGCTTTCGACCTGAAAGCATTAGGGAAGCAAACCTGGGGGAAAGGGGATTGGCCCTCCCGCGTCTGAGTCTGTATAATGCAAGTCTGGCTGTGATCGTAATCTATGTGGCTTTATGAATGATACAACTCCAGGTTGCAAATCTTTACATACGTAATCAAGACGAATTGTTGGATGAGCGGAAGCGGGATGCTATATTCGTAAGGTCGAGGTTGAAAACCTTCGAGCCTATTACGACTACCCCGGAAGATTGTGTGCACTATGTTCTTGCTCTGACACCAATAAGTGAGCTATGACTATTCTAAGGAACATTGGGCTAATGTGTTTACCTGTTTTCAGAGCGAAAACACACCGAGACAAGCTCCTCGGTTTCTGGTAGGAAGGGCCAAAAGAGGCGAACATCTCATCACAGTGAGCCGTCCCAGTATTATCTTTTCTGACCTTCTGAATTGAACACACCTTGCAGTACAAGAACCTCTACTTCAATTTATTCGCAACGCCCCACCTCCATCTGTTTCTGCTCAGCCATCTATTTTCATGAGTCGACAGAAAAAGGATTTTGCTGTGCTTAACGGCCGCCCAGCGGACAAGATTGGCCCTTCCACAACTCTATACTTCGAGGGATTCGGTCAATTTCTCGAGGAGCTGGCGCGTCCTTCCCACTCACTACCAGAGGAATTCAGTGCCGAAGAGTTGCACGAAGCGGACAAGCTCATGGGTGCCTCGGTCAATTTCTACGAGACTGAACAGGGACGGAGGAACGCTATGGAGCCACCGATGGACAAGCTTCTTGGTGGGATGCTAGTCCAGATCAAGCTGGCCACCGGTGCGACTGGGACCGGCTCTATTATTGCACCTTGTTTCTCGTCCTATCCGTATCAGATAATCACAGCAGCGGTCGAGTGGGACAACGAGCTTGCATCGGGCGAGTCCGATGCTGGTCTTCAAGCACAGTTAACAATGGAGAAAGATTGGGCGGAGGAGAGGGTACGTTGTTATACAATCTTGAGCATTGAGGCCATATCGATTCTGATTTTACATAGATGGCACTCGTTAGGATGGTATCCTGTTGCCCTTCTGTGCTGCTTTCAGTTGTTGGCCCCTACATCCAGATATCCGCCATGGTCCACCTGGATGCAACGGTAGTCGAACCTTTGACAGATTACATCACGTTACAGCGTGGATCGGATTGCCCACAGTCCATCAGGCGCATCTGTCACATCTTTGCATGCATTCGACGTCTACTTCATACACTGCACGAGCACTACAAGCATCTGAAACTGCCTCCAACCAAGCCTACAGGTCAGCATTCACCCGACGGGCACAGTGTGTCGTCCCAAAACGATAATCCGTACTTGCCATGTCACACAAAAGTTGGCGGCAAGCACTTGACGTACAAAGGAGCGCTCGAAGGTTATCCAGCCTCGAGGCACATATTCGAAGCTGAACTTGACGGCCAGCCTGTCGTGGTCAAGTTCACCGCGTCATACAGTGCTGAAGCGCACCGAATCCTGGCCAATGCCGGTTTGGCACCCCCCGTGCTCTATTTCGAACGTATTCCTGGAGGACTATTCCAAGTCGTAATGAGCTTTATCCAAGGTTCCACGCTGTACGACTATCTTACAGACCACCAACCCTCCCCGAAAAGTGTCCAGAATATTATATCCAAGACCGAAGAAGGCCTAGTGCTCTTACACCGAGCAGGATACGTGTTCGGAGACTTACGTACGCCGAATCTAATGCTTCCAGACTCGGGCGGGTTTATGTTCATAGACTGGGACATGGCAGGAAGGGAAGGCGTACCACGATGGCCACCGAACTTGAATCGGGAAATATTTTGGCCCGAGGGAGTGAAAAATGGCGGATTCATAACTCAGGCGAATGACCTCGCCATGTTGGAGCTGCTCCGTCACGAGATTTGAAGCCTTGTGTCAATACGAGCAGCTGGATATGCGCAGCGCACATGGCTGGGAAGGGACTGCGCGTAGCTGCGCCCTGAGTGAGAAGCTTCAAAGAGAACTTGCGGCGGGAACGTGCGCGCTAAGAGCAGACAACTCGGACCGGTATGCAGGAAGATGGGTTTCTGCTCCGATGGCCGACGAGGGGGTTCGAGCCCTCTCCTAGGCGGGAAGTTTGAGATTTCATCTGCGCAAGGGAAGGGATGAAGATATGTGCACACATATGCATCCAGGAGATGAGGGAGTTCCTCTGTAGTCCTTGGTGGAGCGTAGGGCTTCGTGAGTTGGAGGGGCCAGATCGAGACTATGTCATTCCTTGTTCGGGATTTCGATGTAGAACGGAGAATAAATACAACTCTTGACACTAAAGCTATACGTCATGCGTGCGTGCTAATGCTACAGTACCGTACTGTACGTTGCTTGCCCTATTCGTGTCACGAAGAACGGCAACAGCTACAAACAAACGGCCTGCGCTCACCGCCATGTATCATCAACCGTCACTTCCTCACTCTCTGGCGCCGTGTACTGCCTATTAGGATCACTCTCCCACGTCACTTGACCATTATATATCCTAATAAACTTATACTGGAAGCTCTCCCCGACCGGTACTTGAACAGTCACACTCCAATCGGGGTAGTTCGCCGCGCCAAGAGGGAGAGCGGCCGTGGTGCTCCAGTCAGCTAGTTGGGGGATCGACCCTGTGAGGTAGATGTTCTCCCCGTATTGGGTTGTGGCGGATTCGACGAATGTTATCTGGACTTGTGGGGGTTGGGGGCCGGGCTGACAGACGGAGGGGAGGGAGAGGGTTTGGGCGCCCCAGGAGGAGGGGGGGAGGGACGCTCGTGAGTCGGCCATGGAGAGGAAGGAGGCGTATGACCAGGTGCTACGCGGGAGGAAGTTAGCAGTGTTCCTTTGGATGGGGGATGGGTGAGGGACTCACAGATCACCAGCGGAGGTGGGAGTACCCGAGGATTTATGGAATTGCTCGCTCAGGCCTCCGTCTGAGGGGAGATACTGCTGTACAATGGAGACGAAGCCGTCTGCCATCCCCTGCACGCCTTGCACCAGCTGGGTATACGTCTCGTTAGAGGAGGCGTAGGTGCCGGAGGAGATGGAAGGGAGGAACTGGGCGAAGAAAGGCTGAGAGAGGGGGGTGACCGTTAGGTACCCTTGGGATGTCCAGGTCTGGAGCGAGGAGTAGAGTTGTTCTGCACAGGCCAGGGTGGTAAGGTACCATGGCTGTACGCAATCAGCCCACAGCAAACGAGAAAATTGAAATTGAGCGGCTCACGTTCCCGTTGTAATACACATCCTCTTTGTACCTCCCTACCGCCACAGACTGATCGGGCCCGTACTGGCTGTTCAAAGAGTACAGAGAGCGGAAAGAGTCCACAACGGCTTTATGGTTTGCAAGCGCCTTGTCAGAACAGGGCTGGAAGGTGTTACTATCGCACCCAGCTGCAATATCAAAGGCGTGTATCGAGGCTAGTACCGTGTTCGTATCCAGTCCAGAGCGGGAAGAGGGTAGGTTGATATTCGCCAACGCGTAGTTCCCGGTCCAGAAGGACTGCAAGAAGCAGAGGATGTTCCCCGCCTGCTGCTCCCACATCTGCGCCGTACTCGCGTCCTCGTATGTCTGAGCTAAAGGAGCAGCCTGATGTAACGCCCTCGCCTGACTGAGCAGGGTGAAGAAACTCGACCCGTCTTGTTCTTCCCACAGGTCAAAGCCCGTCATGTTCCAGTTCTGCGCCACATACCCCAGGTCGAGGGTGATCATGGGCCAGAGCGTGTTCCGTACGTAGCTCGTATTCCCCTGGCCGAGGAGGTAGGTAGCGTACGTGAGCATAGAGATTGCGCGAAGAGCAGGACCGTCCCTTTGCGGCCTTCCCCATGCGCCGGTGAACGCAGTCAGATCCGGGTTGAACTTTGGCTCTCCCAGACCACCGGTGCTGACGTTCCCCGATGGGTTAGGCACTTGCTGTAGGATACCCATGGCACTGACCCAGTCGTCGATTATCCCCTGCAGCGAGGGATCCCTGCCTTGGGTATAGCGGTCGACAAGGAGTTTGCTCACCTGCACGAGTAGGTGAGTGAGTGTGCATGTGGGAGGAAGGGGACGTACAAGCGAAGCATCCCTGATCCAGGTATAGTCATAGTTTGGGTTCTCAGTAGAAGGGCTGGCGATGACGACGCCGCTCGCTGCCCCCTCGGCTTTCAAACCTGAGGGACCGATGTTGGCGAGCAAGCCGGAGAGGGCAATAGGAGACTCAGTGGTGATGAATGTGGGGATGTCGAGTGTGTAGGAGGAGGGAAGGGATAGAGAAGGTAGGAGGAAGGTGAGGAGGGGGAGGAAGGGGAGCATCGCTAGTAGTGAGCTGAAGGAGGCGGGCGCAGGGTGAGGGATGGGGATGGGGATGTACATCTTTGCGGGGTATTAATAATCGTGAGTGATTCTTGTACGTGAATTTCCAGATGGACCACAAGGAGGGTTGTTGGGATGCGTGCACCAGAAGCAATGAGTAGCGTGCGTCGTGTAGCGTGAGTGTGCGGTCGGTAGAATGCAACAATGGAATGTGACGCAACACAACCGCCGACCGCAAGACTTTCAAGGAGCACCAAATAGAACAGGGAACAACGAGCAGCGACCAGAGCGTGAACAGGAGAAAGGTAAAGTTGAGCAGAACAGACACATGACTTGTATTATAACATTGAGCCATGACGTTCAGGTTAGGGGCACACGACTCTTCCATCATGATTAGGCGGAGGTCAGGAGAGAAAGAGCAAGGGACGGATCATCACACGAACTTCCGTGGTAGATCACGTGAAGTTATACGGCCCTTCTTTGTACGTCACGCAAGCAACGTAAGCTCAACCCCCTTGCAGCATGACTTCCCTCTCACGCAGTACGAGACCTCGGTCAGGAGGTGAAGCAACCATCGTCCCTCTTACTCCTCTCTCAAGGCAGTCAGTATCCCTTCTTCCCCCCCTTCCAACTCTCACAGCAGCAGATGTCTTCGCAATTTAGCACGTTACGAACGTCCCCCTCCGCCCCACGTGCCCAGAGCGTACCGATCAGCCGTCCTCATCGCCCTATTCGTGGGAAGGATGGGCGACTTGTACGTCTTGTTGACACAGTGCGCCCCTTCTTCTTTCAAGAAGGATAGGACTAATCAAGTAGGCGGAGTATGGCGTTGAAGAGCTTTCCAGGGGATACAGCTCTCCCAGGTGGGAAGGCGGATAAGAAGGACCGATCGGCGGAGGAGACGGCTGTATGTCCCTCGTTTTCTTCTGCTTTATACGTCTCATCTACTTTGTAGCGACGTGAAGCTTTTGAAGAAGTGTGCTTTCTCCGTTCACACAGAGCTTCTCCTCACTCCATGCGCGCAGATTGGACTTCCGCAAGACCCCCTCCTCGTCCCACACCTCTGCACACTGCCCCCTTTTCTTTCAGCCAACAACCTGCTCGTGACGCCAGTAATAGTGCTAATCACCTCCCGTGCCCTACGTCCGATCCTCAACACGCCCGAAGTAGCTCGGCTCTTCGCTCATCCCCTGCTCGCTTTCCTCTCCCAGTCGGCACCTTTCAGCAACGCAGGTGAATATCACACGCTCAAAGACGTTCTCTGGGCGTCGGATCCCTCTTCCGGCCCAGTGAGGCTACACAGGTTCCTCACGGGAAGGGAAGGGGAAGGAATCAAACCCGTTTTCGGGCTTACGGCTGCTATCCTTATCCGAGCAGCGGAAGTGGGATACGGGAGGAAGGCGGAGTTTGATGTTGAGGCTGAAGGGCAAAGGGAGATGGGAGACAGGATTGGACACGTTTTGAAAGGGCTGGGATTGAGAGAGGAGGAGAGGGTAGGGAGGAAGTGGTATTTGACGATGGAGAAGGGGGAGAACGGAAGGAAGGGGAAAGCGAAGCTTTGACCTGCCGAGGGTGAGACAGTCTCATGCAGTCAACGACTTGGAGATTGACTTTCGATCAGCGACAGCACCGACAGAGGACTTTCCCACCTCTGGCCTGGGTATATGCGTGTGATCTAGAACGACCACGGACGACGACACCTCGCACACCCCGTACCCCTCCCCGACTGGTCACTCCCCGCCTCCCGGACTTACAGCATTTGTATCTTCCTTCGGTATCTCTCTCGCTATCGCCACTGCAGCTTACCCCTCCGACTCACACCCCCAACCCTCCTAGCCGTTCCGGAAACCCTGTGCAGACTAGAGTGGCCGTCTCAGACCCTGCGGCGTGGTTGGGTACACCAAGAGCTGGGGCGCTCCGCTCTCCCGTGCTATTACCTCCGCCTCTGTGTCTGGAGAACCGCGAGGATCAGCAGAGAGGACGCTCGCATGACGCTCGAGGCGACCGCAGCCCGAATCCGATGCACCGTACGGCGCTTACACAGACCCCGCAGCCCAATCTTCAGCGCCAGCGTATCTCTCAGCCGTACCGGATGGAGCAGGACTTGCCCGTCTCTCCTGTTGCTCGCGGACAGCCAAAGGTCTCCTCGCCGCTGCACCTTCAGCTGTCGGCACCTTTCTCACCTCTTGCCGTCTTCCCTCCTCGACCCACCCAGATTACCCGTCCATCAGCCAGCCCAACCACAGGGAAGACTTATCCTCCCATTTCCCCGTCCAGCCCCAACCCCACGGGACTCGTTCCACCCGCCCAGCTCTCGCATCATCCCCCCATGCCACGGCTCACCCCAGCCCAAATCCGCAACCTGCTAGACTTCCTGGAGCGTGCAGACCTGGAGATCGAGCGGGGGTGTGCGAGAGTCAGCGAGGACCTGGGGGAGGTGAGGCGGGAGCTTGCACGCGTTAGACAGATGAAGAGGTCGTAGAACTGGGGTGCATACCCGCATACACATACCGTATTCCTTCTTTCCACTTTATCCTTCACTTCCTAGTCTTGAGCAGTCCACCATACCAACACACAAATATCTTAACCAATGCTTATTCATTCTTAATTCAAAGACAGAGAAATGGGTACAGATGGACGTCAGCCCGCTCGTGTGGAGACTGCGTCCAGGGTTCAATGAGTGTACAACAGTGGAAGATGGGGAGTTTACAAGTGTGCAAACCGCAAAAACGTACATTCCTGGCCGGACCTGTCCTTACCAGACAGCTGCTCACATCCGGACATACTGCTCGCTCAAAGCGCTCCGCCTGCTAATCGTATCCCACACACTGCCGATCTCGCTCCCCAGTTCACTCCCAGTCTCCTCATCAGTCACACTCCTACTGCTCTGGCTGAGCACCTCGTCCTCCCCTCCCATAGCCGACGAGGCGCGGGAAAGCGCCGTCCAGCTCGGGGTGCGCGCCAGGGGGGAAGGGAGGGAGAGCGCACTGCCCGGAGGGGAGAAGACGGATGAGAGTGCGCTCGGTGGGCGGGAGGGGTAAGGGGAGGACTGGTACGACCTATGGCTGAGGGAGGGCGTGCCTGGCTGTAGGAAAGGGCTGGGGCTACGCGCGAAGACGGATTCTGGGGCTTGGCCGGGCTGGGATTGGACCACGAGGTGGATAAGGGAGTCCCCTACGAGCGGGGAGGTGAGGTCCTCGATCGTCCCATGCAGAGGCTGGGGGTACTCCCGCGCCTGAGGAGGGCTGAGGATACGCTGCACCGGCGGAGGAGAGGTGGCTGACATCGGTGGTGAGAGGAGCGCAGGCTGAGAGGGGGCCGGAGCGGGGAGAGCTGGAGGAGCGGAGAAGGTCTGCCGGAAGTCGGGCTTGGGAGACGCTATATGCGTCGTCTGCGGGGTGAGGGGGATGTAGGCCGACACGGGCAACCCGGGCTGGGAGCCGTCGTTAGCTGATTTCCAGGCGTACGTGGTAAGGACGTACGACTTCGGTGATCTCAACAAAACTCTGTGGCCTGCTGGTCGGCCTGCTCCCGCCCGCACGCTTTCTCAGCCCCGGAGCGTTCGGAAGTGCAGGAAGGGGCATATTGGGGGGCAGCTCCCTCTCACTCCAGGATAAACGATTCTTCTCTCCTGCGGCAAACTTCTCCAACTCGATAGGCACTGGTGCTTCTTCCTCTGCTCTATTGTGCGCACTCCACTCGCGGGCCTTGGCAGACCCAGCACGGCGTAGCTCGTTCTCTTCCCCATCAAGCCGGACATAGTCGTATGACGTCCCCACCGGTGCACCGGAGCGCATAGCCATCATAGGCGCGTGCATCCGGCGTTCACGCTGTTCCTCCTTTGCCCGGCGGCGGGATTCGATGAAAGCCTGAGCCCATTTCTCGAGTTGCGGGGCAACGTAGGGTTCGTAGATGAACTGTTGGCATTAATATTGGGTTCAGTGATTTTGGCATCGGAATGCAGAGATGATTAACTGACCTGTTTAAGCGCGTATGCTGCTCCGATTGCGATGATTACTCCACCGACGTAGATGAATACGGGAGGTGCCATGATGCTTACTGATTCCAAACTGGTCTACGGTGCTATGCTGCTGTTCTCTCACCCAGAAAGCTAGATGCAATATGAAGAGAGAGGGAAGAGAGAAACAGAAAGCAGAGAAGGTGCTACCTATTCAGCCGCCTGTAGCGATGGGCTGTTCCCCCTCCCCGAATGGGTCAATGCCGGGTAGAGCCGCCATATACGGTGCTCGCGTGAGCCGTGAACCCGTGGGCGTTGTTGCGGATGACGACCTACCGTGGAACATAGATTTACTGCGCCGTTTCCCGGAAAATATTACCCGATTGCTACTAGTACAGTACTGTCCGACTCATCTTCCCCTAGTTTATAAAAACATTTCTTTACTGCGAGTTATGACTATCCTTCGACGTGCAAAACCCGGAATCCCGTGTCAGCCAATCCTAGGCTAGCTGGCACCGGCTCGGCTCGGTGCGTCACACAAGCCGCTCACATGTTCAGCCTCCCCCACCTTGCCCCTATCTCTAGCCTTGATCCTATACATTGCACCGCTCTTTCCGCTGGCCAGCGCAGTGATCATTCGAAAGCACACAGTCCCTAATGTGTCAGCCTCATCAGGCGGATCAGACGGGTTGTAGTGTTTCACGGAAAGTGTTGAACGAGGGCCACAAGTGGTGCACGTGAGAAACAAATAACAAAAGAATGCATTGAGGCCAGATTACAGATTGCATGCGGAGAGACCGAGTTCGAGGGGATTGCAAAGAGTCAACAAGACGGTAAGAAAAAGGAGACGTTACGCTACGGCTTCCTAAGAAGCTACTACGGGGTTCTAGTTCGATAGTTCGGAGGACGGAGAAGCCTATGCCAGATAGTCCTTGTAGGAGTTCAATACGCGTGAGAAAATGTCTAACGTTCAGGGAAAGAGTTCATGTAGTCAGCAACTGGTCGATCGACTGGTTCAAAAAGTCCTTGCGCGGTGCGAGATCCGCCTGCGGGAAATGCGCCGCAACTGCATCCCTCGCCGTCTTCTTCGTCACTGTCATCAGATCCTGCGTGGCGAGGTACGACCGCAGAACGTCCAGCAGCTGTTCGTCTGAGGGGTTCGGGTTCGGTTCAACCATTCCTGGGCTAGATGCGAATGGATTGGCAGTGGTTGCCATGGAGAAGGTCGACATGGGTCGAGGCCCGCTCAGGGGTCCACCAAGCATCGACATGGACGGACCTGCGCCAAAGACCGAAGGACTTCCTCCCCCAAAATTGTTGAGGTTCGTCATGACGCTGTTTCTTGGCGCAGTCGGCATGTACATGGACGACGGGAAGGCTGCTGCTCCATATCCAAAGCCGATACCGGAACCATGTTCCGAGCCGATAACCGACCCAGGGCCGGTGTGCATAGGGAAAAGCTGCGGCAGCTGGGGTGGTGCGTTCTGCGTCAGCTGCGAGAAGGTCGACGTTGTCCGCATACGTGGCGGAACCAGGTTCACCTGCGAGGCGGAGGGAGTCATAGCAGCGTTAGTGTCTCGATAGAAGTCACCAGACACGGATGACTGCTGATAGGCTTTGACTGTGCCGCCGACTTGGGATTGCGCACCGACCTTAGACTTGGCAATCCCTGTCTCGGCAGAATGATGTGAGCTGGTATCCCAGTTCTCTGCCGTGTACTCTATAGCAGGAAATCAGCATAAGAGTCCGGGTCTAAGTTGGGATACTCACCTGAGAATTTCTTGAGCGGGATCATCGAATCGTCGAATTTTTCGTCGTCTCCGACCATGACCTTCTTATTGGCGCCCTCACCGACAACAACCCTAGTGTTCCCCCAACTGAAATCGTCCATGTACCAGAATGAGTACAGCGGAAGGAAGAAGCTGTACACAGGGTAGGCCAGAATGTAGATGACCATCCATCCGATCAACATAAATTCTCGTTTGAGCAGGAAGATGATAGCCTGGAGACCGTAGACTGCTGCAATCATCGCCAAGGAAATGATCGGAATCGGAGCCTGGCCGGTTGCCACGGTTACAATAAGGTAGACCAAATAGACCACGGTGGCAGGTAAAATGAGTGTAGACAGCAGATCGAGGAAGACGACAAATCGCATAGAGAAGCAGCAGAATCCGCAGAGCTCGGGAAGGAACACCAACTCGGCCAGATTATGGACCGTCGAGTTGATCCAACGACGACGCTGCGACAGCAGGATTGCCCAGGTATCCGGTGCGACGGTGTGAGCTATTGCGTCTGGCGCGAATTTCATCCTGAAGACTGGGAAGTGCTTCATTAGGAGGGTCGTGAGGTAACGATCTTCTCCGAGCGACAACAGGTTCTTCTTGTGCAGGGTATCAACAACACCTTCTGAATAGTCGTCGAGAATACGATGCGAGATAAGGATTGGCTTGCCCTTGTCGGCGGTGCGAACACGGTACAAGCTGAAGCAACCGGGCAAACAGGTGACGGAACCAAACAACGATTCGAAAGCCTTCGCCAAGTGGTGAGAAATGTAGTACTCATATACTTGGATCATGGTCCACCAGGAACCCTCCTCATTGTGCAGCTTGGTTTCTCCACAAATGCCCATGATGCGCGAGTCATCTGCAGCGGAAGCGACGAGGCGGCTAAGGGAATCCTTGGTCACTGAAGTATCGGCATCGACCATGAAAACATATTCGTAGAAATAAGGATCCACGCCAACGACATTTCTCAACTGATGTGCCATCTCCAGTTCCAGTGGACACATTGGTGCGTCGAAATGGACTCGATTGAGGAAGCGCATCAAGAGGACTTGTGAGTCCCGCTTGCCTCGGTTGCCCGGCTTGCTTCTTTCACTTGGTTTGCCGACTTTGGCAACCACCATGTATGGAACGACGTGTCCAGCGAATTCGTACAGGCCGGAATAGACTTTCGCATAATTGAATTGCTTGGAGCCTTCACCCACGGACTTGAACAACTGCGGTTCCGGGTCGATCTTCGGATCTACACCCAGAATATCCAGCACGATGCGGGGAGTCGTCCGATCATTGCCTCTTCCAATGATGTTTCCGTCACATATGATGAAGAGGAGCTTGCGCTTGTCATCGTAGTTAAGGGCAGCCAGGGAATCAATTGTTCTGCGAAGTGACTCTTCTCCTTCCGTGTAACAAGGAACTTGGCATAGCACAAATTTTTCAGGCATCTCTGGTTGTCGCTTGCCACCAAGCTGCAAAGCAGCCAGGACTGCAAGACGTCAGTCTCAGTAAGTTGACCACAGCATAATGTGCTCACATTTTGCCAACATGGTGGCCATGATGATACTCGAAGCGGTAAGAAGCAGGTAGTTCTGGACTTGGCACCGGGCCGTCAAGCGGAAGTCTGTCTGGCCAACATAGAAAGCATTGTTAAGACAATCTAGTTGGGCCGTCTGATCGCTGGCGCTGAGACTAGCCATAACCTTGTTGAAACCGCTACTTATGTCCTGGCCGGGCTGTTGCTTGAAAAGATCAGTAAGATCCGAGTCTAAGAATGCATAATTTGGCACGCCCGCCCCGCTCGCGGCAGAGTTTTGCTGGATCGTAAAGAAATAATCCGACAAATCGTACACGTTATTATTGACGATCGCCCAGAACCTGGTACGCGTTAACTCTGGCAAGAAAATACTATTCACAACGTCACTTACTTGCCATCATTGGTCGCCCCTTGTTGGATGTCCTGATTTGGATCATAAACTAAGGGTCCCTTGTAGAAATCGGTCAAGAACGGTAGGAACCTGTCAGAGTACCAATTGGGGTCGTCCAACTTCGTATTCTGGGCAGGCTGACTCGAACCGGTCCAATGTACAGCGGTGGATGTGACAGGAGTGAAGTTCGCCCAGGCTAAGACTGGTATTGCACCGGTGATGAGACCTGAACAAGCTGTATTGAGCGGCACCGGGAAGTATTCAGATACGTCTGTGCCAGCAACTTCCATCATTACATCCTGGGTCACAGGCTCGTTCAAAATGTCGCTATGCTGGGAACGATAGAAATTGGTGAGGTCATAAACGTTCCCACGGACCGCAACCCAATAATTGTTCGTCGCGGTGTGCTGGAGCAATTCCCGAGGATTCCATGCCTTGTTGTAGCCGGGGCAAAGTAGAATGCCGAAAACAATGATGTAGAAGAGGACAAGGCCGCACATGAAGATAATCAGCAGGAAAATAGTAACCTTTTCACGCCATGCCAGCCGAACATCAGCGCGCTTCATCCCACCGAGGTACGACAGCAAGAAATCGGGTACGAAAAACGTCACGACCCACACGAATCGGACCCAATTGCGCCTTCCTCGGGTGGTAGGCACCTCTTCCACATGGCTACCGACTTGATTAACGATCATGCCATCGAATTCTTGCTTCTCAGGAAGAGGAGACATCTCAGGCGTGGGTGGCGGCTTGGCCCAATCTACGTCCGAATTCTGGAAAACAGGTGTGTTGATTCCGCCTTGGCCATATTGGGCAGCTGGTGGAGGTGCTCGAGGCGCACCCATAGACGGCCGAGAAGCCAGAAGCTGATCTGTGCTTCCATCGTATCTCCAGCCAGACTCCGTCCTCTGCCGTTCACGGAATGGATCTTGATGTGTCCCCGCAGCGCTCTGGTCGTCTTCAACGGTAGTATCACCCTTGTCGGGATCGGCCTCCATCGCACGGACGGCGTCTTCTATCATCTTCCAGGCACCGTATGCGAGCCAGACCCGGCTACGTCCAACGGCATAGTCAACCCCTTCAGTCCAGACGTTGCGTCGAGCGCAAGCGCTGATCCTCTCTTCGATAGAGCCACCGGCCGTTGGCATATAGCGATTACAGAACTCTTCCTGGTCATAATCTGCCACGTACTCCGGCGTCTTTCTCGCGATGAGATCTGCCAGGAGCATGCTGCGCACCTGAGATCGGACCCGACGCTTATCAAACGAATTTGGTGAGCAAGAGTCATTTGGACGAATGCAGTAGAAGTTCCATAAACGCGTCCGGTCGAGGCTCTGCAGCAGCTCGGAGAGCGTGTAGTTGAGCTGAGTCGTTACAGGGCAGGGCTTTTGAGGATCAAGGACGTTTTTAGGATCCGGTTCTTCCGGCAAATTTCCAGATGCATCTAAGATGGATGTGGGTGCCCGCAGAGGTCTGGAGGAGACTTGTGCTTGCACAACAATGTCTGCATCGGTTGGGTGCACTTCTGTGGCTAGACTTGGCCCACAAACAAGCTTGGCCACGAAGGGGTTGTTCGAGCGTCGCAGCAGCATCACGATCGAGGAGTCAACAAGGTCCCTCTCGCGCTCGACGAAGCTGCTGACGTCGTAGGTGCACATGCCAGAGTAATGATTGATACCGAAGAGCATGCGGTCAGATGGCTGCGACGTCGGTCCCGGATGGGTGACAAATGATCCATGTACCCCGAATTTGTTGATGAGCTCCTGCAGGAGTTCCTCATCTGGGTGTTCGCTAGCTTTGCCTCTGCTGACGTTGGAACACTCTTTCGCCAAAACTGCAAGCATACCGCCCGGCTTCCTTTGGGGCACATCGACGTTAACAACACCACGGAACATCTCAATGCAGGCGCCGTTGTCCATCGTTGCGATGGATGGCAGCGCAATCTCATCCGCCGTGATCTCTGCGTTGTAGCCCATAGTATCGTCGAAGGCACGGCGCAGGACGTAAGACTGTACGACTTCGTTGGTGAAGTTAACGCAGAACTCGTCGAAGCTGTTTTGGCCATTGACGGAGATAAGGGGGTTGGGTCCGGGTCCAGCAGAACTGATGGAGCCGGTTGGTGTCCGACTCTGGTAGCCTGGCGTGTCGAGGAGGACGATTTGCGTATGAGGGTTGCGGCCGTCTGGGGAAGATGCCACCTTTTGGTTGGATGTCTCAACAACATACGCGAAAAGGATGGAGTATAAATCCGCCACCAAGCGATCGCGTTGATGCGCAGCCGCATCGACGGTGAGAAGGACAGTATATAACTCTTTGCGAATATAATTCGTTTTGTTTGTGAGAACTTGCTCGAGTTCTTCTGGAAAGACACCGAGGAGGTGGGCAACTTGATCCAGAACAGCCGGATTAGCAAGTCTCGCAGATTCGTAATTAGCTTCCTTCGATCCGTTGTCGTGGAAATGCAAGTTGCCGAGGAGGAGGATAGCAATGAGGAGAGAGAAAATGGCCGATGTATGTTTTGCCTTGAAGCCGAGCGATGTCATAGCGGCGCGCAGGTCTTCCATCGCAATAGCATCGTCGCTGAAGGGACCGCTTGGGAGGCGATAACAACCTGAGGAAGCGAGCAAGGCATATGATGATGGATCCTCGATGTTCAGACTGTCTCGCTCTTCCGGCGTGGCGCCGGCAATGAGCTGATAGAAGACGTGATAGGTCCGTTCATCATGGGTCAACCGAAGGAGGCGGGACTTGTCCAATCCGAATGTGAGAACCTGTGCTCCTGATACACGTCCGTTCTCGCCGAAGTGCAATTCCAAGTACTTTCCGAAGCGGGTAGCAGAGGGATTGTTGATAGTCTTCGAGCATCCAAAGGCATCGAGAACGGTTTCAAGGGCCAATATGTGTTCAACTGTCCGTAATTCCTTCTTTGTTCGAGCGGACAGCCGTAATAGCTGTCTGAGGAGGAGCTTGCTACCGAACGACTTCCCAGAACCTGTGATTCCCCTGAAAAGACCATGAGTTGAAGATGAGTGAGAAGGACTGATCTGCCTAGCGTACCTGAAGACAACGCTCTGGGACTCATCTCGCCTTCTCATCATCAAGTACATCCTTGCCGCCATGTCATACATATGGGGCTGGAGCACCTGGTTCTGGTCCACCTGCACATCCGTATTGTTGTACGACTTCTCCTCATAGGCCTTTGCAGTCGCATCGCTCGAGCTCGCTAGGGCCTTGAAGGGATTAACGACAATAAGTGACGATGATCCGAGGTTTGTATAGGGGAAGTCGGCGCGGAATCGCGTATGCAGAGCGTGTACGACCGCATCTTCGGATGGGTAGACCTTGCTCGATGAGGTGGAGGAGACGAGTTCGGTGAGATCTCTTAACGAAAGGCCATCCTTGGATATGGACATTGTGGCTCCTACAGCTAGAGTGAGCGTGCGGGTCGAGGAAAGATCGCTGACGTATGTACAATCCAAGGTGCGATACAAAAGTCGCTTGGGCACAAAAGGCGCACAAGGTGCTGGAGCCGATTGCGACGGTCTACAGAAAAAGGAGGGCAGTAAGGGCGCTTGGTGGTAATGATACAAGGGCCTGAGTGGTATAGGAATAAGGGAGCGTGCAAGATGCTGTCTACAACGGTCGCAGGAGGGTGAGGCAGTTCGGTCGGGTCGTATGTGTTGGCCAGCACGGCCGCACGCTGTCCCCTCTCCGCTTCAAGTGTTTTTGCTCCCGGCTGAACGACGCGTTCCGATCGATACGGCCCGCCTCTTTGACTGTCTGGCGTGTCAAGTCATTCGCGCAATGGTCTTTCATGCCAGCAAACTACTTTTGTGGCTATATGTTCAACACCTGTTTTCATTATTGTTGACAGCAAGACGACTCCTGATGTAAAGACGTCCTTCGCACGTTCTTGTTGACACGCGTAAAAAGAACCGCTTTCAGCAAGGACCCTTACTCAGCGGCGGTGGTTGCCGTAAATATCTCTCTGGGTTTCGCCGACAGCAGGCTGCACGCATCAGTTCAGACATATACCATAAGCAAAGACAGGAGGCATAGCGCCGCTGTATCTTTAAGCGTGATCAGTTCGATGATATGATAGATTGCAAAATATACAAAGTGAATGAAAGAAGGAAGGAGACAATCAGCCAACTAGCTCTCGTCCCCGTCCCCGTCCTCATCACCGGGTATAGGAGCAGTCTTCTGCTTTTGGACATCGGACTCTGCTGCTCATCGACATTAGAGTGGAGATAATCAAAGATGTGAAACTCACGATGTGCGCTGCCGTTCAAAGGCGCCTGGGTCCCATTAGTCAGCTCGATCTTCTTCACACCGTTCGTCAAGGAAGCAACTGGCTCTTCCACCTCCTCGCCCCGCTCCTTTGCAACTGCGTTCTGCCAGCCCTCCTCGAATAGGTCTGGGTGTTCTTCTGGGTCGGCAATCATTGCGGCAATCTTTGGCTTGTGTTGAGCATTCAAATCAGCCTTCCAGGCTGCTACTACTTTCGGCACCTCACTGTCCACAGATCAGCTATTGGGCACATGAAAGGACAACGAATCCTTACCTAGGTGCATATGTGCGTGCAAAAAGCGCTGCCTCGGGTATCCGGTCCGTCCTCACGAGCAGATCTACGCATGCATGCGCGTCCCCTAGTTGCATGTAGCAAGCAAAAGCGATGTTGTTCATTCCCTTCTCCTCAGCCGATTTGCTGAGGGCCTGCAGCCCAGTCCGATCACCAATGCTGGTGTATAACAGCAACAAGGCAGAGAAATCATCTGCTTTCTGGAAGCACTCCTTTGCGAGGCCAAATTTCCAGGCTGCCAATGCTCGATCACCGATCGTGCGCCACTTGCTGCTGGCTTCCGCTTTTGGAGATGATTGGGCAATGGACAGCGCGGTCTCCAGATCGTCGAGTTGTACAGCAAGGTCGAAACGATGATCTGGGTCCGTAGAAACCTCAAGGGCTAGCTCTTTCATATCTACAAGGTCCTGGAGTAAGAAAACAGTTACAACAAGGCAGACAGCACATATCATACCGTTAGCCTCCAGGAAGCGCGCTATTTTATTTTTCTGATCTGCAGGAATGGTTGGAAGGATCTCGGCAGCCATATCCATATCGCCCCGCAATACGGCGGTCTGATATTCAACGAGCGCCAGCGAAAGCGCGTAACTGTATATGTTGACATCCTTGTCGGCGAGATAAATCCTGTTATGGGCAGGCATGTAGCCGAGCAGGTACATGGCACTGGAAGATATGTCAGACGCAGTTGAAGGATGTCATTGACAATTACATACGTATCGAAGTGGTTGACGGTGTGTGCTTGTTCGCCAACAAGGTAATTCAAACGGTTTGCTGCCGTGGTGTAGATGAAGCAGTCTCCCACCCATTTGCCAGTTTTCACACTGGCACATGATAAGCAAAAGCCTCAGCTGAGAACGAGTATTACTTACTTCTCTGAGACTTCAGTCACAAGATCAAAAGCGTCTTCAACACCCTCGTCGCCTAGATCGGCAGTTCCAGCTTCCTGAACCTTGGCCAGATAGGCATCACGGTCAAAACGCAGGACATAGAAGCCATCGTCGGATGTGATTGCGACAAGGGAGCCTGTGCCAGACCAGTAGACACCCTTTGCCTCTACCTCGATCCTCCGAACGATCTCGCTCGTGTCCCAATCCCAGAATACGACGAAGCCAGCACCGCGTGCTGCAAGAAGTGGTCCGCCATGCAGACCATTGACTGCCCAGCCGCCAGCACCCTTCAAACCTGGGCCTGGTTTCTCCTTGAAGTTTCGATATACCTTGAGCTTCGTCTTGGTCTCTTGGACAGCGTAGTGGTTGGAGTCACTACCCCATGCAAAGGACAAACCTGAACCAAAAGATTTGTTCCGCCACGCGAGAGCGGTATAGATGATGTACTCGGCGTCGCCGCAGACGGTCACAAACCGGCCATTGGGGCTGTGTTGAATGCTCTGTGCGTACACTTCGGTATTGCCCAGTTCTCGAACTGGGATTGCCAGCCGCTGACCGTCAGCGATACCTTCCTCGGCCGTGCCGCCCAGATTCACGGTGAGAATATCAGTGTTTCGGGCGTAGATAACCTTGCCAGATGCATCCATGCTGTAACTGGGCTCATCCCGGCCCAACTATCTCTATGCGTAAGCATGTGGCAAAGCGACAGGCAGCATATATGCGCACCTTGATGACCACTGAACCGTCGTCAAAACCAAAGCCGACCTCATTCCCCTGCTTCTTGTATGCAACACACCATGCTCGCTCCAGGCCATAGCTCAGCGTGTTTTCCAGGCGATAAGTAGTTGCATGCCAGATTTTGATTGTGCCGTCTTCGGAACCGGAAACGATAATGGGGAGACTGGGATGAAAAATGGCGAAGTTGACATTGCTTGTATGCCCTTCAAGTTGCTGGATGCAGCTCTTCGACAGGTAGTCCCAGATCTTCACCAACCGGTCATCGCCAGTGGTAATGAGGTATGGCTTGTCTGCACCGTGATAGTACTCGACGAAGTTGACGCCTTTGTCGTGTGCCTCAAGGGTGAAGTTTGGTGTCGAGGAGCCAAGGGACCATATCTTCACAGTTCGATCAAGACACGCAGACGCAAACGTATTTGGATCCTTGGGGTTGACCGCCAATGACATGATGTAGTGAGTGTGGCCCTCATATGCCTTCAACGTAGGTGAGCATTTGTCGAACCAGCTACAGCAGAATGCGTACCTGGACACACTTCCAGCCCTTTTCCCAATCCCACGCCTTGATTGTCATATCATCACTACCTGTCAGCACGATGCTCGCCGTAGGATGAACAGTCAAGCAACGAATGTAGTCCGGATGGGCCTCAAAAGCTGCGACTTTCTCATGCGTGTTGTAGTTGAAAGCGCGCAGTTGGAAGTCGTCGGAACCCGCCACGAACCATTGCTTTCGTGCAATAAACCGAACACATCGAACTGGTACCTCTGCGACTTCGAAAGTTTTGATTAAGGCCTCCGTCTCGTAGTTGTAAATGTGCACCGAGCCATTGTACAGACCGGCGAGGAGCCACGGCTCCTCAGGGTGGAAATCGACCGATTTGACTCGGTCTGACCGCGCGAAAAGTTTTCTCTGAGGAAATGAGGATCAGATATTATCTTCTCGAAGTGGGTATGCTCGTACTGAAATGTCCAAGATTAATGGCATGATGGTCGAAGTACTTTTGATTGTAAGTTTGGGAAGGTCGTGATGTGCACCTAGCTACGGAACCAAAATGAGCCACGCATCTAGCCCAAGGCTGTGAAACACGTCTAACTAGGTCGACGCGTCGTTCCGCCCAGGTCGGTAGACTTCTTCCTTGCAAACAATCTAGCCAAACTGGGCTAGCAGTGTAACATTGTAGATCGTATAGCAGAACCACGGCACCGAAGGAATAGCCGTGTATACCGATACCTTGCGCTCATATAATCATTGTCGGACCCATACAATGGAGGCAGGCAAGACATTTTTGCGGTCACACCACTCATGTCGTAGCTAGGAAGTAGGACGGGGATTAATGCACAATCACAGCGTAGTTACATGTATATGATACAGTGTGCAGAATGGGCGGATGTCCAACGCGGAAACGAGGAGAAGCAGACGGGGATCATTATGAGTCGGAGCTGCAACCCCTACAACCTATTACATGCCATGAGTCAGCATCCGGACGCATTGCGGTAGAAGCCTGAGAATGCGTACCACAGTGCACACACTCTACTACTGTTCCCTTCTTCAGCTGGGCTTTCGGCACTCGGCACACGCAGGTAGAACCTTGATAGTTCATATCCTGCGCGTGTGTTAGCGTGACAGCAGATATATGCACCACACACGCACCTGACTCTGAATACACCGGATGCAGCACAACTTTTCGTATCCAGGCTTTTTCCACTTAGCAATCAGACTACAAATTCAGCAGTCAGCTAACGCGAGACTGAAATGACACCACTGATACATACTTGGCATCCGCGTAACCCTCCTTGAGAAGCCACTCGTACAGTTCCTTACTGATTATCTTACGCTGATAAAACAGTTCGTAAATGTATCGCGATCGTGTATGAGCAATGCGCATGATAGGCCATAGTGCTTCGGCCTTGCGCTGACCTTCATGTGACTCGTTCTCCGCATCTCGCATTTTCTTGGTGTATTCATCAAGAATCTGGCTGTCTATGAATACAACTAGGAGAAAAACTCAGATTTGAGCTCACATGTTCGATATCTTCGAAGCCTTCCGGGGGTTTCTTCGTTCTACTCGTACGAATTTTGGGCATGGTGGTGGTGCACGGTCAACATAGAAATGCTCCCGCACCGTTATGGACAGAACCCTATTGGGACCATCGCCGACAAGACCGACCACGACCAGAAATATCATCGGGCGGATTCCAGCGAAACCAGTAGGACCCAATGCCATTTGGGCGCCGCGCATGACGACAAAGTGGTCAGAGTGAATAAAGATCTAACTTAGCTCAAGGGATCTGTCGGTGAGTGATATAGGGGTATCAGTTTATCGCCCACTCATGAGAGCAACAGCTGTTCAGGATCAGCCTGCCCCACGCAGATATGTCTTCGTCAACAACTTCATCAACGATCACGCCTGCTCATCCCCGTCATGCCTACACTCCTACGCGAGCAGCCCGTCCTCCACCCCCACCACCGGTGGCACCTGTCCGACCTCCCACCCCACCTTCGAGCCGTATTCCCATCACGCCTTCCATTCTACGGAATATATTTGCCTCATCAAGATCACTTCACGAAGAAAGAGCGATATCAAGGATTGCTTTTTTCAGGTTAGCGTCACTCTGTGTGATTAAGATGTCCTGTTCTTATTTCCCTTGCAGATTCGCTGGTTTCATTCTGAGCTGTCTAGGTATTGCATGGCTGGGTGCGAGCAGGTGGAAACTGGGGACATTCATTAGGTTACCTGATGCAGCATGACGCCGCGATCACACTGGATTGATAGGATTTTGTGGTTATCTCTCTAATGCTGCAGTTTTGATGGCATTGGATTTTGAGAGTCAGAGTACAGGAGCAGTGACCGAAGCTGTGTTACTTTGATTTGTGGAAGATATTATTATAGCTATCCGGCGCTATCGGCTCTGACTGCACTACCATTAGCAAAAACACTGTCGCCAGAAACCCAGAGCAGACATACACTTTGTCCTCGGAGTGATCCTGTTAATTTCTCATCGCGTGTCATCATCATCTCGTCCCATTTATCAATGCCATACCGGGGAGGCTAATGGGAACCATAATCAGCACCGAGACTTCAAGTAATACCTGTGGACTCACCTTCCAGTCATTTTGTGCCTTTTTTGAGAAAAGAAGCCCGGTCCCAGTTACACCGAACATAATGGTTACGAGGCCTGTGAAATACTGAGAACGGTTCTCAGACAACGAGGATGAATGCTTACCAAACGGAATGAGCGACTCCCATGGAACCGGCATGTTGGACAATTCGAGCTAAAGGTGGCAAGTTATTGAAGGAGATCTGGATTAAGGAGAATGTGCATAACTTACGAGCTGGTTGTTTGCTGCTATCGGTGGTCGCCGTGTGGTGCTTGAGGACTAAAGGAAGCACGGGACTGCAGCCACACCCTGCTCTCAAAATCAACACGTGACACACACGCGCTATTTGCTTCCTTTCATTCCTTGAGGGTCGCGCCTGACGATCGTTCCTGATGACTTGCGTCCACGTCCTCTTCACCATGCTCGCTCTACTTTTACTTCTTGTCAACGTCTACGATACGTACAAGGCACTCAAAGCATCTTCGCGGTTGTCAGCGCGTGCTGGTGCTCATAGAAAGCGAACGATGAAGGGTTGCATGTGCACATGGGTTGTTTGGGTACGCATACCGAATAAACAACGCGACGTGACTGTTGAGACGGACCGCAGGGGTCTTGGTCCCTCCTAGAAAACTTTGGGGATCGTACATTTGGATGGGTAATACCATTTTATGGAACGGGAAAGAGCGTACTACTTGTTTTGCTCATCCTTGGACGGACAAGGGTGAGTTTGATGGAGCGAGTTACAGCAGCAGACCGCTGATGTGGACGAAAGGCCACCGAACCTATCTATTTATACCTTCTTCGGCCAGCGATCAAGTCTCAAGCTCATATGTTTGATATTGCCTTCTACATCCTCGACGCGACTCTGTCTATTCTTCTCCTTTCGCTCCTGGCGCCATCACTCTTTCTCTATGAGCACGCTCTTCGGCCACTCTTTGCGATGGTTGCTCCGCATCTACCTAGCATGACGAAATTTAGCGTGTCCAGCCTCATCTTGCGCCGAGGTAGCCAAGTGCAGGACCGACTGCGTTCACGCACGGCGGATGATATGCGGGTCGCAGTGGATGCGGCAAATTCAATCTATGAAGAACTGGAGAAGCTACAAGACAGCGTACGCCGACGCCGCCGGAACCCGGCAGATACCTATCAAGGCCAGGAGGGTGATGAGCTAGCCGAGGTTCCGCAGCTGCGTATCAGGAGAAAGAATGTCCCTTCTCATCCCCATATTCAACCAAGACATACCCTGCATACGGAACGACCTCCTGCCGTCCCACCCAAGCAGACGGGGAATGGGCCTGCTGCCAAACTATCTCTCCCGCCGTCACCTCCGCCTCCCGCTTATTCTGAACAATCGCCCCATACTCCTGAAAAGCTCCGATACAAAGTATACCCTATGTTACCCGTGGACAAAGACCTTGCCATGAGCCTGAAGCAGGGTACTACAGTGTCGACACCCCGCGAATCGATGCTCATACCGCACGACCCGATTTATACTTTTCCAACATTGGCGACTATACGACCACCAAGTGACGATGGTGGAGAGAACGGGACAACATTACATGTGGAATCGGCCAATACTCTTCGACTGGAAGATTTGGAGTCTGAGAGCAGGTACCCGTCTTTGATTTCTGGTCTGAAGGTCGCCGAGTCATCTCGAGCCGCTCTCGGCACTGTTGCGAGTATCCGGGAATCGGTGCCTGCAGTGCCTCGAAAAGGCTCCATCGATGGATCATCTGTATTTTCGCACATCGGGGAAGAGACGGATTCGATCTTCACGGAAACGGAATCTGCCGCGACAGACGACATGGAAGAGAGCAAACAAAAACGTCGACGTGTCGCCATAGAACCGCGCCAACCTCGCTCACGTGAATTGAAGCCTAGACTAGGACCACCTACCAGAATCCCAGCTGGGCGACAGTCCAGCGGCCAATCAGTAGAGACGTACAGGCGCACAGTTTCGGCTAGTGCTGCGAATGGCAAAGGAAAGGCGCGGGATTATGGGGAGGGTGTGGAGCTTGTACCGGACCGCCTGCCACATCCATCGCATAAGAGCCAGACAAACGGGGATGTGCGCCGACAGAATACCAGGAAGCGGGCCGATGTGGAAGCTGAGGATCAACCCAGGCGTGTCAAACGGGCGCAAAGCAGAGATGATCTGAAAAAACCGGCAAGCAAGAGACGTGTTGCGGAGCCGATTGACGAGGATGTTGAAGTTGAAGAAGTGGCCGATCGGCCGCTCACTCGGAGCACAACGAAGCAACGGGTCGCTGCTTACAACGCATTGTCGACAGGTAACCCAGCAGAAGGTGTTGCAACCCGGACAAGGACGGGCTTGGGTCGGCAAGGTGCGATCTCGACACGGGGTGGAAGGGGAAGGGGCCGTTCTGTGAGCGGTGTCTAAAGGTTCTTACTTAGTTTCTATTGGCATTCATACGATATCCGCCGTCTGGACACGGCACTGCATTGCATCTCTTGCTCTCTATGCCCTGATGTACCAAGAAAAATAATACTCGTCAATCTATGCTGGATCATCCTGTTTTGCTGTAGTCGCAGATGGCGGAAGCTCGCCCATTGCTTCCTGGAACGTAGCGGTGCTGTCTACGAGGGCTCTGGCGAGTCGCTTTGCGTCCTGGGACGGTTCCTGGAGAGCCGGGAAACCGATGTCTTTGATAACCCCATGGTACACCTTGTATTCCACCTTCTGCATTCATGTCAGCCAATACACAACGTGCATACATAACACCTACTTCAGTAAGGTCGGGTTGTGGTAGCTTGCCGCGCAAGGTGAAGTATGGCGTCTGGCCATATACCCAGTCCCAGGAAGAGAGCTCTTCCGCGCCCTTTTGTACCATGGCTATTTCCCGCATCTCTTCCTCAGTCACCGCAATCTTTTCACCAGGACCGAAGCGCTCTTCCCACACATCCGTCATGGCAGTGATGAATCGTTCGTGGGTGAAGCGTTCTGTTGGATCAGCCACCTCCGGAAGCATGCTCTCTACTTCTGTTCCAGCCTTGATCGCAGGCTCCTCCTCTAGTGCCTCTCCGTCCTTTTCCGGTTCCCACCCTGCAAGCTCCACCAAGTTCATCACTGGCGAAGTCTTGCTCAATATCGACTCCGTGATCATCCGCTTATCAAATTGGCTCGTGAGCGCCTCGCGCACCAGCTCCGAGTTAGTACTGAGTAACATCGTCCCATGATGGTATGCACGTTCAGCGATGATCTTGAACGCCGAACCCGAAATCTTGAACTCATCCACAAAGACGTCGAACCGGCCATTCTCCCGGGCACGGCGCTCGCCGAGCTTCTGGACCGCTTGACGTACCATTGTGGTCTGTGTCGGCCGGTGAAATGTCAATCGTGGGAGCAGCATGCAGAAGTTGGAGTTGCCTGGATCGTGGAATACTGCGCCGCCGCCGGAGCGTCGGCGCACAAGGGGCCAGCCCCGGGAGGCCAGGAGGCGGGGGGACGTTTCGAGCCAAGGATTCTGTCACCATACGTCAGGATCTTCCCAACGCTGATTTCACTATCACTCATGGATAGTGCAGGCAGATCAGTTACACACCTGATTTCTCCCGATGACAACACAATGCTCGTTCCGGTACAAGAACAGGATAGGCACCTCTACAGGAGTGTTGCGAAAGAGCCAGTCCTCGTAAGAGAGGTTGTACCAAGGTGAGAGGCTGTTGGATGTGTAGATCCGGGGAGTAGAGAGGGTGACCTTGGGCGGCTTCGGCTTCGACTTAACTGGCCTCGCCAGAAGGAGTGCGGTGGGACGCATTGATGGTGAAAGGGAGAGGTCAGTCAGGGTCTCCAGGAATTTTGGTCGTGAGAGGGTCAATGACGCGAGGCGCGTCTGAAAAATGCTTGCCACCAAAGATGTACAACGACATTAATGTAAATTATAGTCACTGTTGCCTATGCAGGCATCTTATCGGTAGAGCAGCATGACAGCATCTCGGATATACATTACACATGTGATGAAACGGTAACCTGTCCAGGGATCATACATCCATCTCGTCCTCATCCGGCTCGTAGTCATCCTCCATCTTCCGCTTCCCCTTAGCGCCCGCATTCGCCTTCGGTCCCACGCCAGAGTTGACCGCCGCTTTCGTTGACGAGGACGGGGCGGGTTCCTCATCGTCTTCGCCCCAGAACGAGAACTTGTCGTGCTGTACGGGGAGGAGCTTCCCTGTTCCGAGACTCAGTTTGTGATCCTCTCTAGAACCTCTCCAACAAGGAAGATAAGTCAGTTGCGCACCCTTGCTATCCCTCCAAGCAAGATATAATCTGTCCCACGCCATGAGTCTGAGCCCCATAGCCGTCTCCTTCTCCTCTAACACATCATACTCGTCCCCATTCCTCCTCATAACCTCAAAGTCCCCAAGCTCGGGTCGTAATGGAAATCCCGCTTCCTTCTCATCCTCGGGAGATGAGGAGAACTGGGAAAGCGCGTCAATGGCTTGGGCTTTGAGGTCCTGGATTGTTTGGGTAGGGACGAGGGTGAGAGCGAGTGTGTGTTTATGTGTCTTGACCATGAGGTGAATTTGGGGGAGCTTCTTAGGTGGCTGAGAATGGGACATATTAGGTATATGCTGTCGTTAGAAGTGAAATTGCCTACCATGGCAGTAATAAAACAATGAATGAGGATGACTCCTTCGCCTTCTTTCTAGGCACGTCAGATCGATGGACGGAAGTGCGCACGTGAAAGCGGAACCAAGGGCGGAAAGAGGGCCGATTCCGGCTCCGAAGCTCGGACAGAAGTTTACCCAAGATGAAAAGGGCCATCTAACGTCTCTCTCTCCCTTTTACCACCATCATCTCAGTACAGGGTTTATCACCACCTGTGCTCTCTCTTTCTCTTCAATCTGGCATATATCTATCCCCAACATCACTTTGCCTCTCCACCCGAACCTCCTTGATCTCTCCCAACATCCACCATGGCATCGCCTCCCTCCGACCAACCCCCCTTCTCCTCCTCCCCAACAGAATTCCACATAGACAACATGCCCGCCCCACGTCCACGGAAGCAGGGATCGGGACAGGGGAGCAACAGCGGGAGTGAAGACGTATATAATCCTCGGAGGAGCCCTACCCTCATTAGGTTCAATCCCGCCGATCCTGACTTCCAGGAGAGGCAGAGGACGATGGATGTCGATAGTGCTATGCAACTATGTACGATCCATCTCCCACTTTCACTGTGCAAATAGCTCATACTTATCGACAATGCAGCTCGGGCTAGAAGCGGCAGTGTCTCCACACCTGTCCGCCCCGTCGTTGGGTCCATGTCTCCCTCTTCGCCCCACTTGATGCGGCACATGTCCTCCTACCGCGACTCAATGGACTTTCCCCCTCTGAGCGAGACCGAAGAAGAGGCACTTCAGCGCGCCCGGGACGATTACCCGCATCTTGTTCCTGAGGAGGCGCTGGAGGATGGGGGACTCTCCCATACTCCTTCAGGTACTGCCCCAGCTTTGGTGGACACCACAGGGGCGCATGAGCCGGAGTATCAACACGAACTCGAACACACGCGCATGCTTATGTCCGATGATCCTATGGATGTGGCGGGAATGGGGCCATTGCCGATGTATCAGGCGAGCGCATACAGGAGCAACTTCGACTTCGGCCCCCTCGAAGGTTTTGCGAACGAGGAGAGGAACAGGCTTGAAGCGGCTAAGGGTACAGCTGAGCAAGGACTGCAATTCTTCAACAACAGTGGAGTTGGACCTGCGTCCGGCAGTGTCGCACCGCTGCTGGACGACGGTGCTGTTATCAGGGGAGAGATCATACCTCCACCCACTGCAACAGGGGAAACATTCGTCCAGCGGAGGCAACGCCGGCTCTCGCAAAGCACGCCCACATTCCGCAGGCAGGCGAAGCTCGCTGCCGCCCAAGCAGCGGCGGAGGCTGCTCGAACACAGGGATACGCGAACACTGAGGATCCTGGGCGGGGCCACGACCGTCCCTACCGGTTCTCTTTCTATTCCAACGCACTGCCTGCTGTGATTCACGCGCGGAGTCTGTCAGAGCTCCCTGCAGAGGGGCAATCTTTTGACGAACTCTTCAGCGGTCTGGAAGGCGAGTCATCTACCCCACCCAACGGCGGGCTTAACGTGAACGGGGCCAATGGCAACGGGGCAGGGAATGGTGCACCGAGGCGTTCTCTTTCCGGTTCTGCTCTTTCCGCCATGAGCGACGTACTCCCAGCCCAAGGTAACCGGCCGAAAGAGAGCCTCCTCGCGCGCGCGGCGGGATCGAACAATCGTTCGCGGGCCCCGTCCGTTGGCGCGAACCCTGCAGGGGCGGCAAAGGGAAACGGACCACCCGAGCTCAACATCCCTGCGCAGGATGAGCATCACACATGGTGGTTGGATGTCCTTTGCCCAACAGACGACGAAATGCACCTACTGTCCAAAGTGTTCCAGATCCATCCACTCACTACGGAGGATATCTTGATGGAGGAAACGCGTGAGAAGATCGAGTTGTTCCGCAATTATTACCTAGTGTGTTTCCGCTCATTCGACCAGGACCCATTCTCCCCCACCCACCTCGAACCCCTTAACATGTATATCATCGTCTTCCGCGAGGGCATCTTGTCCTTCCACTTCCGCGCTACCCCACACCCATCCAACGTCCGCAGGCGCATCAAGCAGCTTCGCGATTATATCAGCGTGACGAGTGACTGGATCTCATATGCCCTGATCGACGACATCACGGACGCATTTGGCCCCCTCATCCAAGGCATCGAGTACGAAGTCGACAGTATCGACGAGCTCGTACTTATCCTCAAGCAGGCGGAGCAGAGCGACATGCTTCGCCGTATCGGCACATGCCGGAAGAAAGTCATGGGCCTCCTTCGGCTCATGGGCAACAAGGCGGATGTCGTAAAAGGTCTTGCGAAGCGTTGCAATGAGCAGTGGAGCATTGCCCCGAAATCTGATATCGTGGGTCTTTAATTCCCAAGTAGTCGAATCGAGCGCTAAAATATTGACCAGGGCCTGTATCTTTCCGATATTCAGGACCACTTGATCACCATGACTCAGAATTTGAACCATTATGAGAAGATTCTCTCGCGTTCCCACTCGAACTACCTGGCACAAATCTCGATCGACATGACCGACGCGAACAACCAGATCAACGACGTGCTCTCTAAGCTCACTGCGCTCGGTACTGTACTTATCCCCATGAATTTGATCACAGGTGCGTGTACTTGTCGTGCTTTCTATTCTGGCTCATCCCGATCCAGGTCTGTGGGGAATGAACGTCCACGTTCCTGGCCAGAACGTCGATGGATATGCTTGGTTCCTCGGGATTGTTGGATCGTTGATCGCTTTCGCTATCGTCGGTGCCTTCCTAACCTATAAATTGATGGTTTCTCGTTAGATCTGATATTTGACTGGGTCGCTTTCTTGTCCTCTCTTGTTCAATTAAGTAATAGACTTCAATCATCAATTCCATTCGTGAGGCCTTGGTAAGATTACATATGCGGGATAACTGTACAACAGAAGTGAAGACAAAGGGTGCACTCTGGGCAGCTATGAGAGAGGTCAAGGCCACCGAAAAGAAGAACCAACAGGAAGATGAAAAGTATCAATGAGTGTCCAATTTTATCGAGCGGAAGCGCTCGGTGGCTCCGGCCGAGGTAGACCCGAATGACGCATATATTCTGGGGGAGTTCGGCCTGATGGCCGCATATCTGCAGGCTTTCCCTGAATCATGGTTGTTAGCTTTAGAAGCAGGAACGTGCATGGAACAATGCTTACCTGAATCCAAGGACCACCAGCACGGTCACCACCATCCTTCTGCCTCCCGAGCGGCAGTGTTGGAAGACTGATGGGCATAGAGCGCATAAAAGGCATCCCCTGGGCATGGTCTTGCCATGGATCGTCAGTGCCGGTTGCACCTATAGAGGAAAACACGTACGAGGAACATCAGGCAGGTCCATGCGCCTTTTCTTGGTGGGACGATCCATCACGGGGTCGATGTACGGAGCTGGGCCATGGTAAGGCATAGGCAACATTGGCATGGGATAATGCATGTGAGGTGGCATTTGGGATGCGGCTCCTTCGAGAGGTTTGCCCTCTACTAGGCGGGTGCATTGGAGGTGGTAGTGTCCATTGGCATCTCCTAAATTGGGATCTTTGTCCAGGAGAATTGGACCCTTCCCTTGCTTTATTGTTTCTTTATAGTCCAAATAGACAGGAGATGCAAGTTGTCCTTGATAGATCCGATCAGCAAATGAATGATGACATAAACAGCGAGCTCTTACCCATGATGACAGACACCACTGTGTTATGATAATCTTTCCCAGCCCGCACACAGCAAAGTAAGCAGCGCCAGTTGTCGGGCGTCTCTGCACCCATGCCCACATGTTCTCTATGATACACTTTATCACACCGAGGACATGTGATCGTAGGGTGGTTCAGATCTTCGTGAGCGCAGAGACAGAAGATATCATCTTCCCGGAAAAAGAACTCCGGGTCCCGGCGTCTCGGCCTTCTGGCAGGCTGGGGACTCCGAAGAAGATCCTTGTGTTCCTCGACCAGCCGTCGGTATAACACGGACAAACGCTGTTGTGGGGGAAGTTCATCACTGTCGGGTGCAACCCAATCCACATAGAGGAAGTATATGGCACGCATATAGCAGCGAATGCGATAGATATCCTCGTAGTTATGCTGACCCTGAAGGAAGAGATCCACTTCGTCCAGGAAATTCTGAAGATTCACAATGATTTTCTTCATGTCTTCATAATCGCGCCAGAATTTGCGTGTCAGAGTGGGTGCTCTGTTCGTAATGTGCACCAATTCGTAAAAGGGTGTTGGTTTACGCAGCTGTTCGCGTAAATGGTTCAAATACTCTGGGGTCCAGTTACCGGGATCACAAAATGGACACGATGTCATCTTGCATTCAACATGAATCTTTGCCTGGCAGTTGTGGCACTTCATGGTCGGTAACATCATGGGACCTTTAGGGCTTGAGCGTTCTAAACAAATGCAGCTGCATTCGCGAGGAATGCTGCGTTTGTAGTACCGCAACATCTCCAAAATCTCGTTCCGCATGTTACGGGGCCTTTGTTGACCTGTCCTCAGCCAGGCTGGGTTTTCTTCTAGCCAAGATTCATGCTCATCCAGTTCGGCCGTCATACGCTCCACCCAGGGTAGCCTCATATGATTGCAGAGATGCTCTTCTGCATAATCACATGTTCTTCGGAGTTGGTCCATACTGCGCAAGGGTTTGACAGAGTCAAAGCCAACATGCGGTTCGGTTAACAGCAGTTCAAAGCTTGCTTCAAGATCAAGTGCTTGGTCCACGATGGCTCGCAGCAGGTCAAGATGAGTGCTTGAAATGCCCTCCGCTTTTAATAAAAACTTGCGCATGTCACCCACTGTAGGGAGAGAGTCGTGGTTCATAGGGATGTGAGTCAAAACAATTCTCGCTTGATCCTCGAGGATTGCCGTTTTGTTTCGCAGATTCTCCATCTTTGTAAGGAGAGCGCTATCAATGGGTATCCACGCTGGTCGCGCCAAAGCACTTTCGAGTTCGGCCAAAGATATCACGGGCGCTTCGACACACTGTAATGCTCGTGCTTTCCAAACTTCACCAGCAGCCTTCTGTGACTGAAGCTCTCGTAAGATGGGGTGCGTTTGTGGGATATCGCATGCGGAAGCCCGATTGACGTAGTTCGTGATGTCTTCCAGAGACAGGACGCGAGAGTCAAACGTCGCCACTTCGCTCATAAAATTCACGCGCTTCACCCTCTTGTCCAGGAGGCCATATTCCTTCAATCGCACGTTGAGGGATGAGCCCTGCGCAAGCAGCGCTTCGCATTCCACCAGATTCTCGTCTTCAGAAGTGTGTAATAACACGGCTTGCGCATTGGCGGCGAAGTTCATCGCTTGCTCACGTACATCCACGAGAACAGGGAAATCGTCGCTTTGCACACCCAAAGTGTCGTACTCCCTGATGAGTCTCTCGATTTCCTCCACACCCTTGAGCGTCTCGTTGTCCGGTGGAGGCGTACCAGCGCCCTTCTCCTCTAATGCACTGCGCCGGGTCGTCCGAAGCTTTTGTTTGCGAGCATGGAACCTGCGAGTCGTAAAGGCACTTGCCTCTTCCACCCAACGATTCGCGCGCTCCACGCATCTCTTGAGTGTGATTAACTCGGGAAGTTCGCTGGAAAAACGCTCTCCTTCCGTAACAAGTGTGCGAAGGCTCTTGAGAGGTGGACGTGATGATGCCGCGAGGGTCTTGTGGAATTTTTGTCGCCAGGCAGTTGGAGCTGCCGCCCTTTCACAAATCTTGTTCAGAAGAGTCGTGAGCTCATCGTCCGCAAATCGCATGCGTAGGCTCTTCTTGCCGGGTTCACATGAACATAATTTGTTGGCATGGTCAAGACAAGCCACGTTAGAGGTGCAGGAACAGATGACTTGGGCTAAGAAGCAGAATGCGTGGCAGTGATGACATTGGTATTCTTCTTCCGGACGATCATTGTCGTCCACGACTTGGTCGATTTCAGGGTATTCCACTCGGAGCTTTTGACGTAGTCCCATCTCGCGGAGATACATCTCCTTGACTGGGATTTCCAACCTAGTTGACGGACAAGAATCAGACATCGCTCATGATAGTCAAATAAAGCATTACCATATTGAAGACTTGACATTCATGAAATATTGGGTGATCGTTATAAGCAGCTCGTCATGAGAAAAGACCGGAGGTTTAAGGTAGTTCCGATACCGGTGCACAGCCGCCAGATCACGAGGCAACCAATCAGGAAGAGCAAAGTTAACGGCTTCGTTCAGGTTGAACTGTGTGAGAGTATCCTCCGTCAGCCCGAGCCTCGAATTCTATGCATTTAGCGTTGCTTACTCCATGATTGAATCCCGAATGATAGGCTTGCGGGAATGTGATAACAAACTCCCCAGCACGTTGCAAACATTGAGAAACACGAACGCCGGACTTCTTCAGACGCTCAGGGCTGATCATAGTCACCAAATGGAAAAGTAGATCAGGCTGCGTCTCGAAAAGGTCGGGGGCAGCGTTGCGAATGGCGTTCTCAAATTTGTCCGCATGGTCACTGGGAATGCCATACCAAGTTTTCGTTTCACCCCAATGCACTGCATCTTGTTAAGGACGATGAAGCTTTACATCAAGATGAGAACGCTTACTGAAATTGATACTGTAGGTATAATGATCCTGATAGATGTCAACTCGTAGGCATTAAACGATTGATATTGAACAAACCTCATTGTGCCAGCAGAACGTAGAAAAGAGCATACCAACGTAAGTCCAAGGGACTGTCATGCCAGAGATATCGGACTTGATGTAGCGGAGGAGCGAATCGGGCAAGATGGGTAGGTTATTCAGATTCCATCCATCACGGGAGTATGGGTTTAGTGGATGAGTCTCAACCGTGGGGGAGGCACTGAGCTATGTGAGCAGCCTACTGAGTTGCAAGCGAAAAATCATACCTTCCGTGAATAGTTGAGTGAACATCTGCTCCATATTCAACCTCTACCGTCTCCGTACGAGATTCGACCAGCCTCCAGAATTCCCGCTCTACAGCACGTTCCGTAACCTTTTGCAGGCCATCTCCTATGACCCTAGCCCCTTCATTCATCTGTTCCTGATCTGCGGCTGACGGGGGATGAGCATCGAACCATTTCTTGCTGAACTCTACATCTCGCATGTGAAAACTCTCCAGACTATGCTCCTGACCCTCGTCAAAGCCATAGTCTCCACCGGTACCGAAGAGGCAAGCATGGCAAAACCACTGAGACTTGGGAATATATGTAAGAGGCGGGTCCAGACAGTACATATGAAACGCTGCTAGCCCATGAGATTGTGCACTCCGTAGGGGCGGGGAAGACGCACCGGCATCGCATCCATCACAGAGAAGCATGTTGGTGTTATCATTGTCTATCCTGCAGATTTCACAAGCCTGCCGAGGTGTCAGACTAATGACTGGTAAGCCGCATACATACATACATCACCAGGTTGGAGTGGCTCAAGGCGAATATCAGGGCTTTGAGCCCTTTCCTCTCGTTGACTTTGAGCAAAGGGCGGCATGAGATCTAATCCCAATTAATATCAACGGGATGACCTCGACGGACGTAATTACCGGTCATCCCTATGTCTTCTCCCCCACCGTCCAGCACCTTGTTTTCCTTCCTGGAATTACGGGACGGATCTTCTTCAAATTCGAAGCCCTCGGGTGGCTCAGACAAAGGACTGGAAAATCCAGGCTGAGGGACCGGCGTTGCCAAACCGCTGGATGCCGATCGGGTGGGCCGAAGTGGCGTTCTCGAGACAGACATACGGGGAAGGCGGGCCTTTCGTCCCACTAAACTCGACGGTGTGTCGAAATGTGCCCCTCCCTTCTTTCTCGGAGTCAAGGGAGACTGGGCAGGAGAATTACGTACATGTTCTTCGAACTTATCGTAGGGCAAGATGATACGCTGATAAGCCTGCTTGAGCTGTGTCGACAAGACGCCTCCCTGGCCATACCCAAGCTTTCTCGCTACTTCGGCCCATGCGCGATCCTTGATCACCTGCCGTCGAAATTGATCAACGTGTTGGATTAGAAACTTGGGTATAAACTTACACCTTCATAGCCTCCCCTCGAATGAACTTCCTTGCGAAACTCAAAAAGATCCAAGGGCCGATGCGAGATCGTCGGCACAGTAACACGGTCATCCCCTTGCTGCTTGTGAAATTGATTGAGCTTGATCATAAAATTAATCCGATCTCGTGCAGTCGCCTCAACAGAATTGAGTCGTTGAAGACGAGTCATGAAACGGAAGCTCTGAAGGACATTGTTAGTTAATCCATTGATAAACATAGATTAAAAAAATCCTTGCCTCAGTATCAGTTACAAAAGGCATCTGCCACGCTTCAGGAGGGATGATCTTGCATATACCATACTGCTTTCCGATCGGTGCGATCGAACCGATGTATCGCATAGGCTCTCGAAATTCGGCTTCCGTAGGTTTGAAGGTGGGGCATTCCTCGAGCCCAAATATGCCCCCATCCCCTCTGGACTTTGGTTTGGGGTCGTTGGCTTGCTTGATATTCGTCATGTTGAGTTTCGGGGCCTGGATCGACTCCGGTCTCTTCGAAAATGCCACGCTGGGTGCATTTACGGAGACCATACCTCTCGCGGGCGCTTGGACAGAGGGAATTTCCGGAGACTCCGATCTTGCATTGATTGCCATGAGAGCATCCAACTTGGCCTTGCGAGAGGGACGGCCACGAGTTGGAAGCGGAGGGGGATCTCGCGATATTTGAGTGGCAGAAGGTGGGTCCGGATGCTGTTTACGAGGGAATGCACCGTAATGTTCCACGTCGATCTCCAAACTTGAAACGAGAGCTGGCTTTACTGGTAAAGCAGAGATAGTAAGCAACACCGATGGGGGTTCCGGGGTTGACGGTGGGCCATCAGCGGGTGGGGGGGTAGGGACGGCGCTCATGACAATTGTGCTTTGAATGGGAGAGGAAGGAGAGCGCGCGAGCCGTGGAAGCTAAGACGACGGCCCAAATTTAGTCCCGATCAGCGGCTTTGTCCGTTTCAACAGAAGCTCAACGAACTCGGTTATCGAATAATCCAAACTTAATCTGAATAATTCCGTTATATACCGTCGAGCGCTAGCTATCAGTTTGTATGTTTACACAATTATTCAACAATGCGTGCATCGTTCATGGCTACCTTTGATGCAGATTGTATCCATTCGCTTTCACCTTACGGAGTCTCGGGTGAAGTTAATTCAGAGCCCGCTAGCGCCACATAGAGCGGCGGGATATGAACGAGGGCTTCCGAGGTTGCCGCGGATCCGTAACTCCCTTCAATCTAGAGAAACTCATCACGGCAGGAATACCGCAACCCTAGCCACAACTCTTCTCAAAAAGGCTATATATCCCCTCATGGAGGATATAAGAGGGAATGATGCGCTGGCGTTGACATGCGGAGTCCGCACAGTCTTGTGCCGTTCCCGCAATACAAAGCGAGATCAAGCTTAACGACACGACATGAAACGGAGGAATCGCGGTTTGATTTAGCCTCGTGGAGACTTCACTACTCCTCAACCTTCTAGAACTCTACCGTGGAGAACCGAAGCAGCCAGAGGAGAACCCTGTTCCATGTACTCGACCGCTGAAGATACGATAACGCCGTAGGTTTCCGCAACAACAGTCAAAACATGGCAATAGCTTCGCATTCCCAGTTGTATGCGGGGACAAGAGCCTGCAAAGCAAGTCATATCTCTATTCGTGTCGAAGAGAAAGAATGCAGAAGGGGATGACAGTATGGGAGATGCTCGGGTGCATACGGAAACGTGGTGGGCTGATTCAGGCAAGCACATCTTCCTATGACTTCGCGAACGACCCCTGACTTTTGCCGCTCGTTGTGGCTCTTGAAAGTACTCCCCCCAAGAATACTCAACTCGCCGGGATTACATCAGGTTGGCAGTGTGCTCCCTTGCACTGGATCTTGCCTTCGGGGACTTGGCATTCGATCAGACGGTCATCTGTTACCTTTTCTCGGCGAGAGCGAAATGCTGGGCTTCAGACCGGCAGTATGCAATCATGAGATGGTGTGTCAAGCACATGGATTATATGCGAGGCACACGAGGCCCCTGCCAAAACTGAACACCTCAATCTACAGTATCAGAAGGGGGTTTTCCTCGGAGGAGTACTGCTGTTGCGCAAGTACTAAAGACGGCAAGCTCTGCATCGGTCCGTTTTCTTAGATGGGTGAAGATCAAGGACAAATGCGATGTGCTAGTCGAGGAATGAGTACAACAATTATATATGCAGTGACTATTAGCTGAACAACCTTGTCATACAAGCAGCCAGACAAAGTTATGTGATGGCGCCTCAAAACACACCGAGCCCCATGCCGTCTACAACTTTGGTAATGCGCTCTTCCATCCACGGTGCGATCGCAAACAAGTCTTGGACTGTGAACGCCGCCCACTTGGTCTGCCCGACCAGATCCAGGTCCTCCCCTACTTCTGCGTGGTCTGGATGCACCAGCTGTGCGACGATCCTAGGGACATAGCGATGAGCATCTAGTCCGAATAAATTGCAGCACGAGGGCCTACATCATGGGTCCCGCCCATAGCTTCCCGCCTTCGTCCAATTCTAGTAGTGTCCCCTTGCTTCTCCATCTATTGTCGCCTCCGCCCGGTGTGTAGTTTGGATAATTACGATGTGCGCTGATAGGAGTCGGGTATCTGAGTGGCGGGTAAGTCAGCTCACCGACCGGAGGCGCCAAAGAGGAGGATATAGGGTCATCAGTGGTTGTATGAGTACGAGATGAGGAAGGGCCGGCAGACTCTGCCTGGAGCGGCGATGACGTTGATGCGGAGAACGAGTGTGTGTGGCCATTAGTATGACGAGGCGGTGGGGGTTGTGAGCGCGTATGCTCGGGCTGATGCGACGCTGAACGGCCAAGAACAGGGCCAGCACTCTGCGGAGAGGCCGGTCCAGCATCTGCTTGCCCAACACCAAATATGCCAGCGCCTAGAGACACGGTCAGGCGGCGGAGGATGCCAGTCCCCGGCTCGTTAGACATAGTTCTTCTTCTATACCGCCCATTCGGTGGCTCATCGTCGGTCGATCCGCTTGAGCGGGCACGAGATAGTGGTATACCGACATTCTGCATCAGCAGGGGAGTATAAGGATTTCGGAGGCTTTGAGGGGTGAATGCGACTTGAAGAGACCGTTGGCTGGCGATAGACAATGGCATTGATGCCAGAGTGTCAGAAGCTTCTGTTCCATCAGATATGGTTTCTGAGTCATCAATCCATGATTGGACTCCGGGAGGATGGAGCAACTGTCGTGCATTGCTATTTACAAAGAGCGAGCTTGCATGGTGTAGTACACCGAGGGCGATGACGCGTATATCGAGAAACTGAACAATAAGGCGCACTTGCGTCTCGAGGTGCATCAGGTTGGCTTGCAGTTTGAACTCGTCGAAAACAGCCAAGGGGTTGAACGTTCTTGCGTACGCTTCGCAGAGGTTGGCACTTCCTGGGTGCGAGTTAGAAGACAAAGCAGACCTCCGAAAGGAAAGCATACCGTTACGGTTTAGGAGTACATATCGACACCATGACTCATCTGCCGTACAGCTAGTATTTAAACGGTGCCATAACCTCATCGCCGTCCTTTGCACAGTAAGTCACGCGCTCCGTATTGAGCCGTATTACTCACCTCTTAAACGCCTCCTGCCAGCTGCCCTCCTTCTTCCACCTCCTCATTCCCGGCAGCCAGCGCCTATTGAATGCCTCTTCCCACATCTTCTCTGTTAGCGAGGGCATTGTCGCGCTCAGCAGGATCCATTCTAATCGTGCAAGGGCAAGGATCTCGATCCAATTCCTGCGGGGCACGATCTGCCTCGCTCCTAGCAGGGCGAACTCAGCAGGGTATGGGTCGGACGAGAGGAGCACACGTCGGATGGGTTGGCGCCAAGGGTTGAGCAGCGGGGAGGCAACCACCGAGCGGAAGAGGGTGGAGACGGACGAAGCGGCGAGGAGCGAGGCAAGGTCGAGTTCGGAGAGAATTGAGGCAAATAGCTCGACAGGAAGGAGGTCGAGTGGGCATAGGGGACGCGCGAGAGCTGTCATTGCCGACTCAGCGCAAGCAAAGAGGAATATGGTGGCCCAGAGCAGGAAGGCAGCAGATTAGTTGTACAAGTAATGGAAGATTAGCAGAGATGTTGCATGCGTGGAGAAGGACTCAGGGACAGGAGTATGATAACCGGCAAACCTCAGTCATCCCTTCCATCAAATCCAACAATTGACTTTCCGCCCATTGCCATACTAGGCGCGAACCTCCGATCATTGCGACAGTGGCGTGGCGCTAGGAACTGGGCGCTCTGAAAAATAGTATAATATTCGATTAACCTAACGTCCCCTACGTATGTACAAGAGCAGGATTTTCACCCAATTGAACTAGGCAAACGCCTGGACTCCAGTAATCGCCTTGCCCAGGATGAGTGCATGAATATCATGCGTGCCTTCGTAGGTGTTGGCAACATGCAGGTTCGCAACATGGCGGCCGATGTGATACCTATCCGAAACATCAGCTCGCGTCCCAGCTCTGCAAATAAGATCAACGAACTCGTCGCTGACAGAGTTGCCACCAAAAATCTCCATCAGCTTCCTGCTTCCCTCCACCGCCTTGCCGCAATTGTTCCGCTTCACCAAACTGATCATTTCAGGACACCACTGGCCTTGATCCTTCAGCCTCCCCACCTGGTAGCTCGCTAGCAGGCCAAGTGTGGCTTCTGTATGCGCGTCTGCAAGCTTCTTCTGTACGAGCTGGAACGCAGCAAGCGGCTTGTTGAACTGATGTCTCTCGAGTGCGTACGAGCGAGCGCGGGCAATGCAATCCTCCAAAGCTCCCATGACCCCCCATGAGATACCATATCGTGCGCTGTTCAGGCAGGAGAAGGGGCCCTTGAGACCTGTCACGTTGGGCAGGAGATTGGCGGCGGGCACCTGCACATTCTCCATGAAAATAGAACCAGTAATCGAAGCACGCAACATCAGCTTGTTCTTGATGGCTGGGGCCGAGAGTCCTTCCATCCCCTGTCACAGCACAAAATTAGTGGTGTTTCGAACTAGGCGCGGCCAACGCACCTTCTCTAGGATGAACCCTCTGATGAGGTTGTCCCACTTGCATTTCGCCCAAATGATGAAAATGTCCGCATATGGGGCATTTGAAATCCACGTCTTGGCACCATTGATCACGTAACCTCCTCCAGGTGCCTCAGAAGCGACTGTGTCCATGCTCGCCGGATCCGAGCCGTGGTTTGGCTCGGTCAATCCAAAGCAACCGATCAGCTCCCCTTTGGCCAGACCAGGGAGATATTTTTCCTTCTGTTCCTCTGTACCGAACTCAAAGATCGGATGCATGGTCAAGCTGCTCTGAACAGACATCGTACTCCTGTGCCCGGAGTCGACACGTTCCACCTCGCGTGCGATGAGACCGTACGCGACGTTGGATACGCCCGCGCACCCATAGCCTTCGATCGTTGCACCCAACAGGCCGAGCTCGCCCATCTCCTTGAGAATAGCAGGCTCGAACTCTTCTGTGCGGTAGGCTTCCAGGACACGCGGTTGCAGCTTCTCTTGACAATAGCTGCGCGCCATGTCACGGATTGCGCGTTCTTCTTCCGTGAGCAAGGAGTCAAGATTCAGGGGGTCCTCCCAATCGTACTTGACGAACTCTATACACGTTATCAATACAAAAGAGCAGTGCGAAATAGGTGTGCTCACTGGACATAGAGGCCATTCCCCTCTTTATCGGCACCGCGCTTTTCCATACCGCCGTCCTGACATTCGACCTCAGAGCATTAGTTAGGAATGCCATGATGGGTGATGGGTGCGGATTGGGGTCGCTTGGTGCTGTTGCCAAGCACCTCACAGACCCTCTCTCGCGTATATATACCCCGCGCTGCCGAGCAGGACGTTCGGACCCGACGGACAACGTCGAGTTGTGCTTCGAGTCGGCGTTGAAGAGTTCCGGTCCGTCACGGGCACCTTATTACCCCGCCGGTTGCCGGGTGAGGGGTGATCGGGGATGATCGACGGATTTGCGGAGTATGATCGAAAACTGATTGATATTGGAGTGGCGGTGCAAATTAGTTCGTGACTTTTCGAGGACGTGCCGTGGGTTGCGCGCGTCCTCTGTCCGCAGACCGCATACATCGTCCTTTCTCTCGATCCACTTTCCATCTCTCTCTCAAGCAACGCATTGGGCGCATATATTTGCTTTTTTCTGCTATTTACCTATGAGTCGACGCCGCTGGGTCACCGTCGCTCTCACAACTGCCGCTGTTGCAGGCACTGGCTACTACGGATATTCCCAGTGGATCTCCCGGTCACGTTCTGAGCCCTCATCTTCCAGCAACGACATGTTTCGCGCTTGGGTGCGTATTGACAGCAAAACGAGAGAATTCCGCTCGTTCCCTTTGCTCCCTCATTCAGCGGTTCATGAACTGCTCAATGCCCACGTTCGCTCTTCTTCCCTGGTCCTCCGTGGCGGCAAGAAATGGTCGTGGAACGTTGCTCAAGTCTCATCCAACGAACCCTGCGAAGATGGACACGCTGAGATGATCATCTCTCGAGATGAACCATCGGCCAAGGAAACTGGAAAGGACAAGGGCGAGATGCTCTATTTCGCGGTGATGGACGGGCATGCAGGGCCGTGGACGTCTGAACTCCTGCAGAAGACCCTCATCCCTACCGTGGCACTCGAGATGGATGCGCTGATGAAAGGTCTTCCATCACCTCTCCTCCCGCCAAAATCCACCTTCCTCAACATCTCCCCTCTACTTCCCTCCTTTCTTCGGACAGACGGCACCGCTCAACCAGCACTCGTAGAGCAAGCCCTCCGACGCGCATACACTCAACTCGACCGCACCATCGTTTCCTCCGCGCTTGCTTTACTCGACTTGCCCAAGGATAAGCGGCCAGCTGTTGTCGCCCCATTCCTGCGTCCTGGGCTCTCCGGATCGTGTGCGCTCCTTAGTGTGCTAGACACCCAGCACGAGGAAGTACATCTGGCCCTCGTGGGGGACTGTAGGGCTGTAGCGGGATACTGGGACGAAGGCGGCAAACGATGGGTCTGCGAGGTTCTCACTGAAGACCAGACGGCAAAGGCGGTCAAAGAAGTGGAACGGCTCAAGAAGGAACATCCCGGAGAGGAAGAGATGGTCGCGCGGAACGGGCGTGTTCTTGGTGGGTTGGAGCCAAGCAGGGCGTTTGGAGACGCCAGATATAAGGTATGACTATATTTGATCATCACCACTATTGCAAGTCTGACGATGAGCAGTGGACTAAAGACCAACAAGATCGAATCAACCGCGAGCTCATTTCGCCGCCAGACGTACTTCGTACCCCTCCTGCCTTCCAGACTCCGCCATACGTGACTGCCGATCCAGTCGTCACACACCGTCCCTTCCGCATACCCCTTACCACTACGGGCGGTAACCCATCTGTTCAAGACAAGATCCCGACCGCACAACTGCGATTCCTAATTCTGGCCACCGATGGCCTGTGGGATGCCCTGAGCCCAATGGAGGCGGTGACGATAGCCTCCACACACCTTTCGCAGACACACGCCGGTACCTTCCCACAGAGCACCAGTCCGCCTATCCAGGGTGCCGCTGGTGTGGACGGGAAAGGACCTGGGATGCATGAGCCGGATAAGTCGGCTGAGACGTGGGTGTATGACCAGCGGGACACGCCAGCGGTATGCTTGATTCGAAATGCCCTAGGTAGCACGCCGGATCAGGTCCGTAGGATGCTCAGCCTGAGGGCCCCGTATTCGCGCAGGGAGCGGGACGATATGACAGTCAGCGTGATTTGGTGGGAAGAAGGAAAGGACGAGGAAGTGGCGAAAGCAAAGTTGTAGCCTGTAGTGCCCCTATTGTGTGAGAATGTCGTGTCTCGCGCAGCTTGTATTGGAGATCTACGCCCGAATCTACATCATTGTGTTGCTATTTTACAAAAAGACGCCCTCTACACCGCACACATCCTGAAAAGAAAAAAAAAAAGACGAATCTACTAGTTCGACAGGGTACTCGGCGATGAACCCTTGTACTGTTATTGGTCAATCACAAGCGCTTGACCTCTTATTATGCCCGTTGAGGGAAGATATGCTGCGGTTGTGGGAACGCACGTTGCGGATAGTCTCTGATAGGTGTCCGTTGACGATTGACAGAGAAGGCCGGCTCTTCACCCGCGAAGCCCTCCGCAGAACGAGCACGCTTGAAAGGTGAACCAGAATTGGGGACATCAGACATCCGTTTGCCGTTGCCATTGAGTTCGTGGCCTGCGTCCCGTTTGTTGTTTGGCCGTATTTGTTCTCTCGTCTTCAGACTGTTGGAAACACCCATGCCACCAATTTTCGCGGATGCAGGCGACCTCGTAACAGTCTTCATTGCCTTGGAAGGTACAGGATCTCCGCCAAGCGACAAACGTCCGGTCTGCCGACGTTTCACAGGGGAACCAATGTCGTCGTCATCAGACGTTCTCTTGCCATTGGCGTTGGCTTCCACATCCAGCCGCCGCTTGTTCGGCTGCATTTGCTCCCTGATCTTCAGTGGCCTGGAGGTAGCGCCATCGGCAGCTTTCACGGATCCCGTTACCTTGAGGCCGGTGATTGTGGAGTTTCCCAGCGATCGCGAGCCCATCATATTCACCCACGACTTCCTAGGACCAGGTCCTTGTGGAAGGGACACGTTCACCTTGACATTCCGCAAAAGGCTTGGTGATTTGCCTATGGGACTTGAGGGATAGCGACCGTCTAGGCGAGGACGCTTGAATCGGCCATCACGAAGATCGTCTTCGTCATCATTCTCATAAATAGCAAAGCGCTTTCCAGTCCTACTGACAATGTTCCAGATACGAGAGACACGAGCCTCCGCACGTGCTCTGACACTGGCACTATTTTGAGGGACTTCGATCTTCAATGGGGATTCCGGATAAGTGGGCGCTTCATCTTCCCGAATGTAAAACAGCATATATGCGTCCCGCTGGTCGGTCGCTTTATTGATCCCTCGGACGTACTCATCATTGCAGGCGGTCCAGACTGGTTTATCATATCGCAAGGTCTGAACAGCTGCGAAATAGTGACCTTCCTGTGTTGTGTTGCTGTCATGGATAATGACTGAGGCAAGGCGGTACCACACCGGAGCGATTAGCTTCGAGGACCCGTCTTCGACCATGTATGGAGCAAGATCCAATTTCGGTGGGTAGGACACGTGATGTTCGAACTTGTCACCGGGCTCACTCCCTACTGCGAATCTTTTCAGGTATAAGGTGAGAACTTGGGGTGCCTCAAGGATCTTGAACGTTTTGACGGCGCTTCTTTTTGCATTGCAGCTGATGACGCTCAGTATGGTAAAAGCGGTATGACTGAAATGAAACTAACTTTTCGCAATGGTAGGCATTATCATCCTCGAAAGTTTCGGGTTTGCTGAATTGGTCATTCAGAGATGTGAAGATGCTCTTGAATCTCGTCATTCCAGCCATATCGGCTATATCAAGCGGCAGATCCCTCTGTTTGTCGACTTTATCACTGCACTTCATACAATGTTTGCACTGGATACGCTGGCGCGTCTTGAACCCAAATATACGATCAACGAAAGTTGGTGTTTTACTCTCGGCCGTAGGATTGTCTGAAACTGCTTGGTCGAGTTTGTCGATGAACTGAGAATAGAACTCGTGTGCATCCTGTTGTTCGTATACCTCTCTGAGCCGCTTCAGTTTCATGATGAGATCCATATAGCCGAAAACCTCAGATGCTGTTGTGTTGTACTTGGTTACATCTGCGGCTAGATCTCTGACGCGACCGGCCGTATGGAATCTCTTGATGAGATTGACTGCGGAACAGAATATGCAGTATGGTGTCTCTTCTTTGGGAGCTGTGACCTTGATTCTGTTGTGCAGACAGCAGTCAGAATCGGGTTCGGCGAGGAGAGCCTGGGCGAAGGGCGGGCACCAGAAGAGAGTCTGGAGGACGGAATTCATGTAGCAGCAATTTTCTCCATTCGAGAGACCACAAGCCGGTGGAGGGTACTTTTCCCAGCCCATCTTCAAACCACGTGAATTGATATCCCAGGTCTGGCATGGAGACGTCTCCGCCTAGCCGATCGTGTTCATGACAATTTCTCTCCTCAATACAAGGAGCAAGCCCACCTTGACAACGTCATACTGGCGCAGCATTGTTTTGTCTGCAGTCACAGGTAGATCTTGCCTGGCCGTTGGCACCTTGTCGACAGGGTCACGAACATCGGTATTGTTCTTCACTGAAGTGACATCAATCCCCAACCCCGGTTTGGGCTAGCCAGTGCATTAGAACTAATTAGACTGCATCGCTACAAAACGTACCTCGGGGATATCCGAGGGCGCGCTGCGCTTGACCGCGAACTCTTCGCCTACCCGTACGGTCACATCCCCCTTGGACGCCGCGTCCTTCGAAGTGATCATGGATTTGGTGGAAGGATGTTGCGCCTGACTCGCCAACGTTAGCCGTTTCCTGACACTGAATGGGGGGTGCTCACAATGAGTGCTTCATCAGTGTGGGTATGGCCTATCCTGTCGGCAGGGGGTGGTAGGTTGCACGCGACGAGTTTTTCAGTCAAATTTGTGGACTTTGCTTCTTTCTCATAGAGAACGAAGCGTATAGGGGGGTTTTCCTTCAGAACATCGCCCATCCTTTTGAACTCCTTAAGATGACTAGACAGCGGAGTGGAGGGAAGAACAACGCTGTCCATAGAGGCATCCAACGCCAGAGCGGCTTTATAGGGGAGGAACGAGGAATGAGGCAACGAATCATAGCAACAAAAGAACCCCACCATTTGTTTCCGCCCACGTGCAGCTTTCCAAAAATAATTACGTAACTCGAGGGTTTTGACAGGCCGATTTGTTCGCACATCTGGTGTTCTGCAGCTTTCACGAGCACCCACTGGGAGTCCATTGCGTATATACAGTATCAGTCCTATTGAGCCCCCGATCCCTATCCAGAACCTTATCCAGTGTGTGTAAATGTGCAAGTGCTGGCAGGCGCACAACACATTTCCTGGCTTTGGGAGGACTTCTCTGGGTGGTAAATTGCTATTAGGACGAGTGAGACATCAAGACTAAGCCTCCTATCGCTTTTTCCGTCTCGCCTCATTTGGATTTCTCCTCCCATGACCTACGGCCGGCATTCCACCACCACGTTTCCTTCCCGCTTCACCCAACAATAGCCCAGGAATCCAGTCGGGGTCATCCCAAGTTCCTTGACCTCTCGGCCGCTCACCCTTCGCAGCAGCTGCCATAGCCCTCTCCATTGCTCGCTCCTCTTTCGCTTGCCTCCCCTTTTCCTTGTGGAGGGCCCTCTGATACTCTATCTGATCCTCGCGTAATATCAGACCCGATCCACCGGTGCCGCCGCCCTTCGCTTGCCCAAGTTTTGGTAAGGGAATGGAATAGATCGTGCCACGTGTACGGTACTGAAAGTTCGGCTTGAGATGTACTCGGAAGATAGGCTCTTGGTTCGGTGAGCCAGGTGATGGCGCTTCCGTAGATACGGATGTACGCAGCAGCGTAGGGTTGCCGCAGGATGGACAGAACTTCTTGGTGGGATCCTTGCATATCCTGTTAAGTCATGAGCACGCCGTTCCCGCGTATTGGAAGAGCGAGGACGTACTTGAAACAAGCATGGCATCTCAACACCCAGCTTTTCACCTTGGTGATCCGCTTTCCTTCCATAGTCACTAGATTGAGGTGCATATGCATAAGAACGTTCTGCACGGCATAATCTGCTGTCATGCAGGCGACTATCATCGGTCGATTGTCCGCCTTCGTACCAGATGCGTTAGGCTCGCGCGCCCGGGACTTGTAGCTATCAACGTTGGAGGGTGTGATCCATTCGCCTTCCCCGTCGTCTGATGGTGGATCGTCCACATCGACAACAGTCGGCGCTGGAGCGTCGTCGGAAGGTAGGGGGTCTGATGACTCGGGCTTTGTCCGACGACTCGTTTCCCCCTCGATATGAAGGTTCTCCATTTGGCCCTGGATATCCTCGGTGCCTTCCAAAGCATCATCGGTGTTCTCCTCGTCTTCTTCCTCCTCTTCAGAACTAGCTCCAGAATTCGCCTCGTCGGCATTTTGAGGTCCATCATCTTCCGCAAGTACACCGACATTCTCTGCGCCGTGCAGACCGCACTCATTGCTTAAAATCTGTGATTCAATCGCATTGTTTGTGGTTTCTTCGGTAGCCAACTCATGTGTGAGGGCAATCACGCCTACGTCAGCCTGCGAGAGGACGGCATAATCTCCAGTCTTCTTCGCTGTGATCGTCACTGAGTCCAGAATCAGCGCTATTCCCATCGCCCTATAAGGCACGCACCTTGTGACACGGAAAGTATATCTGGCTGTCGCACTTGAAGGTGCACGCCAGCTGTTAAGCTCAGATTCTGGAAGTGCTCCCTGGCACGAGGATCCTTTAGCTCTTCCACGATTTGTGGTGTGGTATAGTAGTTCTCCGCCAAGCCCCTGAGAGGGGTAAATGTGAGGAGCGGCCCCGCATCCAATACGAGGTGCTTGATCCGTGGTTTTGACGTGCTTGCGTTGGCTGGTGTAGTCATTGCACTAGGGTGGTGAGCATCGATATATCGCAGAGAATTTCACACGCCCAGTCATAAAAACCAGTGGCGGCGGAATTGTGGGAGATTTTCCGGTACGGAGCCGAAAGAAGCGAGGACCCTTCAAGTTACCTCACTTAAAACCGTCGGCCGAGCAACAGCTTGAGGTGCGGGGAAGGGCGAAAAGTGTTCACAGACGCAGCGTACACAGTGCTAACGCTTCTCTCCTTCTCTCTACTGTGTAATATGGCTATCAAGACGTGGGTCAGGTTTGTTACATCGAATACTATTCTCATACGCTGCCAGGTTCAAAATCGCTGTCCTGCCCGGCGACGGCGTTGGTACGAGGCTTCCCCTAGATTCGGCAATATGGGTCACCCGCTCACATTTGCACAGGTCCTGAGGTGATTGCGGAGGCGCTGAATGTGCTTCAAGTCGTTGCCGCCTCCAACAAGAGTGTCAAACTCGAATTGTCGACACATGACTTCGGCGGGTGTGCGATTGACAAGACCGGTCAGCCCCTACCGGACAGCACACTGGAGGCGTGCAAAGCGGCAGATGCCGTCCTACTCGGTAAGTGTCCTCCACGTCTCCACTTCCTTTAATTTCGTACGCTATCTTTTGGTGCTTCGATTTGGCCTCCGGTGTTTGCCTCCACTGGTCATCATGAATCCTCCTGATCATTCGCCATAGGCGCTGTCGGCGGTCCGAAGTGGGACAAGGGAGGGCCTCGTCCGGAACAGGGCCTGCTCGGCTTACGCAAAGCCCTCGGTCTTTATGCCAACATACGCCCCGCTAACTTTGCGTCCGACTCGCTGCTGTCATACAGCCCGTTAAGGGAGTCGGTTGCCCGTGGCACCGTGAGTGCTTCACATTGGACAGAGTGCATACACGCTGACCCTGCATTGTTGGGTAGGACATGATCATCATCCGCGAGCTCATTGGTGGGCTCTACTTCGGCCAGCGGCAAGAGACGAACGCCGAGGGTGTTGCCTATGACACAATGGTCTATTCGATTCCTGAGGTGGAACGGATTACGCATGTCGCGGCACAAGTTGCGCTCGCAAGTAATCCACCTCTGCCCATCCACTCAATCGACAAGGCGAACGTACTTGCCAGCTCCAGGCTGTGGCGCAAGACAGTCACGGAGACGCTGGCAAAGGACTACCCGCAGCTCAAACTGGACCATCATTTGGTAGACTCAGCGGCGATGCTTATGGTGAAAAACCCGCGTGCGCTCAATGGAGTCATCGTCACTGGGAACATGTTTGGTGACATGTACGTATCTTACTCCTATAACAGCCTCTAGGGTTGACATCATTATTTCAGTCTTTCGGATGAAGCTAGTGTCATCCCAGGCTCGCTCGGCCTCCTGCCCTCCGCCTCTCTTGCTGGTGCACCGGAGAAGGGAAAGGTGACAACCGGCCTGTACGAGCCCATCCATGGCTCCGCACCCGACATTGCTGGACAAGGCATTGCCAACCCCATTGGTACTATTCTCAGCGGGGCCATGCTTCTGCGGTACTCGCTCGGGCTGGAGAAGGAAGCCCAGGCCGTGGAGGACGCGGTGCGCAAGGTGCTGGACGCTGCGGACCTGGGAGGGTATGATGTGCGCACCAAGGACTTGGGTGGACCTGCTACTACGAAGGAGGTAGGAGCAAAGATCGTTGAGGTGCTCAAGACCTTGCTGTAAGCTATGGGTACAATGGAAGTAAATGGAAGTTACATGTGATTCTGAGACACCTGAAATGGAATAAACCAATACACCATCCATGTTTCCTACCTGCTAATCCAGTCCTGAGTGCGTGCCCACGCGCAGAGGTCTGCGGCACTTTGCAAGAGAATCCCACGTTGCGCTCGACGCGGCTTACCTACGGGCCGTGCGTGAGCTTGTACCACGCCCCGTAGGAGCTCCTCCGTTTCAGAAAGGCTGCTAAAGCATCTTATTTCTTGATTAACCCGCACATTGACTCTGCCCTGGGCGGGGCCTGGTTTCTTCAGGCCCTTGTGCTTCAAGAGCTTGAGAGCAAGATAGTGCAACCACTGCAGAAGATGAGCAATTATCTGAGCCATCGTTTGTCCGGCATACCATCAGATTGGTCATGGGGCGATAATCGGCCCAATTGTCACCATTGTGGCTTTGCATCATTCGATAGACTACATAGTAAGATCAGATCAAAATATTCGATGACATGGAAAACATGCTCCATACTGTCGTACTGGTAGTCACCTAATAGCAAAATAAGCGACTATAACCTTGGTGATGAGGAAAAGCGACTGACCTTCACCTTCGAAAACCTCTGGTTCGAAGGGTGTGAAGAACGGAGGCTCATCAACATTAGGCCCATCCATCCGAGAGAAGCCGAAATCGATTATCGTGACCGCCACCCCATGATCAGGCTCGTCCATACATCTTCCAGGTTTGGTCGCGGCATTCGTTACAGGTAGAACGAGTAACTGGCCCCAATGAAGATCTCGATGCTGAGAGTTTGCTTCAGATAGCACAAAGTGTGCGTGGATAGCGACGAACCTCAAATTGCAGGTATTGCTCTGCTCTCTCGAGCGATTTTGCTACTTGCCAGAACACAGAAGCTGCTTGTTGCCAGCCGGTCGATTTAGGGAATCGGTAATGTTCTAAATCTTCTCCACAATACGACATCTGGATGATGGCATACAGTTGATGCTCGTTGAAGCATCCTGAGAGCGTCAGTAAGTGAACAGATGCATTCCTGCGGTGCGCGAGCATACCAGGTCTAATGCTCTCAGATTCATTCACAGCATCCCAGCGATCCCATTCTGAAAGCAAAAAATGGGGATAGCTCCCTTGTACGACGTGCGCACTAGGTTAGGATCAGATTAAACCCTCAACAATTTTCCTGCAACTGATATGACAAACCCTAAGAGGGCGGAGAAGCCAGACCCGCCGGGCAGGCCGCCCAATCTTGACATGAACAGAATCTCTCGAAGGGCATCCTCCACAGGGGTTTCTGGTGGGCGATCTTCGGTTATGTGGCCAAATTCGACGTCAGCGAGTAATGGCACGATCTTGAGCACAATTTCGCCGACAGCGAAGACCTCGGAATAGGATGCTTCTCCAACTTTTCGGTAAGGCACGACTTCTTCATAATACTTGGAGGGCACAGTTCGGATGAATTGACCAAAATCCACGGCTTCCTCTTGGTGGCAAACGCTCAAAAGTTGTTGAACACCATTAGGCCGAACAGGAGGATTCTGTGATGCGGGCGTAGCAATGATCGAGATGCTGAAGGAAAGGTCGCTGAAGGACGTCAACAAATCATCGAAGGATGGAACCACCGCCCCAGACCCCCGCCACAGGAAGGGAGAGTCGCGTCGCTTTCCCGGAAAAGGGGAGAGCCCGGCTGATGACAACTTGTGGCCAAAGCGTAGCCGCTCGCGTGGAATCGGAGTAGTGTATACTGTGTGGCGGGGCGTGGATTTCTGTGATCCACTGAACGATCCGCTGTGGGGCGTCCCGGGTGGTGACGAAACATGTGATCGTTGTGGATACTGGCTTGTCGGAATCGAGTCCCCTCTACCACTAGAACTTGAAGCCTGATCAGGTCGGCATGCATTCCTGTCTGTTCCAGCTTGAGCACTGATTCCCCGAACAGCAGCCGTAGACGACGATGTGTCAGACACAGGGACTGTGGACAAGAACAATTAGTCCGACTAAATTGGACTCGCTTCATAGTAACTCACAATTCTTCCTGTGGTCTTTGATTGATGAGAATGAAGCCCCAATCACGGGGTGAACCTGTGAGGAAGATGCCGTCCCGATTGCCTTCGCAGTGGTATAGGTGGCCTCTTGACGTGAAGTCTTAGAAATCACGATACTCTGAGTGTCGAGTTGAGTTTTGGTCCTTTTTCGCGGTTTCCGCTTCAAGCCGGTCTTTTTCCTCGTTAGGGGTATTACTGAGGCTGGCATTTCATCGTCTCCATCGCTTCTGGACAAATCGATAGGCGCATCTTCGGTGCCAGCACTAAGAGAGCGGACATGAGCACAGTTAAGTTGATCCGTGATCTTTGGGCATTCCAGGTCCACAAAACGCGGTACATCATCCTTGGTCGCACTATTGTCGACTTCAACAAGATGAATCCTGTTGACATCCGCTTCCTTTAAGGGCGATGGCGGACGGGATATTCTTTTCGGTTTTGCGGGGTATTCAGAAGCTTGTGAGCGCCTGGAGCCTTTTGTTGGTGAAGGAGCGGTGCGGAGGCGTTTGTGGCCTGCAGCGGAGCGAGACGCGGAGGCAATAGGCTGGAGTGAGCTCGAGGTGCCGTGCCTGGCAGGTGTTACGAGATGTTCACTGCGCTTTTTCCTGTTCAAACCCGGTGGACGAGCAGCCAACTTTGTTTTAGGCAGTTTTTTGATCGAATCGCCGCTATCAGTGTCTCCATTGTTGTCACTAGGCAGCCTTGGAGACGAGCTTGCTTCCTGCATCAAACCGCTCGGCTCCGCTGTGTCGAACAATATTGTCACAGTCCGCCTGGGGCGTTTACCATAGGTCTTGAACGTCTTAGTCGCCATATTGTGACGGGCCGATTAGTGTATAGATGTGAAGGTCATAGGACACCCAGCAAATGCAAAAAATCAGGTGGAGTCGTGCACAATATCGCCGTTGTAGACAGATCCAGAGGTCGACGCGTCTTGTGATGACGCGCGTATTCAAACCAGCACGTTCAATCGACACTGCCACCACGTGACTGTGACGAAGTTGATCCGCTCACCTTCCGAATCCAGTTGAGAATGTCTTAATTAGATACGATCACCGCTCGAACCTCAGACGCAATATCATGTTCCAGAAAGACTGGGCATTTTGAAAGGCTTGGCATGTTGTAGTTGAATACGGCATGGATCTGCGGGATCGGGTCCCATTGAGCTGCATCTGGGGTCAGGGAGCGGTATTCTCAGAAGGTTTGTAACCAAGAATACGACGGCATCCCGTGAAATGTGGGGAAGGAAAAGAAGCGGATTGATGGGATCCTCCAATGAGAGCGTGTAGAACGCTGAATTTGCGGGTGAACGAGTGAGACCCGGTGAGCTCGCGTGAGCCCCAAAGAAGGATGTAGCGCTCGATAGCCGGATTCACTTTAGGTGAAGGATGTTGTCTCCGTTAAAGCTTCCGTCAGTTTGATGTGTTTCTTTCACACAGCCACCCAAACCAACTCTATTGAACCTGCCTACAGACCCTCACCTGGCCAGGGCGATATGTCTTTGGCGGGATACAGTCGGATTCAGGTATCTTATCTTGCAGTCGGATTCTCCACTCCAGCGATTATTTCGAGCATTACCAAATTGGATTCCGTCGTCATTGGTGTGCTCGAGGGCTAGTACTTCCATTCCCACAATGTCCCGTTCCTCCCGCCTTTCCTAGCCTACTCAGTCGTCTCCTTTCGTGAAGAACATCTCATGCGACCGGATTCCTCTCCGGTTGACAAACACATTGCATTCGAGCTACCATCGCGTGCCGCTCCCGGTCATCTGCCCTAGGACATCGACCTTATCTTGCTTCGGATTACTTCCCGTATATAAAAACCAGGCTGAATACGCCGATCCATCTACCAGGCTTGTCTCCTGAACATAAATCCTCCGGGCGGTGGACATTGTCAAGATGACTCCTCATATTGAGCATCCCGCTCCACACGCCGATGCGAATCCCGGATTCTTGTTCGGGTCTACAATCGAGCCGGTGGATATGGTTCCTCCTCTCCACGAGAGCGGTTCCATCACACCTCCCGATCTCGACGAGAAGAAGGCCTATGCCGAAACCGATCTCCGACCAGTGACTACCACCACCACAGGATACGAGGAGGTTGCTGAGCACTTGCTCGGAACCGAAGACCCATTCCCTATTGACCCTCATTCACCGCCTGAACCGCGCCAGCTTACTGTCCGTGCCGTCTTTGTCGGCTGTCTTCTCGGCGCAGTCATCTCAGCCTCAAATATGTACCTTGGTCTCAAGACTGGCTGGAACTTCGGGGCATCCCTATTCGGGTCTATTCTTGGCTTCGCCATCCTGAAACCACTTTCAAAAGCCCTCCCGGAGAAGCTCGGAGGTGGCTATTTCGGCCCCAAGGAAAACGTCGTTTGTCAATCTGCTGCAACCTCAGCTGGTTCTCTCGGTCTCTTGTTTGCTTCCGGTTTCCCGGCAGCCTATCAACTTGGTCTTCTCAGCGCGAGGCCTGCCGACGATATTGGGCGCCTGATCACCTTCACGTTATGCTGCGCCTATTTCGGCATTTTCTTCACCATGCCGCTTCGTCGCTTGTATGTTTGCAAGCTTAAGCTCAAGTTCCCCAGCGGTATTGCTGCGGCATTCACCATCCGCTCGCTGCACGTTGGCAAGAACGCCGCTGCGATGGCCCGGAAGAAGACGTGGGTGCTTATCTATACGTTCTGCGTCGCCATCGTCTGGAGGGTGATATCTGAGTACGCTCCCGGTATTCTCTGGGACTGGCATTGGTCCTGGTGGTTCTACTCTGCCGGCTGGAAATGGGTTGCGTGTATTGAGAGCTGGGTAAGCTCCATTCAAGGGCTGCCGAATTGCTTGTTCATTCATTGGTTTTAGGGCTGGATTTTCGAGCTTACCCCGGCTTTCATTGGCGTCGGTCTGATCATCCCCATGAACTCCGCCGCCTCCTTCGCTGGGGGTGCCTTCCTTGCATGGGCTATCATGGGACCAGCACTGGTTGCCACCGGCAAGGCCTTTGGCAGCATAATATCTCCTGATGCCCCCGAGTACATCAATTACTCCAACATGCTTCTCGATGACCCGGTCAACGCACCGTCTCCCAAGTATTGGTTCATCTGGCCGGGATGCATGGTTCTCCTCTGCGCGTCGCTTGCCGAGATCGGCGCGAACTGGAAGTCCCTACTTGCGTCCTTCAGCATGATGCTTACGCCTGTGTTGGAGAAGATTCGCCCCCGCAAACAGCGCGAAATTGACCCAGATGCGGAGATCTACGATCCTGCACCTCTCAACGAACAAGTGCCTCTTTGGCTTTGGGGCGGTGGAGTGCTTACTTCGACTGTCCTGACGATGATCATTCTGAAGGTCCAGTTCTCCGTGAATCCCGGAGTAACGTTATTGGCCATTGTCTTTGCCTTCATATTCTCCCTCATCGGTGCTGAGTGTGCTGGTCGAGTGTCCATCATCCCCGTGACGACCCTGGGCAACTTCTCCCAGCTCATCTTCGGTGGTATCTCGAAGGGATCTGGGCTGTCTCCTATGGAGAATCAGCTCAACAATGGTCTCACAGGCATGCTCGCCGAGGCTGCCTCCTATCAGTGTGCAGACATGCTTAACGACCTCAAGACGACCCACCTTATCGGCGCCTCCCCTCGCGCCCAGCTTTACGCCCAGTTGGCCGGTGCACTTGTATCTATCTTCCTCTCTTGTGGCATGTACGTCGTCTTCACCACTGCATACCCCTGCATCAACTCCCTCACGGCCACTACCTGCTCGTTCCCCGCGCCTGATGTTGGCGCTTGGCGAGCAGTTTCGGTGGCCGTGTCCGCCGGCTCCCTCCCTATTCCGCTGTCTTCCGGCATCACCGCCATCGTATTTGGTGTCTTTGTGCTTATTCAAACCTACGTCAAGTACAAGTTCACTCCCGAGAAGTACCACGTGTGGTTCCCCAACTGGAACGCTATTGGTGTGGCCTTTATCCTTGGGCCCATTAATACCTACCCTTTGGCTTGCCTCTTCGGCTGCATTGTCGCCACCGTCTGGAGGTGGAAGAGCCCAGCTGGGTTCGCAATGTACGGCTATGCCCTCGCTGCTGGCGGTATCGCTGGCGAGGGCCTTGGTGGTATCGTCAACGCCGTGCTCCAGATTGCGAACGTCTCCGGTGCCTATAAGGGCACCGCTGTCGGTTGCCCACTCAATGCTTACTGCGGTTGAAGGGTTCGGACCACCGTTTGGGTTGCAGGTTGTGCATTGTAATGTGCCAATTGTTAGAGTATACAGATCGCAGTGCCTTGGGTATCTATTTAGTCGTCTTCCTCCACGCTTCTTACGTCTATGTGGTTCTGAGGTATCGGGTAATACATGACGAGTTCACGACTCTGTTAAACGGTGCAAATCAAGAGCGATGTCATCACCGAATGCAACTGTCTGTATTCCCGGTAGCAAAACACAGGCGAAGTATTGAAGCAACACGATGTCATAATCCATCCTTACACTAGAACAGCTTGATCTACTGTACACGGTAATCCCTTAACAACCCCCTCGCTTAGGCCTTCGAACACCCAAATGGAAGACAGTTGATCTAGACTGCGGGACGCAGTGCACGTAACCGTTCGGCGAGGTTTGGCTCCTCCTCGCCCACCTTATCTTTGACCGTGAGGTCGGGCACCTTCGTTGCGTCGTTCACCCCAAGTTCATGCTGTAGCTCAATATTGGCCTCATCAGCTACCTGCTGCATGAGCTGATCCACCTGATCTTGGGGAGTCGATACAGCTGTTGTAGCATTCATAGTGTCTTCCATGTATGACGTCTGGACGTCAAGATCGGCAAACTGGGATTCAAACTTGTCCATGACAAGTGATATCTACAGGGAGTTCAGTTTGGGCCCGAGAAGAATATAAGGCCACAAACCCTCTCCAAATTCATGCTCTCCATAGCCCTATCCATTCCCCTCACAACATTTGCCATGTTGCCGGTGACCTGCATATGAGTCAGGCTGACGGACGACTCCAGGAGCGAGTCACAAACATTCCGCATTGTTACAGCTGTTTCCACCCTACTTGCGACAGCATCTATTCGACTTCCCAACCGAAGAAGGTTCAGAGATTCATTCTTTTTGCGAATAGCATTAGCGGCATATATCCGGGCGCCGTCATTATTGCCCTGCTGCAGCGCCTGTGCCAGACATTGAATGAGCGACGTTTGAAGTTGCCGGGATAAACTATGTGGCGTACCTTCTTCAACTTGTTTCTCTCCGACTTTTCGTCGCTGGTTGCTTTTTTGGCCTGCCTGTTCAAAGCTTTCGCAGTGAACTACTCGTTGTTCCCTCAGCCTGGGTGACATTTGAGATGATGCGAAACCTGGTCCTACCTTCAGCTGGAATAATGATTCTGCGGCTGGGGTCAGATAACGAATCCACCGAACACAATTTCACTCACTCTCAAGGTTGCTCATGGTCCGTGGCGTTGCAGGTCAGCGACGAATACTAAGCTAAGAGTAATGCAGTTGGTGCCAGAAGACCCCAGCTGTGCGCTCTCCAGTGATGATGATGCCGATGCTGATGGGTGGCGATGCCGCCACGATGTCTTCATGAGAAGCGCGTCAGGATGGATATAATTCATGCATGCAACCCACTGTTCAACTTGTCGTCTGACCTTTTTCTCTCCAACCCCTTCTCCGTTCTGCGATTAACGGCCTGTTTACAAGTCGATATTATCAACAATCTGAGAACGAATCAGCAGGACTGCGCTCATTGTTTGCTTTCGACGCTTTCCAGAACGTACAGGCGCGTTCAAAACAGATCCGCCATTATGACTTTCCTCCATGGCTTGAGTTATGTAGCCGCGATAGCTGGCTGCTTATTCGTTACTCTCAGCTTAGGTGCGTCCCATAGATCTAAGCGTATGGATATGTCTTCTGAGCATGTGTAGCAAGCGGGCTTCTATGGCTATCAGAGCTCATCGAGGAGCACACGAAAATGGCGAAGATTGTAGGCACGCGGGCTATATATGTGCGTAAAGTCTGCAATCCTCTCTGGAGACATGTTAATATCAGGTTCAGATCATCATTTTGATACACGTCGTATTATGGCTGCTCGACTCCTTACCAATTACTCTCACCGCTTTCTCAATCTTTTGCCATTTGGTATACCTGCAGAACTTCTCACAGACCTGGCCTTTCATTTCCCTCATCTCACCAAGCTTCATAGGAAGCTGTATTCTCGTCATCATTGACCACTTCGTATGGTTTCATTACTTTGCTCAAAGAACACAAGAAGCTCGTATGCGAGGGAGAGGTCGACTACCTTATCAGCAGCAGCCTGTCGAGGCTCCTGTGTTCATGGACATCGCAGCATTCTTCGCGATATGCGTATGGCTTGTGCCGTTATTCTTGTTCCTCAGCCTCAGCGCCAATGACAATGCGCTTCCTACAGGTCATGTTTATTGCTACTCAATCGAGCGCATCACTGACGTTCTCGTAGCTTCTGGTCTCCCTCCCCGTGCACCTGTTCCTGGTGATATTGGCTCTCCTAAGCGGGAGTTCCCCCTTGCCTTGCCTCGGAAGAGCCTTCTCGCAGCGATCGTAGACCCTATACTTGCCATCCTTCCCAGAATACGACGAGGCGATCGACGAAATCCAGAAGGCATCATTGCACCTCGAACCCCAATTGCAAACCGCAGCCCGCTGCACACACCCATGATGGCGGCTTCGTCGTTACCCCCGTGGACGCCTTCCGGGAATGGCCACTCCGACTTCGACCTCCTCACAACTCCTCTGAGTGGGCACCCATATCCGCCCTTTGAAGCGAGTTTGCGTAAAAGTCCTTCAATGCCACTCCGAAACCCGCCCAAACGCACCAATACTGCCCCTCCTGGACAGGTGGCTGGCACCGGTGGCGCAGAAAGCAGCGCCAACCTCCCGACTGGCTTGGGCATTCGACCCGTCAGCAGAAATGGGCGGAGACTCGTTCATGGACCAGATGATCTCACTCTAGCTCATACGGACTCACCTGTAATGCGTTGATATTGATGTCTCACAATCAAAATGTATCATTGTCGTCATGTATCTGTCCGTCACGATGTCGGGATGCGGGGCATTAACTCATATGCTGATTTGCGCAGTCCAGTATACAGAGAATAACAAACAATCAGATGCAAAGGAAACTGTGGCATCAGCAATTAGATCAGGTCAGTGGCGTTCACAGGCATTTCATCGATCTGAGTGCCGTAGTACTGCTCGATGTCGCGAAGGATGCGAACATCGTCGATCGTCACGAAGTTGATTGCGACACCCTTGCGACCAAAACGACCTGAGCGGCCAATGCGGTGAATGTAGTTTTCACGGTTTGACGGAAGGTCATAGTTGATGACCAGAGATACTTGTTGTACGTCGATACCACGAGCCCACACATCCGTGGTGATCAGAACACGGCTAGTTGCATCCGTCAGCTCTCCCATTAGCAGGATGGCCTGGAGACTACGTACCTCTCGCCCGAGCGGAATTCCTGCATGATCGCATCGCGCTCTTTTTGTGGCATCTCGCCATGCATAGCGGAGACGGTGAAGTTGGCCTCCCGCATTTTATTTGTTAACCAATCAACCTATTTTTCTTTTTAGCAAAAGAGAAATATAGCATTCATCCTTCTTTACGCACCTTTCTCCTCGTATTGCAGAAAATCACGGCTTGAGTAATAGTGAGGGTGTCGTACAGGTCACAGAGTGTGTCGAACTTCCAATCCTCCTTCTCCACAGCAACAAAGAACTGCTTGATTCCTTCGAGTGTCAACTCATCACGTTTGACAAGAATACGTATAGGGTCGGTCATGAACTTCGTCGTCATTTCGAGAACATCATAAGGAAGGGTAGCGGACAGGACGACAACTTGAGTTGCCGGAGGAAGATAGCGGTACACGTCATAGATCTGGTCCTTGAAGCCCTTATTGAGCAACTCGTCCGCTTCGTCCAGCACCAACATTTTGATGTTGCGGGTACGGAGGTGTCTCCTCCTGATCATGTCAAAGACACGTCCTGGTGTTCCTGAGACGACATGTTGGCCATACTCCAGCTTGCGAATATCCTCTCCGACTGATGTGCCACCGATACAAGCATGGCACTGCACGTTCATGTAGTCACCGAGTGCCATAATGACAGACTGAATTTGTGTGGCCAATTCTCGTGTTGGAGAAAGGACGAGAGCTTGAGTTTCGCGGATGGAGGTATCGATGGCTTGAAGGATCGAGATGGAAAAGGTCGCAGTCTTACCAGTGCCAGATTGTGCCTGTGCAATGACATCACGACCTACATTGGGTCAAGATTTTGTTTCTCATGAAAAATAATATGCATACCAGACATAATTGGTGCAATAGCGCGCTGCTGGATAGCAGAGGGCTTCTCAAAGTCTATGGACAAAGTTAGTTCCAGTGATCGTCAAGGAAAGAGGGGAAGATCGTACTATAAGCATAGATGCCTCGGAGCAAGTCTTCTTTCAGACCGAGTTGATCAAAGGTCGAGATAACTTTGACACTCTCGCTGGACTCGAACACCAGCTTCTCATCACCTGTGTTGAGGCCAGACATGGTGCAGCAAGACAAAGGGTTGATGAAATGATCAGAGGCGCGCGTTGATAATTCAGCGCCTGGAGTGGCGATAAATTTCTTGGTTGCTTCCGAGTGGCTGTCCACCGGCACCTGAATTTCGGGCGCCTGGAGAACGTCCCTCAGGCTCACAGTTTGGCCACTCGACACCTTGCGTAGTGGCCAGAAATCAATTCCCTGACATCTGCACTGTCCGGCTAATGGATTCGGTCATCGAGGTGCAAAGACAAACGCATGAAGAGGTTGAGCGGCTTGAACTTGCCCTGTCCGGCGTTCTTGCACGGCCAAGCGCGGGAGTAAGTTGACTCATTCGACAATCTCTCTTGTCACTCACATCATTTCTAGCACCGGTATAATCTCGCCAATCAACACAAGGCGAAGGATTTATTGTCACGCGTGGTCGATAGAACTGTTGATCTCAATAATCTATATCTTGACCCCGACGAGTATTACACATTATTCACGCTTTCTTGGCACACGTTGACACCATTACGCAGTGAACGCCACAAAGAGATCGATATTCTAACGTCCAAGGTGGTACCGGGGAAGCCAGACGACCTCACTGAGTTCTATTCCCGCTTGGATCGGATAAGAAGCTATTATGTGCGATACCCGAACACAAATGTGGACGGGGTTGAGGAGGAAGTTGCTGCTCTTGTTGGTGATGACGAGGACACGTATGATGAAGAGGATGACCGTTCGTGCTCCCGTATGTATGCGTCTCATGCGTGCGCTGACTGGCATATATGTCCAGCTGTTGCGCGCCTTTTTACAGGAGAAGAGGCCTTCGGTCGCTACCTCGATCTCAACTCTCACCATGCATTGTACTGCAATCTAAAACACCTGACAAAACGGCTAGGGTACTTACAGTACCTTGACACCCTGATCGCTACTAAGGATGCGCCCATAGGGCATGAATTATCCAAGGACTGTAAATCTACGAGAGAATACGAAGTGTACGTAATTCCATACATGACTCTCGCAAATGGCTCATGCTGATTGATCGCATAAATAGATATTTATTGTCTTTGAAGACATATCTTGTCTCCTTCCTCGAACGGACACGCCCGTTGGATACCAATGAGCAGAAGCTAAGAGATCTTCAAGAAGAGTTCGATCAGTTGTGGGATGCGGGAAAGATTGACCTTGAGAGCAGTTCCGATGCCAAAGCGAACGGGATGCCGGTATCGGCTGGCGAGGGTATTTGGTGTCCTGCTTGTGAGTTTCGCTGCCTCTGGCTGATTCCGTATATGCTAATACTCTCAAACCCAGGCCATAAGTTTTACTCGAAGCAGACTGTGTATGATGCTCATCTTCAATCAAAGAAGCATCTGAAGGCTGCCGAGCGACTCAATGGAGAGCCATCCACGCAAGCTCCGAATGGTGACGGCACGCCTGCACCACAATCTCGTCGACGTGCGCTGGCTCTTCTGACTTTCCAGACCACTGGATTGCTTCGCTCCTTGAACTCCGTACTGCTAGACACAAAGTCGAACGTTGAACGGAGGTTCGCGCTCACGGCTCGCGAGCGCGAGCTAGAGTTAGAAGAAGAGCCTGTTGAGGTTGCACCGCCAGCGGAAGATGGTCAGCAGGAAGAAGAGGAAGAAGAGAGAATTTACAACCCACTCAAACTGCCAATGGGATGGGACGGGAAACCGATTCCTTATTGGCTGTACAAATTGCATGGTCTGGGTGTGGAATACCGATGCGAGATATGTTCAGGTGCAGTGTACATGGGCCGGTAAGTGCTTGTCTCCTCTTTGTACTGATTGACTGTACTGATTTCATTTTAGAAAAAACTTCGAACGTCATTTCCAAGAGACAAAACACACTTTCGGGCTGAAGGCTTTAGGCTTGCCGAATACGAAGCACTTCCATGAGATCACGAAGATAGCAGACGCACTAGCACGTAAGTCACCCTTGTTGGTGGTGGTAAATTTATCTTACTGGTTTTTCAGTGGCCGAGAAACTAAAGCAGGAAGGTCGTATCGAGATCATGCAAGGGGAAATGATGGAAGAAATGGAGGACGAAGAGGGTAATGTCTACAACAAAAAGACATACGAGGATCTGAAGAAGCAAGGACTCATATGAGTCCTCTGTACATACATACCCATTGCACTGAGTCTTTTCGTATATATTCCGCAATTGCGTGTAATGCTACATTGTTGTCTATCACAAAGCGGAACATGATTGCTATCTAGGCGAGGACAATGAGGCAGGTTTCGGTGGCGGAGGGGGAGGCATAGGTCGTCTACTTGGTGTCAATGGAACGGGTAAAGTCGCTGCTGCCGAATACAGTTCCTCGTCTGACTCAGAGGAAGCTATGTCAATGTCGAGGTCGAAAGGGTTAGTGGATAGGATCCCTCGTGGCGGTGGAGGCACGGCTGAAACCACACCGTCAGGATGATCTTTCCCAGGGTCAACGCTGCGTGGCACCTGCAAGAAAAAAACACGCACTCGGGCTGTCCCACCAAGCGTTCTCATCTGAACTGGGAGGAGGCACTAATTAAAGGCAAAATATTAGATGCTGAACGCAACCATTTGGTGGTATACGTACATTCGTCCCCGTTGACTGTCATACGCTGCAATTTCTGGTCCAGTGTCTCGCCTTCCGTGGTGGCCCGCACCTTTTGAAGCAACTCCTCCCGTAATGCTGCTCTCTTCATGGTATCGATCACCCGCACCTGTGCACGAAATATTGCAAAGACTACACATTAGATCAGTCAATGCCTGTGATCCACTCATAAAGAGCACACCTGGACGATGGTCCGACGTCTTAAGTTCCGCCCTGGAATAGACTGAAAGATCCAGATCAGAGCCTCGGTACAAAATGCGGTCTAACCACCAGTCATGGAAAAACGCCTGATTTCCATAGTGATAGTACTTACCTGTCCAGGCAGGTATGCGCTGCTTCTCGCTGGTATCATAGTCGTCTGAATGTAAGTCATATCGATATGTTGGCCTGAACAAGACGGGTCCCTCGTCATAGCCAGCAAAAGCCGCGTGCATATCCCTTGCTTGGGTGAGCTGGTCCGCAGCCAAAAGCTCATCCAAAGCATCAGCTTCAATCAAACCGCGGACTTCTTCGTTAGAAAGGTCAATCCGATAGTTCGTATCAGCCATCCAAATGACATTCCTTTGGGAAGCTCAGTCAGGTCGGTTGTTCAGCAATAATCGTGCGCGTACTCGTGGCTACCGATGGTCTTTCCCCGCTGGAAGTGCAGTCCATGCACTACTGTTCGATAGTCATCGTTTCTTTCTTGGGCATTTGCATGTCCGGCAGCCAGGTGTGCAGTGACGAAGCAAAATGGTGTTTCGTAGTATTCGAGGCGTATGCCCACTGCCCCTTTGTTACCAGCCATACCGCGTAACCCAGTCTATCCTCGTTCAGGCGGGGGCACGCAGGAGAACTGACAATCGACGGACCTTCTTGCTCGCCCCCTCCACATTCTTGATGACCGAAGCTAACTCGGTTTTCACCAGAACAATCAGAGCAGTTCCGACCAACTGGAGCAAGTAGAAATATTGAGCAATCAAGTAACACTCTATGGTGTTTGCCACTGCGCACCTGTTCACTCCGCAGCAGGATATAATCAGTCTTGCAATCAGGTCGGTTCATCAAAGTGTCGAGAATCAGTAGCTCCCAATCGCGTCTAACGATAGTGAGTGAAGGTGGAAGACAGTCGGTGTATCGCGCACTTCTTCTCTGGGTCAGTCTGCACGACTTGCTGGGCAGTGAGGGGCACAATCTCCTGGAATCCTAACGCTATAATATCCGGGACAGGGGAATCTGGGAACCATTTTGAAAAGAGAGACTGTAGGAAGGTCGTGCATTCTTACCTGGTCGAGGAAATAGCCAGGGCATGATTGACTCTGACGGAGGCTGGATAACTTTTAGATTAAATTATCCAAACAATGACAACACTTACTCGTCCGTTGACATTCCATGTACCTGTGAATACCAAGATCTGACGACGCTCGGAATACTCGGACAGCCTGATGTCGGCTCTTTGTCAACTCGCTGCATTATGACACAAAACGGACACACCTCTGAGCCAATTCCAATCTCACCGCGTCATGTATGGGATCGTATATCGTCACCACCTGTTGACCGGCCAAGTTTCCCTGTGATATGAATTTATTCATATGCAGACATTGGAATCAATGCCACCCCTCACGAGAAACATGTCGATGGCCGTCTGTTTGCCTTTATCCTGGAAATTATTGATGTACATTCTTCCTACGCTCTTGGTGGCATCCGATAAGAAACCTGCACCAACTTGTTCATCAACAGGGCGAAATGACTGAAATATAACTCACCGCCGAGCGTGCGCTTGCCACTTCTTGTGAAACTGGTGTTCAGCGCGCCAGTGCCAGCGTAGATCCGAGACAGTGCGTCTCCATTTTCAGCCCATAGTTCCCTATGATAACTCCACACAGCATGGGAACCTTCATTGGCTCGGTGGTTCTGCCGGAAATATATTTGCAGGACTTCTCGTGAGAAAATGTCTTGTACAAAGTTCGTTCGATCCAGGCTACACATCAATTAGAACCACGAGGAGACCAGATCTGACTTAAATACCAATCGAGGCAATTTGTCCGGAATACGCCCTGTTGCTGAGTGACGACTTCTCCAAGTTCCATATCAGCGATCGTAAATCCACTCCTCTCTATGAAGCTACGGATTACGTCGAGTCGTGCGAGCTCTTGAACACTCTCGTGGCCCCCGGCTCTCACATGAGCATGGAAATCAAAGTTTGTCATACCCATGGCATCTTCTGAAGCATTTGCCTGAGCTTTTCGCATCAGATCGGTATACGCAGATGTGAGGATCGCTTCATTCTCTTTCTGCCCCAGTAGATTTACGACGTGAAAGGAGGAGTACTCCTCTACGAGCTGCGCAGCGTGTCGCTCGAAAGCTGGCTGTTGAGCCAGAGGGGGTCGGGTGATTTGAATGCGCTGGCCGAACGCTTGCACACCTTGTTGTTCCCAGAACACTACAGAAGTGCACAATTTCAGTTCATTCTTGGAATGAACACATATGATGCCACTGACCTGGAACGCTCCCTCTGACCTGAACAAAACTCAAGCAAACATCATCTGTGCTGAATAGCGTCTCGGTCTGGATTGGACTCAGCAACTGAGCAAGTCCTGGAGAGTCCAACCTCACTTCAACAAAGTTAGCGCAATTTCCCTCGTCATCCAATCCTCTAGTGTTGAATCCTTGTGGAGTGTGAATACTATATCGCGGTATGCCAGCGGTTTGACTGACGAGTACCCGCACGCTTCCATCCCAGCCGTGAGATCAAACTGATAGTGGCTATGACAGGCTTTCCTTCAGAAGGTGGAGCAGGGAGGGCAATCTTGAAACTGCCAACATAGCCCTGGATGGCCATGATCTGCATAATGCATTAGCATGTGACAGGCATGGGTACATTGCTAACCCACAATGAACTCACAGCGATCAAATTCGTCTCGCTCTATCTGGTCAAGCCTATCTCTGAAGTCCAGAAGGCTCTGCACAGCATGCTCATTCCAGACAAATCGCTGATCAAAACTTTTCAGATCTTTGGCAGCAGACTTATTCTTCAGTCGCTTCTCCAAGCGAGATGAGATATCCCAAAATGGCAGTGCGGCATAATAGAATGTGCCTCCCGACAATATCTTGGTCAGAGGGGCACAGGGGTGATCGTAAGCAGTTGTCTGCTGGGGGGTTGAGCTACCATACGCAGGGCTGTATGGATCGCGTTCCGCATCGGTGACGTCCTGAAGTGATGGGCTCAAGGGCATATCGGTCGCAGCCATAATCAAGTCATCAAAAGTCGCCGAGTTCAAACTGTAGAACATCACGGTATTGATACGTTGCACGCTTTCGGTCTGGGTTGAAGTTCGGATGTCTCCAATCTCACTAGCAGAGGTAACAACGGCCAAGAAAAGCTCTAGACGACACGACAGTGTCAATCACTGGGTTAACGAGCCGAGTAAGCGATGCGCACCATTCGCAACGTTAATCAGTCCAAGCGTCCCATGAACCGGCCTATGGCAGAGACGCGTTACGCCGTTTAGGTCGACATCTTTCTTGTGTAGTAATTCCACCACTGCTTTGGATGATGCCTCTCGCCCTTCAGCAGCCCGAAACAGCAGCACTCTGGAAGGAGAGCCTCGTCGTTCCTCCTCCGAACTTGTCACCAGCATTAACGTTCTTGGCTCGTCTCTCAAATAGAGATGCATCGTGGAAGAAAATTAAGTAATCGTCAAAGTAGTCATAAAGAGAGTCCAGTCAATAGAACGCCCGAGGGGTGACTGAACAGTGTCAAGGCTGCGCGTCGATGGCGCGTCAGCGTCTCACGAGTCAGGGGTTATGAGTCGCAACGTTCAGCATGGACGACGACAACGCTCAGATAGAGCTGGTCAGTAATATGCCTGGGCAAATAAGAGAGGCTCCTGATAATTTGAGATTCAGCTGGAACAGCATCTTAACAAGACCTCCCAAATCAGCCTGCGAATGACCAGTACGTTCAGGCCCCTACCTACCCGGGCAACCGACTGAATGCACAACGTAGATATTCTCTCCAAATTTGATACCAGGCTTATTCGATTAGAAAAATCTATAAGCCCACTGCACTCATCCACCCAGTCTTTAACGCGAATAGCCGATAGTGCGTGACGTGGCTTCTGCGCAAGGTATCCGAGTCTGATGTGATACTAGACATTGACAAGACCATCCAAGCTATCGATCGAATCGCCGCACGACAGGAAGGTGTTGCGGCCGAAGAGGCATTGATACTCAGAGGGTGCGTATGGTATCTTTTTTCATTGATCTAAATTGACCGTGAAGCAGCCCCAGTTCACAAGATCTTCCCTCATACTTCGATGCGATTGAGCGTCTGAACGCCCAGATAGCTTTCGGTAGTGCCGAGCGGAGTGCAAAAGATACTGTAGGCTATGCACGCCCACATTTTGTGCCTCTATTTACCGAGGCTGTAGGGACGAGTTATCGAAACCGGAGGAAAGAAGTTGTGTCAGCTTTATACCAAACTCGTTGCTGAAGCGTCGGCTGGCCCAACGCCGGATCCAGAAGCGTACCAATCTGCCCGTGCATATATGTTTTATTTGAAAGGTACTTATCGTCACTGATCTACTCCATAGTTCAGGTGCAGCCCATTCCGCCCCGAATAATAACCGCTCTTGAACCTCTTGTTACCTTTATGCGATCACTCCCGATCCCATCCACCCATCCTACCCACCCCGCTTCGTATGGTCTTTCTGCCGCCTTGAAGGACTGTCAAGCGGGTTACGCCGAGATGCGAGCTGGATGGGCAAAGAAATGCGTTGAGCCAACATCCAAGCGTGTGCTGGAAAGGGTGGAGAGGAGAGATGCTGGTACCGATGTCGAGGCGGGCCGTCTACTCGGTCGATGGGTAGCGGGGGTTCTCACTTTGGCAGAAGTACGAATTAACGTTCCTTTATTAATATTAACCGACTAAATCTTTACAGGCGGAACACAATCTAATGGAACGCTTGCTGCCATTTTCGAATCCTCAAGCGCTGCAGTCAACATATTCCTCCTTCATCTCGCCCATCTGTACCATGGTTGCAAACGTCTTAACCGCTGCACACGCACCAGTCCGCCGCTCCTTGAGCTCTCATGTCTTCCTCGCGTTCACTCAATACAGTTCCGTTTCTGCGCTCCAGCCACGATGGGATATTGTAATGCGACAGCGAGCAGGCAGGAAAGAGAACGAACTGGCCGAGAGCCTACACTCCCTAAGGGCCATCTGTTTGCGAAGCTTTCCGGAATTCTTGGCGGAGCTAAGAGCTGCGGGCTCAGCGATCCCAATGACACTAAGCGTTGGCGTAGCTGATTTCACGCTCTCGGTAAGTAACCACTCCGACTATACGTTGTTTGCGGACTGTTTTCGCAGACTGTCAAATATCTCGAGATGCTCCCTCAGGTACAAGATGCTGTGAGCACTTCCTTGAAGACACTTGGGGATGGAAATTGGAGAATGGGCGACGTAAGTTTAGGTGTTTTTCAACCTACAACAGACGAAGACGCGATCTTAGAACATTATCTCCGTGCGTTATAATTTTTCAGTATGGGAAAGGAAGCGGTCTAACCATGTCGCAAAGATGATGTTATGACCATTCTAATTCGAGCCTTGGAAGGTCGTGCTCGAGCGCTGAAACGAGCTCAAACAGGATCTATTTTCATGCTGAACAATCTGTCTTATATTCGAACCAATATTCTGCTCAATCCCCGTTCCGCAATTGATGACCTGCTACCCGCGCAAGCCCAGGATGCGCTAAACACGGCATTCCGACAAGCAAAAGTGTCCTATTTCGAGGCCAACTGGGCACCATTGCTGGCCAATCTCAGTGAAGGCAAAGGAAGCAGACAGGTCGTGAAAGACCAGTGGACTGGATTTTTTGACGGCCTAGCCGAGGTTGCGGCCACGCATCAGGCATTCCCTCTCAATAAACAAGACGCTGAGCTGAGGGAGAAACTGGCCGAAGAAGTGAATAACCTTGTGCTGCCTGCGTTCCAGAGATTCTCGGCGCGTCATCAAGCGGCAGACTTCACTAAAAGTAAGCCCTAAGCCCTTTTTTGCCATCCCAAGAGCTCATTTTCTCTCAGATCCTCAAAAATATATCCGGGCGACACCGGACGAGGTCGCACAGCAGATTCGGTCCTTCTTTCGATAGGGTTACCAACCCATTTGTACATTAGTGCATATTGTATTATGGCTGCACTGCCGTATTAACATGATCGCACCCTCAGCGATACACATGGTCAGCCATGAGGTTGGCAGCAATTTCTGGCTCCATCCTATCGCCGTTTGCAAGGAGCTTTTCCTTGTTGTAGAGCAGCTCTTCACGCGTTTCCGTCGAGTACTCGTAGTTGGATGCTGAATGAATGTCAGTCACTAGCGCAAGATCCTATTGACAAAGGGACACACTTTCAACGATAGCATCAACAGGACATGCTTCCTGGCATAACCCACAGTAGATGCACTAGAAAAAATGTGAACAAGGAGAGATGATCCGCTGGAAACGACTCACCTTGGTCATGTCTATATCGTATCGTGTTGTCCTGCGCGATCCATCCTCACGAGTTTCAGATTCAATTGTGATAGCCTGGGCCGGGCAGATGGCTTCACAGAGCTTGCAAGCAATGCATCGCTCCTCACCGTTCGAATACCGACGAAGAGCATGCTCCCCACGGAATCGCGGGCTAATCGGACCCTTTTCAAAAGGATACCTGTCCCAGAATCAGAAAACTGTGCGCGTGTGTACAATGGCGTGATACGTGCATGATAGTGTAAGGCGGGCGGAACATGTTCTCCAACGTTATCATCATCCCTAATATGACATCAGTTGCCATTCCTGCGAGGAAGGAAGTTCACGTACCCTTCACAATCTCGGTAAAGAAGAATAGCTCGCTAGCCTTGTCCAATGCTGAAGGGCCACCAGCGTAAGGGTTTTGGTATACTGGAGCAGCGCCAGCACCGAGATCCTTGAGCGTACTGGCGGACTTGGTGCCTGTGATGCCCGGTTCAACCTTTGTTGGACCAGTCGTCGACTTGGGTGTCACTACTTCCGCTGCCCGAAATGCAGAGTTAGAGAAAGCGCGTGCTGCGAGTGGGCGAGTAAACGTTGCAATGCGCCGAAGCGCGATTGCGCGCATAGGGCTGAGCGACATGACCGCAGCGAAGAGAGGGATGGGAACGACGAGGAAGGGCTCGGGAACGATGACCAGACAGCGTTGACCGCCAATCGGAAGGTCAGAATTAGGATCGAACTTCTAATTGCTCCCGCATCATCAGTTTCCCTTGTTGCCTCCGACGGGCGTCACTGTTACAATTAAAGGTACAACAATGTCGAAAGCAGTGAAGAAAACCTTGACGGATCAAGGTAATACATTCACGGTTGATATGAAAGGGCCCACGTATTTACCGTGCATCAGATATTCAAGCAGGGTATTCCCGATACCAACAGGAAATACAGTCACTAGCTGAAAAGGTTGGTGAACTGGAATCTGAAGCTGAAGAACATGAGTAGGTCATTTATGTTATGCGAACGAGACGAATGCTGAATGATTGTCCCAGACTCGTTCTCCAAACTCTGAAGGAAGTCAATGAGAAACATCCGGAGAGACCATGTTTTCGCATGATCGGTGGAGTGTTGGTTGAGCGCACGGTCAAAGATATCATTCCAGCCCTGCAGACAAACCGCGACGGGGTATATTCTTCCAAACCATCGCTTTTACTAAGTAATGGTGCTCAAATTGCCTCAGATTCAGAAGGTCTTGCAAACCCTGATCGATCAGTACCAGAAGAAGGAGACAGAATTTACTACGTTCAAGCGGGAGCATGGGATCGCCCAAATGCCTCAACGAGCATAACGTACATGCCATGTTCTTTCGACATTGTATCATTCGCACATATGTATACCACGTATTATACGATCTCTGCCGCTGTTTCTGCATGGATCCCCCCTCATTTCCCATGGTGAGGTGCTTTATGCCGTTTTCGTCCTGTTTGGGGCGGGAGGCCCGAATGGAATCTGACGCCCTACTACTCGGGGCGCGTTCGAACTCGTTGAGGCAATGGGCTGCTGCGGTAGCGGGAGAGGCTGCTGGTGCGCTTCTTGCTGCAGCTGCGCTGCAGACTTATATGCGCTCTCCGGTAGGCCTGGTGGCGGAAGAGCTTGGTATGACTGGGCAGCGCCAGTGAATGGCTCGTCTGCGCTTATGGGGGATACTACGTCGTCGTCCACTTCTGGTGACGAGGCTTGAGCGCCATATCCAGCAGAAAGCTGCTTATGAAGCCCCTTTGCGACGCCCTTATCTACCGTTTAGACTGTTTACTTCTCATTTGCCAAATGCATACCTTTCTGATGAGTGTTTGGAAAGCGGCCACAGTCGGGACCATATCGTCCTCCATGCTGCTGTCGCTTCCTCCACTGTACCTCGTATGGGGAAGTGGTTCTGGAGGAAGATTCGGCATGGAAGCCAAGCGTTCGAGGAGGATACTGACAAGTAGATGAGATTCAAGTATTTCGCTCAGTGCAATATAGAACTCACGCTCTCTCCATCCGTATACGTTGAATATTCCGCCTTGTCTGCAATATCTGCAGATGCAGCTTGTCATTGTTCTGCTCCACGTTGTGTGAGAAGACTAATACATATAAAGAGTGGAACCAACAAACTTCTTCGATATCCTGGGTGCATTTCTTCAGATCGTAGTAACATTCACGATAATCGGCCTCTTCATCGTTGCTTGTATCCGCAGCAATCTTTGTTTTCCCTTTGTCGATCCGGCCTGACATGACTTTTGAAAGAAAGAGCTCTGTCGCCGTCTGCAAAGCGAGTAACGCTAATTCACCCCCCGAAGTGGACATGCTGGCAAGTTCCCATCTTCCCGGAACTTCCTGAACTCCAACCCCGTGGCTCGCCCCTTGCTGTTCCAAGCAGCTCGTGGACGTAAGGATTGCAAACTCAGTGCAGTGGAATATGCCATGTTGTAATAATCATGATTGCACAATAAAGATACAAACATCCCACGTCTCTACGAACCAGACATCGTCGAAGATGACTTTTCCCTTCTTCGTCCCCAGCGACTCGCTGGCATCTTGGCCTTTTGTGCCTCGCCTACCAGCTCTGCAATCAGCCGGTTGTATGTTTCGGAGTCTTGCTGGAGAACGTCGCGGCTCTGTAGAAGATGGGCCAGCAGGGCATTCGCTTGTTCCGTCACAGTGCGGATATCTGCGAGCTGCGATTCAACAGCCATCAGCGGAAGAATGGACATTTGTGCTATAGCAGGGTGTAAGAATATGTATGTAATATGAAGCTGCCAACGCACATTCTGTGGCACGAAGGACATCCTCAGCTTTGGCCATATCAACTTTGGGTGCAGGGCCGAGAGGAGGTGGACCACTTCTCGGTGTTCGACCACCACCGACTGGTGTAGCAGCCCGGGACGCTAGTCCGGCTGGGGTCGCGGGTCTTCCGGGGGGTGCCGAAGCAGGTCGAGCAGCGGGGGAGGTGGTTATATGCAATGGGGGTAATGGTTTGGCGTTTGATGTGGGTAACACCTGAGTGCACTGTAAACATCCACTCGTGTACCGGAATCAACAATAAACTCGCCTCATCCAGGTTGACCGGAACACCAAGTGCAATGAGTTGTTCCCTTCTTATTCGTGATCTGGTCCAATTGACAAGCCGTGTCATGTCCGGCGGTATCTCAGTGAGAGTACGATAAAGGTCTCGACTAGGGTGTTCGTTAGCTGGGGTCAAGCTGCAGGACCAACACGCAACCTCACCTCTGCTGGGTAATCAGCATCTGACCTAGTCCTGCTACCTCGCGCACGGGTTCGTCCGTGAACTGACCAGTATCGATAGGGAATATCGGGGCTATGAGGGCATCGATCTGACGCTCGAGCTCCTCCCGGCTCGGCATAGGATCAAGCACAATCGCATGGTACTCTTCTGTTGAGGCGGACAGCGGTGACGGCTCAGGCTGCTCCGTCTGCACAAATGTGACAGATTCTGCCTCAATCGTCTCTCCAAAGTCTCCAAAGTCATCCGCAAAACTCGCTGTCTCGCCCTCAAGCGCAGGCGCAGCAGGCGCGCCGAAGTCGTCAAAGTCGTCGTCAAAAGCGTCTTCCTGACCGGCAGGTGCAAATTCGGCGTGAGATTCTTCTACAGACGCTGTTGATATAGGTGGTTTAGATGTGCTGGCTGCGCTGGTGCTCCATACAGATGCGTCAAATGGATCTTCATCCATGGCGAGTTGAAGCTGTGGTCGTCTGCACCGTTGTGAATGCGGTGACGAAAGGAGACTGACGATTCGCGCCTGATTGCTTCCGGCTAAATGCGCTCATTTGCCCACGCACCTTTCAGGGTTCCATTTCGAACCGGAACATATTTCCACGAAAAACGATGTAAGCCGTTTGTTTCTACTTAAGGAATTGTTGTGAAAATTGACCTGCTAGTGTGGTGTAACAAGATAAAATTCCAGGGGATCTGAACTGAAGAAATAGACCTACAACAAGAACCCAAACACCCCATCACAGAATGGGACACACAAAATACACCTACAGCCCCCGGCGAGATTTGAACTCGCAATCTTTGGATCCCAAGATGAGGTAATCATAGAAGTCCAACGCCTTAACCATTAGGCCACGAGGGCTTCCAACAAAAGAGTTGGAAGCCTATGCTTATATTGCAAAGTTTCACCTGCACGGGATCAACAAGGCATGCATAGTGGGTCTATCGGATTACAACTCTGGGGCGTCCTCCCCAACCATCGCATCACCAAGCGGTACACACAGTAAATGTCGACGTGCATACACCAACCATTCGACCGTCACGTTGTGAGCAACAAAACCTACAGAATTGCAGCATCTCGACTCTCTTGCCAATCGGCTGGGAACCATGGCATTCTGAACCTGAACAGCTCAGGGCAAGTCCAGTAACATTCTCCTCCCAGATGGCCAGTGGCGTCCTGAAATCCCACCAGCGTCAGATTGCCCTCCTTGTCCTTCAAGACATTGTGGAGGTGAAGATCGTTATGCATGATGTTGAGCTCGTGCACTTTCTCAAGAAAATCGTACACCTTTTGGCTGTACAATGATCAGCTGGATGAAGAGCCCCATGTTCAGAACATACCGCTCCGATAACCACTCGCCCAGCGGCTCCCCTTCATCACTCAAGATTAACATCTTCCCCAGGGGAAAATCGAATGACCCGAAAGGCATTGCAACGCCGCTGCCCCACAAGCCTTTCAATCGATCATAGATCTGACATTCGTGATCCATATCCGAAGCCTTCCATGTCGGAACTATCTTGGTAACAACATTCTTTTGTCCGAGTCTACCCCTAAAGACATGTGGGGCAATGGACAAAGGATCCAGGCGAAGGTCTTTTAAGTCGACTGGCGAGGAGGTCGGAAACCAGGTCTGTTTGAAGTCCGACGGAGATAGATAGTTACAAGGGTCGGCTGCGAAGGCACGGGCGACCTCTCTATCTGCATTGTCTGAAGAGACGACGTCGGGGTCGTCATCAGATACTCCGGCGACCCCTTCATCCGCACCGTCCTCAGAGGCACTGGTATCGAGGTCCTCATCGGATGCCTCAACATCATCCTCCAATGCGTCAGGCAATTTCAATACTTGAGGATCAACTGACGCCACTCGCAGCACCGTGTCGTCTTCGAGGGCGGGCAGATGTTTTTTGAAGATACCGCGCAATGCCTCGCTCAGATATCTGGGCATAGCTTTGAACTCATACTCGGCTCCTCGCGATACGCCGAAGAGAGCGCGGTATAAGATTAGGCCAATGATCGCGAGCTGTTTGCGATCCCCCTGTCATGACAGGAGCACGTCAGCTGAGCATTGTTGCATACGGACGACTTGCGCATATCTCAAAGGCCTTGCTGATCAGCAAATAGTTCTTCTTCTTGATGATGAACAAGACGAGTGAGCTCCCGCACAAAGGGAAGAATAATTGGTTTGGTGCTGGTACATGTATGTAGCCATCTACAGACATTCAGTAATGATTGATACTCCGATAGGCATTCTAGATGTGACTTACTTGAGTAATGACAGCTTCATAGTGCCGGATCCGGCGCGCCTTCCGCTCGTTGGTGAAAACATATTGGGACGTGCCCTCCATCTTGCCAGCTGGATAATGAAAGTCGACCATACTCGGTGACCGCCCAGTGCCAGAGGGCATGTAGACATTATTTGCGTCTGACTGTTTACTATCCAAGCTGCCGGCGAACCCCTGGAAGACGGGTAATGTTTTGTCTTCAAAAAGGAGCATAATCGCGGTTTCAGACTTCTTCATTTTGCTTGAAGTGGAGACGAATACGGTGGCTTGGATGGCTACATCGACTTTGCCCGTCGGCCCCCACGACACTTGCTGGGTCTGCGTAATCACGATTGGACAGGGAGGATGCCGGTACAACCAGCCAAAGAATTGACTCGCTGGATTTGCCAAGAAGTCCTGGGTATATTTGTCGACCCCGACTTTGGCCACAGGAGAAAGATGGCGATTGCCCCTCGCGATTGCTGGGGCAAAGCAATATTCCCAGAAGACAGAGAATGGATCCATCAATGAACCCGCGGCTTCGCTGCCCTCCTCCCAAGTCGCCTCCTGAGACCTGCGCAAGACCTCTTCTAGAGGCTCGTGCTTTTCAACAAGCTCCAAGACTTCCGACGCGACATCGCAAAGTTTTGTAAGGTCGTCGAAGAAGACCAGGTGCTTAACGCGGTCAGGCTTGTTAGCGACTTAGAAGTCAGTGGTGGTAGGTAGGCGAGTGTTGGTGACGCTTTGTTGTTTGGCCAGGAGCTGCGCATTGCTGGAGGAGCCAGAGGTGTCCAGGAGCGCGGACAAGTCGAAGGGTGGCATGGCGCCCGTGAACATCTGTTTCCACGTACGAGAAGGCGGGACCTGCGGGCGCTCTTGGATGTACCGTCTACCATCCCAAGGGGTGCCGAAGCCGAAGGGCCGGATAAGACTCTTCGGGCGAAGTCCTCTGAGCAATCTCACCATGGTGACGGCCCTTCAAGAGAAGGGAGTGTGCTGCCATCGGGAGACGAGTGTGGTGGGTTGCTCGTTGTCTTGCATTGAGGGTCAGGCGCCTCGGCGGAGCCAAAAGGGTTCAGCGGCCTGTGGTCTCTCTCCAACATTCCTGCAACTGTGGTCATCCGCCACCATGTCTGCTATAATACGACCAGCAGTAAGTCCCGCTCTTTTGAATCTCTGATCCTAGTTGACTTGAGAGTAGAATAAGCTCCCACCTGGAGCAAACCGTATTCTGTTCGTTAAGAACCTCAACTACACCATCACCGGCGAGGACCTGTACGACCTCTTCGGACGTTATGGTACCATTCGTCAGATCCGGCTTGGGAACGAGCAGAAGACGAGAGGGACTGCTTTTGTCGTGTATGACGACGTTATGGATGTTCGTATCTGTTGTTGTGCTTGTTCGGTGGAGAGCTGACTCATTGGCAGGCTAAAAATGCCCTGGATCACCTGAACGGTTTCCATCTTCAAGAGAGGTACATCGTCGTCCTGTACCATATGCCCACAAGGCAAGAAGCAGCGGCACAGAAGGCAGAGCTGGAGAGGAGAGAGGCAGAATTAGAGGCACTGAAGAAGAAACACGATATCCCCGACGTATGAACACTGGCTGTTTTTGGGTTACGCGTATTGGGTTGCGTCTGACGACGGGATGTGTCGCCAGACGCTGCTGTATTTCTACAATGTAATAATGTGCAAACAATGACAGGCGAGGGAATTCCCTACCAGATACTACGCTCTGCTATCGTTGCATCCTCTGCTTGAACCTCTCCACCGCTTGGTCATCAGTCGCAGTGCGAGGTTTGTGTGGCTGCCCTGTCTTCGTAGGCGGCGTCGGGGCGAATCCCTGTGCCTCAAGTCTAGCATTCATGAGTGCGATTGCCGGAGACTGCTCTTCCTTCGTACGGCGCATAACTATCACAGAGTAAACATTAGCATAAGAAGGGAAGGAAGAACTTGCATCTCAGCGCTGCCAACCCCTCCTCTTCCTCCGTCAGTTTCCGTGCGTGAACTCTTTCTGCAGCCTGCCGTTTGGCCTTTTCCGTCTCCTCAATATTTCGCAGCCGGGTTCTATTATCATCAGCACAGTGCAACCTACCACGGCTATAGCGGACGTACTCCATACCCAAGTCAACCTCAGGAATAGCAGTGAGCATCGCCATGCTCGTCGAGATTGCCGCCTCCTCCCTCGAGTCAGGCTTAACATCCGTCTTGAACAGCTGTGCATACGGGTCGTATGCGCCAGTCTTTTGTCCCTCTTCGGTGGAAGCTGTGTCCCCTCGCCGCTTTCGGATCTCGCCCTCGATGTATTCCATCCTGCATACAAATGAATCATGGAGGGCAGCGAAGGAGACGAGCTGCATACATGTGCTTGTTGACATCCAAGGCGTTCGTCTGCTGGGTGAAGTTGTTCGCCCGTAACTTCTTCGCAATAGATTCGGCCTCTGAACTCTCCCTGCACCCATATGAGCAAATCCAACGAGGAGCAATCATATGACATGCGCATACACTTCTCCCTCGAACTCGCGCCTCTTCAGCCCACCCTTCTCGACCACAGCGCCATCGTCCTCTCCCTCAGGATTCCGTTTCCTCTTCTCCCCCTTGCTTAATTTTCCCACATCGATCCCCTCATGCCTCATCCCCTGTCGATACTTGCGTAAAGCGATGATGTCCTCCAATCTGCGAGCCTTTCGGCCCCCTCAGTTCCCGTGCATTTGCTAATCAGCAAGGCTCACCCTAAGCTGCGCGCATCCTCTGTTGGGTCCTCTGTTGCAGAATGCGGCTCGGGCGTAGACTCGACCACGGGTGTAGACGCACCCGATCCGAGGTCGTCAGCCCGCCGCTTTCCAGCGTTCGCAGGGCGCGTGCGTTTCTTGAACATAGGCTCGGACATGATAGTTCGAGAGGGTAGAGCGAAGAAGCGCACACCCCTGAACCTGAACCCGAACCCTTTCACGAACGCGACCACGTCAACGTCAATCTCGTTCGCCGCCTCCTCTCCAAAAATGTTACCAACAAAACTCCCTCTCGCTCTCCTTCTCTTGCTGTTCCCCACCCTCATCTCCGCCCAATTCAACATATTTGACCAATTCTTCGGGCGGCAAAACCAGCCTCAAGCGCACTACGGCAACCCCCAGCCGGGCAGTACACAGTCCCTCTGGCAAGCGCAAGCCGACGCAGGTACGTCTTCCCTCCCCTCCCCTCCCCTCTCACTTCCCACTCCCACCCCCGCTCCCTTCCCGCGCTCCGGAATCCCGCGTTTCCGAAACCAAGCTAACGACCCAACAGTCCCCTGCGCTTCCTACCTCTGCCCAACGACCCTCCTCTGCACCCCTACACCTGCAGACTGCCCCTGCCCCAGTCCGCAGGACATCAAGTGCCTCGTACCCGATCACCAGACGGGGGAGAACACGGTTGTCTGCGTGAGGGGAGGGGAGGGGTGTGAGAATGTTCTGAGTTTGGGGAGGGCGATTTGAGCATATGTGGGGAGGGGCCAGGTTGGGCTTCCCCTGGGGAGCAGGAGGATAGAAGAGGAGTTTGCTACGAGTGGGGAGGGGGGGGGGAGAGATGTGAGCTCAGTTTGTGGGCTGTTTGATGATTGTGCAATGTAGTATGCGTTCAGTCAAACGCATATATTGGTGATATTTCCTGACTAGCAATAATATCCATTCTTGCCCTCCCTCCAGTCGACCTCGGCGGAAATTGCAAACGAATCACACAAAAGACGCGCATATACGTTCCAAATACATCCATTATCTATCTACCTACTCACCCGTCTCCTCCTCCCTCGATCCAGTCACACCATCCAGTCAACTCGCAAAGACTCGCCACAGCCGCCTACAACCCGAAGGGAGGCAGCGTGCAGCGCTGTCCGAGCGGAGCTGAGCAAAGAGAGTGAACCGGACACGGTTGGTGGATCTGGGTGGACGACAGAGGACAAGAACGAGGAACGACCAAGACTGTTCGATCACGGAGAGGCGGACAGCTCAAATACGAGAAACAGAGGAGAGATGAGAGAGATATAAGAAAGGGGAACATACCGTACTCAGAACACGTTTACTTCAGCCGCTCCGGGAAGTAGATGGGTAGGGATGGTGGATGTCATTACGTCCTTGGTTTCGTCGGTTGTGTCGTGCCCGCGCGCCTCCCAAGCCCAGCTCTGGTCCGAGACCATGTCATTAAGGTACTTGCTCATCATCTCCTCTACGATGGCGGTCGACGCTGCGTCTGCCGCTGAGGGCTCGGAAACAGACGCCTGCTCGAGGGAGAACTCGGTAAAGTCCAACTCGGAGCCGGCGTGAGACGTCGACGGCGTAGGGAGGAAGGTCATCTCCGGCACGGTCGCGCGGATGGCCGCGATGACGGCGCTATCCGCAGTCGTATCCGCAATGTCCTGTCCTTGACTGAAAGGGGAGCCAAGGGGCACCTGCGAGACGGACGGGAGGTTACACGCCGCCTGGTGGGGTTGATCCTGGTTCGAAATCGAAGAAAGGACTGGGAGTACGGCGGGGATGGGGAGAGATGCGGATGGTTGGGGGATCGGTGGACCATATTGGAGGAGAGAAAGGAGCCAGTCTGCGGTTGCCCGGTCGAGGGCGAGGGGGTTCGGAGGGAAGGGAAAGTTGGGGATAGTGGACTGGTACCCACCCGCTGCGGGGCCGGCTCCACCAGGGAGACGGTCGCCACCCGTGCTAGGTGGCGAGTGGGTACACTTTGAGGGATATCTGGTGCGACCGGGGTTGGTTGGACTGAAGTACTTGCGGCGTCGGGGGCGGGGGAAAGGGAGTTCATGGCGGCAGGCGCGATGAGGGCGAACATACGCTCGAGGTTGGCGACCTTGTTCCGGAGGTCGCGGTTCTCACTCTCGATGTCGCGCTTCCACTGATCGGCAGAGGTAGAGGTAGAAGCAGGCGTAGATTCGAGGGATGTCGAGGAGAGGGCAGGACTTGTCAGCGCTTGAGGCAGGAAGTGACCTGCACGAAGCAACTGATTCTCCTGTTCAAGCTCGGAGATACGGTCTCGGAGGTAAGAGTATTCCTGCTTGCGACGATCCCTGCTACTCTGGGCTGCGATCCTATTGCGTTGTGCACGGGCTGCACGACGTTCTTCTGGGGATGCATCTGGCCCTGGAGTGTCAGGCACCTCATGCGGTGGGTCGTTTGCCCGTCTCCTCTTGCGCGGGTTTTCGCCTTTATGAGACTCGTTTGATGAATCTGGCGATGGTTGCCTGAGCAAGAGACTTGGAGCGATTGAGTCCATGAGTATTTTGTAGGAAGGACAGAGGGATTATCGAGGACGTGGATGGTGGGTGTTGTTGAGAAAGTACAACTAGACTAGCTAGTGAAGATTGAGTGAAATGGAAAAAGTGTGGATGGTGAGTACGTGTTCTGAGCAGAGGGCCGTCGTGGCAAATGTCCCCTTCCACGTCGCCCGCTTTAAAAACACACAAGGGGGGACAGCATACGGAAACAAACGAGTCAAAATGCACAGCAACCGAAGCTTCGAGTAACACATTTTGTCTCCGTATCACATTCATTCGCTGACCGAAACACCCCGCCTCGCCCGCTGATTGGCTATCCTCATTCAGAAAACCACACGTTCTACTTATTCTCCGTGTACTGAATTGGCTACTTATCAATGCCTGTTACACATATCATTGAAACTGTACAGTAAAACTGACTTGTGGCTGCAAACGTTATTGATATCCCCGGTCCACCCATTGGTAAAACCTTGTTCTTTCACTTCATCACACAGTCGGCATCATGATGCGCGGCCTGGCGTGCTGCGGCTCGTAGCTGTATCCTCCGTCCTCGGGTTGCGTACACTGGCCCTGTTCTTATGGTGCTGATGATCACGTTCAAATTACGAGTTGTACGTCCCCTCGTCCGACCGTATGGTGGCGAACGATACATCTGGCTTTTCTGTGCCAAAGAGAATCTCCGACGCGCTCTTGGCAGTATTGCAAGGAAACTATCCGGCGATGAGCGTGCTTTGCCAGATATTGCCCGAGACGACAAAATGGTAAAATGGCGTGCTGATTACCACATAATCCCCGGCTGTACCCCACAGCATTGGGTCCGTTCTCACTGAGTGTGAGAGGTTGCTGAATAGTCCGTCAACACTTGAGGATTCGCTGATGATGAACTATATTGCAATTGCCGGGGTAATTATAAGCAATACGACATACAACAACAATTGAACAACATAAGCGCTAAAACACCAATATTCAACAAGTCATTGTCAGATCCGATCAGTTTGTTTACATGCCCTTTTCATAAATTACCGAGTAAGGAATGTTACGTTCTCCTTAGCAAGGGTGTTCCAAGGGGGAATCTGATTGGTCGCTCTATCTTCTCCGAACCCTCAACGGACGTTCTCTCTCCCTGTCGCCTTCCGCTCGTTGTCTACACCTCTCGCTCGTTCACTCTCTCTTTCCACTCTCTCTTCAACGTCCTCCAAATCCGCCAGCAACGAAGGTCTTATTTCCAGCCCTGCCGCACCGCCCTCAGCACGTTCCGAGAACCCTGCGCAGCGCACAAGCCAGCCTCAACCGTCCTTCCGACATTGATATCAGCTTAAACGGGAGATCAACCGCCCGTCGTCATCGGCCTAGCACTGCAGCTTCTGACCCTCAGTCAGCAGCAACTACGAACACGACGACCATCCTGCTCCACAAGCCCCAGGTAGCCTCATAACCCATGTCTGTGGATCTGCTGCAAGGTACGTATTGAGCTTCCCAGTAATGCACCGATATCATCGGACACCACTCACCTTTCGCGCAGAGGACACCTGCCTTCCGGGCAGCTCCAAGCGCTCAATGCAACGTTCTTCCCGTCCATCGAGTGCGTCCCCCTTGCGTCCTACCCACACACGCACAGACTAACCCTTCCCAGAACTAGCAGAAGCGCAACAAACCCCCCTCCTCCCAACGATAATCGTCACTCCCTCCTCGCCTTCGCTCCGCGCCTCCCCCCTACCCCATTTCCAAGAGTTTCACCACCTCGTCTACGCCCCTCCTGCCCCCCCGCGTGCCCCACATCCCCTATTCAAGCCATTCGCTGCTCATCCCCTTCGTGCAAGGCTCGTATGCCTCTTCCTGGGCCTGGCGGGGATGGTCCTGCTCTGGCAGGTGTGGGTGCTTACGGGGGAAGGGTACGTAGGTGTGAGGGAGTGGGAAGGGTGGGCATGGGTCTTGGAAAGGGTGAGGCAGATCGTCGCTTGGGGTGCTGGGTGGATGGGGCTCGGAGTGGATGTTTGAGTGTGAGCACGAATGGTAATGGGTACGTTGTTATAGCGCCGATGAAGCGCCGAGACGGCGTAGTGGACGGTGCAGTTGCACAGACTTTCTCCCGGCTTATTTCGTTCTCTCTTGCATGCTCTCTAGCAGTGGACATATGTATGTAGTAAGCTCGTCGCCTGTAGGCGTACAAGCTCGGAAACGGATGGATTATACCCCTCGTCCATACGCGCACTCATAGCTGGGCGACAAAAAGCAGATATATGCGGTTAACGGTTGATTGACTTTAACTTTCTCTTGACGGTACAGGTACATCATCACGCCATCGATCCCTATATCACGACGTATTACACCCCGCGCGCACCATGTCCGCGGGTATCAAGACGCGCTCCACTGGAGACCGATCAATCCCATGCATCCAGAGGCTCAGAAAGACGTACTTTGAGGTATTCCTATCCGAGAACCTCACGCTCGGGTCTCCAAAGTTCTCGCTCGCCTTGAGCGTCCCCTTCTCGAGCATGATAAGTGCGATGGCATCCTCGTTGCTGGTCTCGAAGATGGTCTCGAGCTGCTGCTTAGAGGCTTTGCCGAGATTGCCCTGCGAGCCTTGGCCAGAATGATACACGGAGAATGAGTCGAGCACTTCTACAAGGGGGATGGTGCTGCAGAGGACAGGAGTGTGGTGAGCGGTGCAGGGAGAAGGATGGAGTGGGAAGGGCTTACTGGTCACCGTCCTTCCATTTCTTGTAGGCTACGGGGTCGGATACGATCATGATCATCTCGTCTGTGCTCTGAGAGTCAGGCTTGTAGACGAGGACAGATACGGATTTGGCCATGTCGGGTAAGTGTGGGGGGGTGGGTAGGGGGAAGTTGTGGTCGAGGTTGAGGTTGATGTTGAGGAGGGGAAGAGACGATGCAAGTTATGACTGCTGGATAAACGATGCTTTAGTGCCACACGACCACTTGCCAGTTGAACGCTTTATAGGCTCCGGATGGGCAATGCTCCCGCCTTACCGGCATTGCGGGCGGAGATGGCGGGAGGCGCGTCATGTGATGTCGTCATCATAACGCACAGCCACTTTAGCGAATGATGATATTGGTGACTTGGACAACTTCATAGGGAACATTAACGCTTGACAACGGAGATGAAGCTCACATGAAAAACAGGAACATTCGTGACTAACAATGACTCGAAAAAATGAATATCTCCACTCTGCACTCTGACTTCTCAAAACGACTTGTCCGCCCAGCCATCATGCATCGGCCAGCTCATCCCCGTCCCAACCTCATACTCCACCTCCTCCCGCATCGCGCATACCTCGCACAGCCCCGCACGGGCATAGCACACATCCTTCCCTTGCTCAATATGATGCGAGGGGCTGTCGGTCCCTAGTGCCGGGGGAGGGGCGCTGGTGCTCGTGCTGGGGGTTGGGGAGCCGGAATGGGCGGGAAGGGCCAGCTTGTCTGTGCAGGCGTGAAAGCTCTGGTCGGCGAGTCGCGTGTGCCCACAGAGGGGGTAAACGATCAGCGTCTGGTTGGTCATGCACATCTCTGCGCGGGATATTAAGCCCTGGTTCAGCAGGGATAGACCAGTGCAAGTGGAGAAGCTTACCGGACTTGATCGTCTGGGTCGGGATTGAAGGCTCAGGCTTGAGATGCCAATGACGACCACCGAGCTTATACGCTATGGCTAGACATACCCCATAGCATCCGATGTCATAACGAGCACAAGGAGCAACCCCTGTGCTTCACATTCCTGCCGCGGTTGGCTGTATCTGCGATACCGGGGAGATTAGATTCTCTCCTCCTCCCTTCCGGAACTCTCCCCGGAATCAGCATCAGCACTGTATCAGCATCCCAAGCCCGAGCCGGGCGAGCGAAGGCTGCCCCTCCTCCAGCAGCGCTCCAAGCGTATTATAAAGCGGGGTGGAACACACGTTCCCCCTCCCCGCTCATACGGATCTCAATCGCCACATATGTTCGGGAAGAATAGACGGTCCGTAACAGGATAGGGGAACGGCGGCTCCCTATCCCTGTCCTTTCTACCCAATGAAAGGGGACAAAGAAAGGCCTTTCCCAATCGGGGCGCATCGCAGGGATCGTAAGGTTGCCGGATTAGGTGCATCGGGGAGAGGTGCTTGCTCTTACCTTTTTTGGCAATAGTATATAAGGCACGCCTGGAGATTGAGCTCCAAATACGGCATGTATTATACCAAGAAGCTTAATACGACATGACACAGCAGATGGTGCATGGTGCAATCTACTGAATTTGGACGGCTCTCTACAATGGCTCGTGCTGAATGGGCCTCGCTGGCCAGGCACGGCATGTATTGGTCCATGCTGCTCAGAGGGCGATCGATGACTGAGGCAGGGAGGGAGGCTATAAAGGGGAGAGGAGGAAGGAGTAGTGACAACTTCGGTCACTAGAACCGGCGACGTCTTCGTTCCGCCGTGTCAGATGCGACCGGATACTCCGTTCAACCTACTATACCCGGGCATCACGCTTCAAGAACCCACTTTTGTTTCTATTCTCCTCTGGTCTACTCGGACATGCCTGCCAAAATGCTACTACAACTACACCTTCCTTCTACCTTTGTCTGAGCTAATATACATACAATATCGATAATCAAGTGGATAAATAATGCAAGATTGTGTGTGGAATGAATGCCAAGCGGAGCGTGGACCTTCTGACTGAGAAGCCGGAGACGGAGTGCTGTCCGTGTATGAGTATGAGCCAATCCAGGTATCCGTTCCTCAAAAGCCAGGTGCACCAGGAACGAACCCCATTGCATAGACGTCGCTCTCGAAATGTCCAAGTCGAGCATCATCTTGCCAATACACGACTTCCAGCGGGTTCCCCTTCCAATCAATACCCAGTTCGTTCGATCCGTCCGGTGTCCATTCCCTCTCCGGGTGCGGGTCAGACCAGTCGAAATCGATACACAGCGCACTCCACTGGCCGCCATGGAAGAACACCCTAATGCCTTTCTCTAGCACGGCACGGCGGCGCACCTCGGCGTCTCCGGGCTGGATACAGTACCCAGAGTCGTCGCAGTTTGCTAGCATGTCCGCTTCGACGTCGTCTGGCCCTCGGATGGTGGGGTCGATGTATGTCGATCGCTGGAGGGCAAGCTCCGGGTGCTGCACGTACGGGCCGGGTTTGACCATCGGCTCGGGGTAACCTTTGACCTGCTTCGTTCGGCCCCATCTGTGCGCGTCAGCGGGATGCACATCTGTGCCGTACGCAAGGCGGACTCACGTAAAGGTCTGGTACACCCCACTCGGGATCTGTTTCAACAAGTTGTAGTGCACGAACATCGGTTCGCCAGTATGGTCATACTGCTCCATCGTATGCGCACAGAACCCCGTGGCGGAGTTGGACGGGAGCGCCCCGCCGCCCACCCATCGGCCAGGAAGAGCCCACCGCTTCCTCAACGCAAGGAATGCGAACCTGAATACGTCCTTGTCGCCATCCGAAAAGTAGTACCAGAACTTCCAGTCCAGGAGGATATACAGCGACAGGAGCAAGGCATCCAGATGTCTACGCTTGTCGATTATGATCTGGCCGGCTTCTTGTTCCCACTCGTCACGGCACTGCACGCCTATGATCTGCCATATCGGGTTCACAGGCGTCGTCTTCCAGTAGTCGGGCCAGAACATCGCACCCAGCCGCTGGTAGTTAGGCGCATCGAAGAGGATGGCAGGGTCAGCAGCAGGGATGTTGTCGCTGTCCAGGTAGATCACTTCTGCCCATTCAGACTCGACGATAGCCATGGCCTTGAGGTGGTAGTTCTTTGTGCGTGATCTGTCGCGTGTCGTACCGACCGCCTCGACGAGCTTGGCATTCAACCCTTCCAGCTCGGCGACGAGGGGCGAGTCCTCCGGCGGCTTCTCGGACGGGAAATGGTATATCGCAGCAGGGAGCTCGCAAGCCAGCTCTGGGTATTGTAAGCACTCGTTCCCAGGGCTCCGTAGGACGTACTCTGCCTCAGGTACTTAAGAGTCAGCACGACCCGCGACAGCGTATCCTGTATCACGTCATCAGCCCTAGTCTGTGCAAAAAAGAGAGAACCTACAGCGTTGCCAGCAGTGAAGACGATCCCCCTTGCTTCGCCCGTCAGGCCCCTCCCGCCCCTGCGTAGAGGAACAATATCGAACGATCCGCAATCGACATGCATTTCCAGGAATGAAGCCATCCGTTCCCGGATCTCAAGTATCATCGTCCTGGGTTGGATTAGCACACACAGCCCGACAGTCGGCCAAAAGGCATACCAGTTCAAAGTTGCCCATACGAGACTGCTCTTTGTTAATAAGTCTTTATTCTGGTTCTTCCCGAAGTCGGCGCATGTCTGCTCTTGGTCAGCATAGCTCGTCTCAAGTCAAAAGACCAGCACCTCTAGGTTCCAACGGATGAAGTCCGACTGCTCCCAGCCGATCCCAGGGGCATTACGGAACGCTGCCAGCCGCTCTGAGAGCTTCGCTCCTACAGGGAGTGGGTTGAGGTGGTCTGGTGGGATTCGGGGTGGTGGTTCGGATGCCGCTGGCGGATGGTTGAGCACTTTTTGGACTGTTAATGAGGGAGAGGGGGAGAAGAGGTTATCCAGCTGCGGTTTCTGATCTCTCTTGAGCATCTCTCGACTGAAGGAGAGGCGGAACCCACTGGTATCCAAAATGACGACACAGTGAGTATGACTGCCATGCTACAGAGGAGCAGGAGGATAGTGGCCCGCTTTGTGCCCAGCCCATGAAACTTGCTCGTCGTGTTCCACCGGACTTTTTTCAAGAGCTGGTCAAGCCGCTCCATCGTCGAGGTTCGTGAGTGGGTGTGGTATGACTGTACAGGATTGTCTTTGTTGGTGTAATCCGGGTGCGTGAGAGGAGAGGCCTGCAAGGGAAGCAGAGGGGCGTGCGGGCTCTGTGGAGAATAAGAAGCAGTAGCCGATGCCATCTCCTTTCCTCAAATTCGTGTAATGTCCTGTTGTCTCGTGTTTATTTCGACAGTGGCCGTGATACTGCGTTGCGTTGCGTTGTGAGGAGAGGGCGCCAAGCGAAGTAGGAGGACTGCGCAGTCGAGGCGAGAAGAGGGCCAAAATTAGCAGAGGCTAGTTCCCTTCCTGGTGCTTGTACTGAAGCCTCGGGAAACGAGCGAGACGGTGGCCGATGGGATAATAGTGACCGGTGCTGATAACGTCAGTTTGGGTGAGCCATGGTCGCAGAATGAAACGGTTGCCTCAGCCAGCCTCTCTCGCAGTTCATCCAGTGCATCAACTCATCCGTCGCAGCAATTATGCAGTAAGACGCAGATGGTACAGCCCATCAGGCAGATTTCCCGCGTTCCAACAATAGCACAACAGTGTTGTGCTGTCCATTTCACAGGGCAGTAAGCTATTAATAAAAGAGGTGTTGCCTGTTCTGGAAAGTGTCAATGTTGGTGCGCGACGTGTAAGAGTGGGGCGAAGACGTCATCAAATTTCTTCCCACGACCGAGAATCATTAGTGAGTTATCCCCATTCTACAGCCCGCACACTCACAGCACTAACCATTCCTACATCACATAACGATAGTAATCATCCATCCCACCGACTCGATGAATTAATCACCTCGCCAGCACCTTGTTCGTATCCTAATTGTCACTCCTCGCTAATTTTGGATTGCGCAGCAGTCCCTGCCTGCCCTGAGACCCTCAAAAGGTCTGCGACGTTCTAGACTCGATAAATGCGGAAATGAAGAGCGGAAACGAAGGGGGCGGTAATGCGGGTAAGGGTATATTCGCCGATAGTTATGCATAGTGCATAGATGAACACATACAACCCACTCAGAGTAACACAATCTACCAACTCGTATTAGCCGACGCGCCCAACCTCGACCTCCCTAGCCTCCTCGGCGTTCCCCTCGCACCAGTGCTGTCCCTCAGCCCGGGCTGCACCCCCCCTGGGCCATCCTGCTGAGCCGCCGTGCCCGCAACCATAAGTTCCGTCTGCCTGACCTTTTCCTCCAACGCCCTGCCTTTACTCTCGATCCACTGGAGCGTGCCGAGGTTCGAGTTGAGTATAGCGACGATTTGCGAGACAGGGTCTTCGGAGGCCGCGATCACCCCCGGGTTGAGGGACGAGGAGAGGGAGAGGGAGGTACCCGTACTGGGCGTGTTGAGCGAATTGATCGTCTCGATCATCTGGCCGAGGTTACGGCCCATATCGTCCAGTTCCCGATTAAGCCTCTCGGCGAGGTTGTACGCGTCTTGCCGCGTCTTGTCGGCTGGGCGGAGGTCGCGTACTCCTCCAGAACCGGTATCGAGCCCGGAAGCGGTGAGCGTTTTGTAAGGACTGCTCCCGAGGTTCTTCTCGAACATCTCCGAGAGGAGAGCTTCGTACCCGTCCAGCGCGGTAGAGAGCTCTTTTTGCTGCGTCTCGACGTGCTCTAGGGCGCTGTCGACAAGGAGCTGCGTCCGCTCAGCATCGTTCACGTCACTCATCAAGTTCCCGATCTATCGTCATATGAGTTCACTGCGTTCTTGATTAAGGGAAGCGCATACCAAAGCCCCGTTCTCCAGAAGCATCCGATCCCACTGTGCGACCTCCCTTGCCAGCTCGCCATACTCTCTAACGGAGCTCTCAAGATCCTTCGACCAACGGTTGACAATATCCTCCATACTGTGGCCCTGGAGGTGCGAGATAGAGGGCGTGGTCTTCGCGGGTGCAGCTCCTGCCGGTGCGGGTGCGGTCACGGCGCCTAGGGTGGCAGGCGTACCCGTGGCAGCGGTGGCAGGGGTAGCAGGCACACCAAGAGCGGAAGCACCTAGCGTCGAGCTCCCAAGGGTAGACGTGTCACCTACACATATGTTCAATAAGCTTCAACATCGAAAGACGACAAACTCACGTTTCTTCCCAGCCCCGAGGAGGCTGAATCCTCCCAGTCCTCCAGCAGCAGGAGCAGTAGGAAGTCCAAGGGAGGGCAACCCCGCCGGCGCCGATGGCGCAGCAGCACCGTCGTTCGGTTTCTCCGCCCCGGTCGCAGGCGTAGGAGCAGCGGGCACGGCCAGTTTCCCAAACGCTTCGAACGGGTTCTTCTTCTCCCCTCCTTCGGGAGCTCCAGTCGAGCCAGGCGCGGAGGGCGCCGCAGAGGTGGAAGCAGCAGGCTGTTTAGGCAACGAGAATCCCGCAAACGCTGGGGGAGCTGCTGTAGCTGGAGCCGTAGTCGGACCGGACGTGGAGGCCAAAGCGGCAGGCGGCTTGCCTAGGGCTGGGAATAGTGTTCCTGCTGCAGGGGTAGAGGCTGCTTCAGGGGCAGAGGGTTTGTTCAGAGCGGGGAAGAGGGAGCCAGCGGGTGCGCCTGCCGCTGGTGTGGTAGTGGTAGCGGCGGGCTTGGGGAAGTTGCCCCAGCTGAAAGGGGCTGGAGTGGTGCTCGTCGTTGCGGCAGCTCCGGCAGCGGCAGTAGGAGCAGCGGCGGGAGTGCTACCCGAAGGGGGGAATAGGGAGAAAGGTTTTGGGGCAGCGGGAGCTGCAGATCCCGCTGCTGCTTCAGCAGGTTTGGGAGGGAAGAGAGATGCACCCGTCGCTGGAGTAGTGCCTTCGGCGGGCTTGGCAAAGATGGACGGGGCGGCGCTTGTGGTCGTGGCAGCCTCGGCAGGTTTGGCAAAGATTGAGGGGGCAGCGGTGGTACTCGTCGCAGCCTCAGCAGGTTTAGGAGGCAGCGAGAAAACCGAAGGTGTAGGTGTAGTGCTCATAGGCGCAGCTGGAGGAGCAGGTTTTGAAAATATTGACGGTGGGGCTCCACTCGGCGCCGCGGTACTAGTCGCAGGAACAGCCTCAGCGGGCTTAGCGGCGAACTGAGCGAACAAGTTTCCAGCGGGAGCGGCGGGCGCTCCAGTAGATGGGGCGAACGTGCCAGCAGGACCAGGACCGAATATGCTGCCAAACGTTGGCGGTTTGGCGGTGCTCGCTCCCGTGGCCGGGGCGGGAGCAGGGGCGGTTGCGGTTCCCGTCTTAGACCCCCCGCCAAGCGCTGTGCCGAAAGACGCGTTCCCAGTAGTCGGAGCTCCCGTTCCCGCGAGAGCACTAAACGAGCTCAGTCCCTTCCCTCCCGAACCGCCAGCCCCGGAAGGAGGAGCGCTAAATGAGCTCAAGCCCGAACTCCCAGCAGCAGGAGCACCGAACGCCCCCCCTCCACCAAGGCCTGCGAAAGGGGACGCAGCCGCTCCCCCTCCTGCAGCAGCTAGGGAGCCGAAGGAAGGCTTCGTTTGCCCGAAAGCTGGTGCTGCCGTACCTGTGCCAGTGGTCGACGTGCTGCCAGAGGGCGCGTTCCCAGGCGCGCCAAAGGCAGACGTAGACGTAAACGCAGGTGCTCCGAACGCGTTCAGCTGGGGGAACAAGCTGCCCCCTCCCGCGTTCCCACTGCTCCCTGTACCTGCACCCGCGCCTGCAGCTGATCCCCCTCCCCCCAGCGCAAGCTGTGGGAACCCAAACGCAGACGGTTTCCCCGCTGGGGTCGTACTCCCCACTGGTGGGAAAAGGGAAGGCTGTCCAGTGTTACCCGGGGCCGGAGTCATCGGGTTCGGGTTGAGCGGTTGCTGTCCTAACGGTGAAGGAGTTGCAGGCTTGTTCGCCTCTGCTGGGTTGAACATCTTCCCTTGGGTATGGTGTGGTGGTGGTTGGTGAACAAGAAAGGAGAGGATGAGGAAGCGTTCGGTGGCGAAAGTGAGCGTCAACCCTAGCGGATGTTTTCGCTTCGGAGATACGGCGTTATTCTCTTATGGAATGTCTACTAGATTATTTGAACACTTTTATTTGCTGAATATAACAAACTGAACGACTGACTATAGAACAGACCTGCCTATAAGCACTACTCTAATAACCCCCCACTCGTATCATGTCCCCTTCCCTCATCCGCTCATCCTCCCACTCCCTCCCAACCCACACACTCACCCACACACCCCATCCAACCAGCTACGTCCTCTCCCTCCTCCCCCTCCCGTCCAAATACGCAATCTCCTACTCCTCCCCTCTCACCCATATCGGGCTCCTCGACCCTCTAACACTACACGAGCTCTCCCTTCTACAGGGCCACGCTGCGCCCGTGACTGCCCTCCATGCGCTAGGGGACGGAGTGCTTTCTGCTTCTATGGACGGGACAGTTCGGCGCTGGGACCCCAGGGAGGGGGGATGTGTCGCTACTCTCTCTTCGGGCAAGGCGGAGCTGTTATCTGTCAGCGCAGCGGGGGACGGGGCGCTCGTAGCAGCGGGTAGCGAGCTAGTGGGGGAGGATGCTCTCCTGTACTTCTGGTGCGTCTACCGCCCTTTCCCCGACCCTGGCTCACTCCCCCCGTCACCAGGGATTTGAGAACAGGAAAACAGCTCCATTCCCACAGCTCGACACACAGCGACGACATCACCTGCCTCTCGTTCCACCCCTCCTCCACCACCTTACTCTCAGGGAGCACCGACGGTCTTCTGTGCCTAACGAACCCGCTCGAAGCAGAGGAAGACGAGGCGGTGCTAGAAGTGGGCAATTGGGGGGTGAGCGTGGCTGATGCTGGATGGGGAGAGGGGAGGGTGTGGGCGAGGAGCGATATGGAGACTGTGAGCGTTTGGGATCAGGAGGTCTGTTTTTCCTTTTCTCTTTGTATGAGGTGTGAGGGGAGCTGATGGGAGACAGCTCAACTTGGTACATGATTTTGGAGACGCGAGGGTTCCGGAAATCGAGAACTGGAAAACAGACTACGTGGTACAATGTTCGCTAGAAGAAGAGGACATGGTCCTCCTGGCAGGGTCTAACGAGTACGCCCACCCCGGAAGAATGAGACGAAACGAGAGCTAACCGGGTGCAGGGGCTCCTTTGCCCAGATTCGCGCTAACCCCCAAGGGTGGATACTAGACCGCACGTTTGTAGGAGGGCACGAGGGGATCGTACGCTGTGTTCTGGTTGACAACGGGGAGGGGAGGATGGTGTCGGGCGGGGAGGATGGGAGGGTCGTTAGCTGGGATCTGGGGGCTGGTGATTCGGAACATGCAGGAGATGTAGAAAAGGAGGAGGAGGAGGAGGATGGGATGGAGGTTGACCACCCGCAGCCTCCGCCTCTGCCTAGGGAAGTGAAGAGCCCCGTACAAAAGGTGCGGCAATTTCTTTTCCTTAGATGAGTGAGCTGATGTTATGAGCTTGATAGGGGAGGAAGAAGGCGCGGTATGAGCCTTATGCGAGGTGAGCAAGTCGGGTCTGGAGATGTGGGTAGTTTGAGTTTAGGTTGTGGGTGTGAAAGGAGTAGAAGTGAGAATTGAATGTTATGATGTAGTGGTATAATGAACACTAATGACCTTAGATTCTCCTGTCTGGAGAAGAGTGACGTCATACCCCTCTTCCCCCTCCCCCTCCTTCCGAGTGGCGTCCCGTGCACGCGCACATGGCTCGCCTGACTCCTGCACACCACACCCCTCCCTCATTACTCACCCTCCTCACCCAACAAGTCATCCTCACATCCATATCCACTCACTCAACACTTCCCAACAATGTCACTCCGTTCACCTCCCCCTCCTCCCCCTCCTCCCCCTCCTCCTCCTCCTCCTCCTACAGACATCCCACCAGAACTCCATTCCCCACCTTCAACAGCAAGCGCTCCAAAACCAAAGGGTATATTAAAGAACGCTCTCCCACCTCTTCAGACTCTCCCAGCAAACTACACAGGCGCACAGTGAGTACTCCTCTTCCATCCCTTGATGGAGACGACACTGATGATACCTACAGCTTGTCATGGGACGAAGAGAATATCGCCGCTACAGACCTCTCAAACGAGACGTTCATGAAGATCACAGAGCCTAAAACTCCCTATGTCAGATATAATGCAGAACTGGACGAAGTCGAGGGTCTGAGCTGTACGCCCCTCTCCCACCCAGCGCTAACTGATATATAAACTAATCGTTCCGCATAGACATACCCGACTTCTCACTCACCCAACGCTCGCCGTACTCCTCCGTCCCTCCCTCTCCTCACCCAAACCAGTCCCAGACCCAGACTCAGCCGCAGAACCAGAACCAGTTCTCCTCCCCCTCCCCGCGCACCTCATTTGGCCAGCCTGGCACCGCGCCTAATCGGCCTAGCGTGAGCGCCAGTTCTGGAAGTAGCAGGAGCGCGAGTTTCTCACTCCCTGGGGAGGAGGGGATTAGGCTCACTCCTGGGGAAGGCACTTGGGGGGAAGTCGAGGAGGACGAGCCGATGGACGAAGAGGGTCAGTCATTCTCCTCTTTTCTGAGTAGTGGGTTGCTAACCGTGCTCGTGACCTTAACCTTCCACAGCGACTAAGAAACACGCAGCGTTCGTCAAAGCCCGCGGAAGACACTACTCTCACGAAGGGGAAGCGATGAAGGTACGCCCTCTGCGTGCGTGTCACTGCTGCTGCTTACAGTAGCAGATGGCTAGGTTCCTTCCTGAGGAGGAAGATGAAGAGCCTAGGGAGGAGCCGGAGGGAGAAGAGTACCCGGAGGCGGAGGCCAGCCCGCTCCCTAATGGTGCGGATGCGGGGTCTGTCAGTGCTGGAAGTAGCTCGTAGCCGTGTGGTTGGGCTACTCGCTGGCGCCGAACGCTTGTTTGTCATCTTGCGCTTTGGGAGATGTCCCCTACCTGTTTGCATGCCTGCTTGTATTTGACTTGAACCAATAAACTATCCTAACATTAACCCAAGCTAGCCCATCTCCCTCCTAGCACTCGCCTACCCCCATTGCCATTAATATTCCCTTACTCCGGACGAACCCGTCGGATTAGAGAGACCGGAACCTTTACCCCGCATTTTTTCATTTTCGCTCTGACACAAAGTCCTGACAAGTACTGCAAGTACTGACAAGTTTTTCTCTGACTCGTCTACTGTCAGGTACTGTACGCGAATTGCTCACCAACTGAGTGAACAATTTTCTACTTTCACATCTGGTGCTTGACAGATTGGGCCTCCACTGTTTTTGTACTGTTCGCTGCTAGGTGTTTGCTGCTAGGTTTAATTTGGGCACTTGAAGCTTATGACCCTCGCGCGGCTCTGCACCGCCCGCTCCTCACTCCGTTCTCCCTACTCGAAACTCGCCCCTCTCTGCAGACCAACATCAACATCAACATCCATGTCCCGCTCCACCTCCCCCACACCCTCCGAAGGACCAGGCGACGGCCACCTCCTGCGCGCCGACCTCATAGCAGCTCAATACCGTTCCGAGCTCCTCTCCCACCTGCAAGAGCCCACATTTCGCGCCCGAGCGCCCACGCTAGTCGGGGTGTTAAGTACGGCCCAGGAGCCGGCGAGGCGCTACGCGGAATTCACACAGCGGATGTGTGAGGAGCTTGGGGTGAGGTACGTCTTGAAGGAAGTTGGGGGCGCTAGGGGTGGGAGGGACGGGGAGGGCGCGGAGGAGGCTGTGATAGAGGCGAATGAGGATGAGTCTGTGGACGGGATCATGGTGCGTTCTCTTCCTCTTACTTTCCCTGTTGGGAGGACGCTGAGGGGAACAGGTGTATTACCCTATATTTGGAGGAGGGCAGGATCAGTATTTGCAGCAGGTGAGCGGAACGCTGTGTGGATGTTTGGAGGCTTAGGACGTGCCAGGTCGTCTCCCCGCTCAAAGACGTCGAAGGGCTCAACTTCAGGTTCCACTATAACCTATACCACAAGTACGCCGACGCCCTAGCTTCCTGCTCTGCGCTCTAACCCCCGTGCCCCCTCCCTCAGCATCCGGTTCCTCAAGCCCTCCCAGCTGCTCAAGCACAACCCCCTCCTCCCCTCCGACGACCCTGTCACGGAGGGCGACCACCCCCCGCCCGGGTACGTCAAGTCCATCCTCCCCTGTACGCCGCTCGCTGTCGTCAAGTGCCTCGAGTACGCCGGGGTGTACAACCGGTTGCTCAGGTACGGCGACCGCGCGTATGGAAAGACAGTGACTGTCGTTAACCGGAGCGAGGTTGTCGGACGCCCGTTGGCCGCGTTGTTGAGTAATGACGGGGCGCGTGTGTTTTCCGTCGACTTGGATGGGATACAGGAGTATACCAAGCGGCCGAAGGAGGAGAAAGTGAGGAAGTATCATCCCAGGCATGTGGTCCAGCCCGTGCAGACGGAGCTGAAGGATTGTCTTGCCATCTCCGACGTCGTTATCTCCGCCGTACCGAGCAAGGAGTACAAGATCAAGACCGAGTGGCTCAAGGACGGATGTGTGTGTGTGAACGTCGCCTCAGAGAAGAACTTTGAGACGGACGTCAAGACCCGGGTGAGCGTTCTGAGCCTCTGTTCGTGGGAACACGACTGACTGCGAACAGGCGGCGTTGTACATCCCCGCTGTTGGCAAAGTGACGATTACCATGCTGCTTCGGAACCTCCTGCGCTTACGCGAGTACAACGAGCTCGCCGCGGCTGCTGCCACACCTCCAGCACCATCGACATCATCATTGATAGATAGATCATAGACAGGCAGAGCAAAGCACAGGCAGGAGCTTGTTGCTGATATCATATGTATTACAGCTACACAAGGATTGAGTAGTTTGCGTGGAGCGATAGCAGATTGCGACCGAGTTGCGGACTGGGACCGAGACTGGATAAATGGACAGGTATGCGAGAAAAAGAGATGGATGGGGCTGGCCGTGTGACGTGAGAGATCCGGAATTAGTACGCAAACGAAAGCCGGGAGTGGGCGCGAACGCGAGTGGGCAGCAGATGGCTTGCAAGGGCTCTATCTCAACTTGCCCTGCAGCGTCACAAAGTCTGGCGGGGTGCCGGCCGGAGCGAGCCTGGGCGACGGGATCGGCGTTGGCGTCCCTGTCGCGGGTGTCGCTGCCCCTGAGGTATATCCTGGTCGAGAAAGGAAACGGATACGCTGCCGGTGCAACTGCGAAAGACCGTAAGTAATTTAGACGTGGGTGGAGTCATCTGAGCGGTGACGTACCTGTGGCAGCTTCGGGAAAAGGACGACCAGAAGAGCGGTAAAATTGATCGCGAATAGCCAGGGGTTGTAGTGGGTGTAGTGAGTGGATATTAGGAATCTTCATATGCGAAATGTTAGTGAGGAGAAGTGGTCATATGGCAAGGGGCATACAGAGCGATGGGAACGCATATGAGCCATTTCTTCGAGGGGGTGTACTGCGCGCCCTCATCAATCTGCTCCCAGAGCGTGAGATCGTCGTATGCTCCTCCGTGTGAGTCTGGGTCAAACGGTATACCGGTGACGCAGTGGAACATGATGTAGGATATCTGCGGGGTGTGTCAGAAGGTTCGGACATTTTGTATGCATTCACCGGACACACGAGGAGGTAGGAAAGATTGACGATGGTCCAGCTGGCATCCTGATGCATGCCGGGGATGACATCGACGAGTATTTTCCCGCAGATAACGAGGACGGGGTGTATTACCCATGCGCCTGCAGAAGGGTGTGAGATGTATGCACTAGGTGAAACGAACGCGCAAACGCACCCTTGTAATTTACCCACTCAGAGTTGATATTCTTATATGCGTTCTGATCGAGCATCTCCTCGAGACTGTCACCCCCTACTGGCTCGACGGTGACGATGCTCGCTGAGCGCTGCCTTCCCTTTACATGGTGGTGGTGGTGTGATGCGCTGGCTGAAGAAGGCAGGTTTGCAGCCGAAGCGGTGGTGGTCGCGATGGGAAGATTGAGGGTGGGGATGACCCTTGAAGATGGCATGCAGAGAAGGTAGAGAGTGTTATTACGAAAGGGGGTGTTGCCGTTGTGTTCGAGGAGGAGATGGTGGTGAAGATATCAGGAGGATGAAGGAGAGTGCGCCGTAGTCGATGAGAAAGAGTTAGTCAATTGAGGGGATGGTAAAGAGCAGGGCTGAGACGTGGAGTGAATCCCTGCCCAAAAGGCGCACGAGTCGCCCAATGTGGCTGAGTCCCTTGCAGTACATAGGGGTCATTCTCTCTTATTCTCCCCCCCAACCGGTTTGGCCGACTTTGCAATTAATATTACTCATTGTACTGAATTTCACTTTGTACAACATAGACTTCAATTAACATCCAGTCATTCGCTTTATTTGATCTGTTATAGCGACAGAATAATCAGTCCCCCAAACCATGACCGCCGACAAGCCCGACGCGCAGTCGGTTGTCAGCGTCATCAGCTCATGATCGAGACACCAGGAATACAACTACAATTCGATAACCTCATTGACGGCAAGAGACACGTTCACTGCGCATCCCGTGCGTGTCCGAAGTGTATAGCGATGCCGGTGGATGCCCGCAACCTTTTGGCCCCTTTGATACGAATGACTCGCTTTCATCCGCCTACCCATTGATACTTGAAAGCTTCAGTGGTTTCTCTCCATTTGTGGTCTTCTTATAGCTTCCGTTTGAAGCTCGAGATGGTCAGCATTTCATACGCATATAATGTAACACAAATGCATTCTACACGATATTGGAATGAAAACGACTTTGCAATCGCTCATGACTCGCTAGAAGGTTGAGAATGGTGGAGTCAACCTACGCAGTCTCAATCCAGGTCTCGCCGCAGCGCAAAGTTTCCGGCAAAGCGCACGCGCATCTTCTGTCCAACTTCTCAAATTGTCATATTTTCGAATCGTTTCCAGTCCACCTCTTGGCGCCTGTGCGTCTTGAACGCAGCTCCCATGTGAGTCAGTGGTACCATCGATGGCCTGAATGACACTGAGCTACGCAGGCAGCGGCGTTGACGGGACGTACCTCCCATGAGCGCATTGGAACGGCAGAACCGTCTCGCTCAGCTGTCGAACCAATTGCTCGCATTGAGTCAGCGACAACGAGTCGTTAAACATGATGGCACCTGACATCGGCCTTAGTTAACTGTCAACAACCCCCTGTGATGGTCTCGCCTCACCCCTGCAACTTCGCGAGTTGATCAAGTCGATGAGCCCCTCCGGACACCAGCGTAGTGCCTTCATCCATCCCGCTTTATGGCGAGCTTCGACGTCGTTTATGCAAGTTCCCTCCGACTGGATGATAGGAACGGATTCCACTCCTTCATGCTGAAGCTTCGCGAGAAAGTCCGTCACCAGCTCTTTCAGCTGATCCCCGAGAAGCAGCTTCACTGCGACTGCATCGGGTATGGAGGACACGAGGATGTGTGCCTCAGCAATATCTTCACGACCGTGCGCAAACATGGATAACTCGGAGAGGGACAGTCGGAAACCCCAACGTTCGAATATTTCCATCACGCACGATTCCTGTTGAAGAAACTCGGCATCTTGCTTTGTGATAGGAATCGACTTGGGAGGATCAAGTTCTCGAACCACCACAGAGCATCCATCCTTGTGATGCAAGAAGCGAACACAGAAGTTACGAAGAAAGTGTTCGACGCGAATCCGTTCGTCTGCGGCATGTTGATCTATCATTAGGAGCATGCTTTGAATGCCCTGTTCGGCAGCGGTTAGGAGAGGAACCTTGCAAGCGACAAACTTTCGATCCACTTGATTGATCACCACTGCTTGGCTCAGACTGCTTCTCGATAACCTTCCTTGGGCTATCTCCGAGGAATCTTCTAGGGGACCCCCTTCAAAGAAACGTCTTAGCATTTTCATGCTCAGCCCTCGATCTTCGCGCATCTTTGTGGGATCATCAACAATCTCGATTTTTCTTGCTGCTACTCCATGCGATGAATGCCCTGTTGTCGTCTCAAAGGTGGGATTTGGCCAGGACTACGCTCGATCAGTAGTTTCCTTAGATGTAGGCGGAGGTAACTCGGACGGACCTTCAGTACCGATGACATCCATTCAGGAGGTTCGGCGTCCTCCGTGCCTTTCAATGCGCCACGCAGCCATCGTCTGTCCACAAGCGGAACAGCGCCAAAAGAAATACCCTCGCCTTCCGTTTCATATTCTGTCTCTTGCCCACTGTCTCGGATTCGTTTCAGGGAATTTCCGGAACGTTTATCAACCAGATGAAGTTCTCCGGTGATTGGATCACGCCATGATATCCACCAGTCGTCCGGTGCGAAGTCCTGCCGGAGCTTAGTGAGTTGCCACTTCTCTAAATGATACACGATGCTCACTGAATCAGGGAATGCGAAAGCGGGGGGCTGGGTCTCCTCCAAATGAGAATTCTTCCTCGTGGAGGCGCAAGTCTTGTTACAAGAATCGTTTTCGGATCCGATTGGAAGAGAAGTTGTCGCTGCCTCGCTCGGAGTTCGAGCGAATCGCCTTCGTTTATTTGTCGAAATGGGAGAAGAATCAACAGCATCTGCCACATCGTGTAGTTTCCGGTTCGAATGACGTGGAAACCCGTTCCTGGTGAGGAAGCTTTCAATCGTCTGGCCCAGGAAGCTTATGACAGTATCCGCATCCTAGGAGCATATCAGATTCTGTGACCGCGGTTTCGATGCCAGCACGCTACTTCGAAGAAAACATTTCCCTTGGCTGGCTCCAGTGAGATATCTAACAACGTTGGGGGGACGCTAACATTTAGAACGTAAACTGGTCTTCTCTCGGTCTTCCTCGGGGACCGTTTCGAGGCTGTCATCAGTTTGGTTAATTGGCTACCATGTTGGTTGACCTGAAACATACATGTTTGCGTTACCGACTCTCCATTTTCATCCAGTGCCTGATTATATATCAGACGCGCTACACGTGGAACAACACGAGCGCAAACCTTGCGTCCAAACCTTGTAGCTGAGAACTTTCTATCAATTACGGTGTGCAGCTCGCAAGGTGTCACCGGATGTCGGTTCACGTCTGTCGCAATGTCAGCATGGTGGATTCACGGTGTCCGCATGGCCTCCACTGTACAAAGGAATTGATATGATTTTGAAGGAGTGCCTTCGAGGCTCAGAAAACCTTCAATTGTAATGTTTCCAGATCGCTCCTTGATAATTTCCACATTCTAGTAGCCCCGTTCAGCAGACAACATATGTGCTCCTGCCTGTGGCAACATGCCTGAGTCAGGGTCTTTCCGAAGAGATGGCTGAAAGTATCGAGCACGGAGGAAGTCTCAAAAAAGCATTAATAGTGTGACTTCAATATAGAAGATTATTACTGTACCTTGAGGATAGTGAGAAGTCGTTTCTGTCCTTCTCCAGCTTCCCGTTCTGTGGTACTCTTCTCCAGGGTGAAGCAAACATGCGGAAACATCAGGGCGAGTTTCTCGATATCTCTTCTGACCGTCTGCAAGGTGGCCGATGGTGTCGGATGACTCATGCGCCTAACAGGCAACTATTGACCACATGAGCGGGCTCCACCCTAGAAAAGTCAGGAGAAATAGACATTGTAGAAAGCATCCTTGATGTTGACAATTGTACCGGGTCTTTCCGTACGCCACCTCAGAGGGGGACCAGCATATATTTTGTTCCCTCCCTGAGGAGATAAGATGTTAGATTAGGTCGACGGGCGGATCTCATGGCTTACCTTAACGATGATGCACCAAGATCCCTTGTCGGCGGATCGAGCGGAGATCTCAACAATGGCTATATCGATCGCGGAGGCAAGGGCTCAAATACTGCTCAGACCAGGAAAGTACTCAGTGCCACTCCAATTAATTCACCTTCTCCTCGAAATCCGAATGTACTCGACACCTCGAGAACAGAGGTCCCGTGATTCTTTGAAGTAGCTATATGCGCGACATTTCAAGCACCGAAAATTAGTCAGATGGGCCCGAAAAGGCGTACCGTATTTTCCTTTTTCCCTTCCTCGTGCAAGCAGATCAAGTCCCTCCCTGGGTATACCACAGCCGTCATCTCGGACCCAGCAAGCCCACGCCTCGGGGTGGATGCCCACGTCGACCTGCCTTGCGCCTGCATCAAGGCTGTTCTGCACGAGCTCTGACACCAGCTGAGGTAGGTTGGTTAATATTTGCGTTGATCGCAGAATGGAGCGTGTCTCCTCGGGTAGAAGGGTAATGAGTTCCCGTCGCCGGCACATGGTGCATGTGTGCTCCTGAACAAATCAGGGGGCCACGCGCCGCAATGGATAGCCGTTCTGGTTCGCGAGGCGGTACAGGAGAGATCGGTGGGAACACTTGGCAGAACCGTGAAGAGAGATGATACGCGCACAAATATATGCGTGCTGAGGAGTCAATAATGATAGTCGATATACGTGATAGAGTGCGATCAGTGATGTGTCCGAAGTGGTGAGTATTGTTGCACACGGTATGCTACACGGGGTCTTCGAAACGAAGGACGAGCGTGTCCGAGACCTCGCGGGAGGGGGACTGGGCCCACGCATCACATGATCAGACGATTACGTTCATGACAAGTCGAAAGGGCAAGTATGCTTCTTGCCTAGGTTTCTATCTTCACGCTGGCAGTTGCTGGCACATGACGTTTCCCTTCGACCGATGGGGGCCGATGGGGAAGCAAGGCACACCACTTCTATGCGAGTGAAACGGCTCGGTTGCCCATACAGTGGGTACTTCGTCTTTAATTCGCAACCCCTGTTTGGGCTCATATCCTCGACCTTCACACTTCCTTGTCGGCGGATCAACCCCTATGGGGAGTCAACAACACCGACGTTATGGTATTTCAGGTCCATATCAAGCTCACACTTATTTGCCTCCTCCAGAAGACTTTGGAAATGACTGTCATCCATCGACCCAGAACGCTGGACCGGGTCCGAACAAAGGCGAAGTTGGCAACCGGGAGCGCAAGGGTCATGGGAAAGCGTACATTTATACAATTGTTTACTAGATTACGGGCCTGATAGGACTATTGCACGTCATTCCCGGGTATGAAACATCTAGAATTCCTTCCAATCGTCCTCATCCCAGTTGTCGGTTTTCTGCGGAGCTAATGGCACTGGACCCTTGGCAGGCGCAGCCGAAGTCGTCGCAGGTGGTGGCGCATCACGATGGTGTTCGATATCAAAGAAGTGGTCATCAGGATCGTCATGGTACAATGCCGAGCCCTCATGATACTCCTCGCCCCAGCCTTGCTCACCGACAGCGCCGTATCCGCCACGGCCTCCGGTTGGTCGATTACCGCCCACTGTGCTCGTGACTGTGTCAACGAGGCCGGTGAGATGACCGCCCACGTCCACACCGGTTTGTTGCCGGCCCCAATCGTTTGCCTGCTTCCCAACAACTTGCAGATTCTTGCTTGCCATGGAACCGAAGTCCATTGCTTGACGACCTGCTTCGTTAGCGTATGCAGAAATGTTCGCTTTCAAGTTCGGGTCGATACTGTCACTAACGGCTTTCGAGGCACCCGCGACGGCTGAAGAGAAGAGGCTCCAGCCCTTGCCCAATGCCTTCATTGGATCTTGCTGGAAGTCGGAAATGGATGGAGCTGCCTTTGACGACAGACCAAATGAGGGATTTTGTGAACTTGACACCGCCTGTGGCTCAGGAGTGGAGCCAAAGCCAGTGTACCGACCACCCTGAGAAGGGGGAAGATGTTCAGGCCGCGAGGCATTTGCTTGGCCCAGTGAAGCAAAATACGACTCCTTTGCGTCCTTCTGGTCGACGGGCGGCGTTCCAGGGGAGCTCGAGGCTTGTCGCGAGATGGAAGAGAAGCCCGCAGCCCCACGCGCGGCTGCTCGGGACTTGCGCAGACCCTGGGCCGAGTCGTGGCGGGAAGGGGGTTCAGAATGGATCGTGCGTGGTGGGGGCGCAGACGGCGCCCAAGGACGCCCCTCGACGATCGCGGTCAGCTGCAGCAGGTAGAATCTGTCAAACAACCTGTAACCATGTGAAATCCGTGGTATTACATACCTTCTCGCGATATTGCGAAGCCGCCCAGCATGTGTACTTTTCTTGGATGACCATGCCCTCAATGTATACTCCTTGATCGGTAGGAGTGTAATCTTTCAAGAAGTCCATGAAGGGCTTGTTGCCACCCATCTGCAAATCGCTATCAGGCTCCTTGCGGTCCGACCACACGTGGAAAACTGATGCCGACATACCTCCATCTTCTTTAAGCCAGTTCCATCCCATTTGTCCTGGAACCCTATGTCAGACCAGAGCATGTTCCCTTCCCCATTAAGGTCGTACCATGGTGCAGCTCCGCACAAAGCTGATATGAACACCAAGCCCACGATGCACGCCAGCGCAGGATAGACATATGAAGACGCCAAAGCTGACGCTGGCCCATTGAGGATTTGGAGCTCCGCAATCGACACAGTCTGTAAAATAGAGAGTAGGGAAGGCGTGAGGAAGGTGCGATCAGCGGGGAATGCCGTTAGAAGCTCTGACGTTTATTTCCCAAATCGTCTTTCTTCATGAGATCGAAGAGTTGCTGTTTCGCATACGCCTCAGCCATGGTTCGCTTGGTGAATGAGATGGATGATGAAATGGAAGGGGGTATAAGAAGCTGTGTAGAGCAACCGAGGATTGACAGCAGCAACGGTAGTTTGAGCTGTGTTGTGATACTGATTTGCTTCCCTCGTCGGGTCCTTCTTGCTTTTTCACACCCACACCCCCCTGCCACCCTGTGGCGGCGCCCGATTCGGGTCTAGCCCCCGGACCAGTGCCATTAGGTCGGGTTCTTTTTTACTCGACCGCATTCCGCCCTCCAACTGCACCGTCTTTTTCCATCATCAACTTCACCCTTCTCTCCCCTGACTTCCCACTCGTCCACTCCATTACCGTATGCAATTTCCTCGCATATTCATTCCCACAGATTTTGCCGCTCTGCAGGGGGGTAGGGGCAAAGGACCCCGTCAGCCTGTCAAAACATCGTACGAGGGGTCAATCCGCGGTCATACCCTTTACGGCCTCTCGACGGACGATATCTCAACGGGCAGAATTTTGCCAGGAGGGTAGATTTCCATTGTGAAAGTTGATGCTTCTTGCGCGGGGCAGTCGTTCTTCGATTGGCGTGTTTACGAGAGCCTAGCGCTGTTTCAATTTGGCTCTCTGAACATACCAGAACAAAGGCCCGACAAATCCTAGGATGAAATGACGTACTCTGCGCCCTGCGACCCATTTCGTTCCGGCTATTTCGCTACGTGTTCTCCCAGTAAACGGTACCTAACATAACGAGCAATCTTCCTATCTGTGTCACAAGAGAAAATGACTTGCCAATCTTCCGACCGTGTTCCTGGTGTGCGCGCTGCAAAAGGGGACATGCTCCATCCCTTCTTTCAGTCCCGATCTGATCGGGAGGCTTAAACCATCGTGCCCGACCCGCATCCAGCGCCTATAGTTGAATCACCGGGACTCTCACCACAAACAACTCATACTGCTCGCAACGTGCACTCATTATCCTTTAAATATTCCCCTTCTCTCCTCTCAATCGCCAGCGTGACTTGTAGCTAGCTCGTCCTACGGTCATCTCATACTCCTCTCACCCATGTACCAGTCAATCGGAACCTGGCATGAAAACAGGCAAGGATATTCTGTACCCACGCTTATTGCTTTTGACCTTCTCCAAAAGACACTATGACCTTCAAGTAATCCAACATCCTATCCGTGCCCGGCAGAGCGGTTTCGGAGACAAGGTAGGTTTTCTCATGCATAGGAACGCCCTTTGCCGGCGGTCATGTAACCGCGTTCTGGCCAGGATCGTCGGCCCCTCGCCCCTGCCCTGGTTCTTCGACTCCGCGTACTAGACGCAAACAGTAGAGAGGTGCCTTTGAGGTGAGTTCCCACCCTCCAGGCACCGCAGGGCAACTGTTGTTATGGTTACCCCCCGCGTGCCCTTTGTCTCACCATGTTGACTTCTACCTGGTACATTAGTGACATAATTCCCCACATGCTAGTTGCTGCCTGTGATTTGTGCAAGGAGGATGGGGGTCCGGCAGACCTCGTACTCCATCCAGCTTTTGGCGGGAGCGCTACAAACTCTATCACCCGAACCGCAGAATATGGGGGGGTGAGCTATATTTGTTCATTTGCTGCTGTCATCAGCCAGTGATATAATGATGGGCCGTACACAGATGTATGGTTCAAATGGCCAGCGAGTAGACGATTTGCCAGTACCCCGGCATGCCAAGACGATTACTTTCGAAAGCTATCCGCCATCTCGCCGTAGCCAAAGCTGGCCGCAAGCCGATACGGTATACACTCGAGATCTTTACACGCGCGAGCCTCTAAGCGCGCGGGCTCCTCAGCCTTCGCCTCACTTGGAATCGCATTTGCCGCATACATTGCTGGTGCCCCAGGCGCCGCAGGTCGCTGGAAGTGAGCTGTGCACCTCGAGAGGAATGATATATACACTCAATGTCCCGCAGACGGCGTCTTGCCCGGAATCAGCACATTCGAGGCACTCGGGCCTCCCACTCAAGACCGCATACGGTCACGCCAGTTCTCGCAACCCAGCTCAGCCTGGGGCCTCCCCGACAGCCCACCGAGCCGCAGCGACCACTTTGGCCACACGACTACGTGGGACTCTCCTCATCGTCCACCACGCCTGCATATTGACACCAGCCTGTCCCACATTCCCAATTCTTTCGGCAGTCAACCACAGACGGCACCTCCTGCTAATGGCTTGCAGTTTTCTCGCGCTGCATCGCAGTATGAAGCAGTGCCCATGTCCGGACGGTCTGACACACATACGTACAATCCTTTATGGCAGGACCGTCAATGGGTAAACGCTACCCTCGCTCGCCAGAGCTCAACGCCGTCCAGTCATTGGTCCGCCGGTGGCAACCGAAACGACCCACATCCACCTGCGCTGCCCAGTCTGGGAAGTGCGATTCTACGTGAGCCAGCGCTGAAGAAGTACTCGCGCACCCTCATTGGTCCAGTTGTGGCCAACGGAGTCCAGCTCCGGGATGACAAGAAGCGAGAGGGCATATACTTCATCTTCTCTGATCTGTCCATCCGAGTGGAAGGTACGCTTGTCCTATGTATCGAGTTGTGCTGACAACTGAAACCCATAGGTATCTTTCGTCTTCGAATACGGCTTTTCCCTATCGTGCTGCCTATGTCGCTCACCACTGGCAGGTACGTGGTAGTTTCTTGGAACACATTCCCAGACTTTTCTGACGCATGGTGTAGCGGCGGCAGAGGCCGTATTGGAGACAACGCCAAAATGCTAGCCCAAGCTTGGTCGGAGCCGTTTGAGGTCTTCTCCGCCAAGCGATTCCCCGGTGTACCCGGTGAGCTCCCCCCCTCCCCCCTACTCTGCGGAACCACCGGAAACTAATACCTGCTAGAAATTACGGCACTCTCACAAGCGCTTTCTGCGCAAGGGCAGAAGCTACCCACTGTCAATGATTCCATCGATGATTTTTTCTCGTACTGACGCGGTTTACGACAGAGGCGGAAGACGGAAGACCATGACGATGGTCGCTTCGACGATGATCGACTAACGAACGCATGGCCAGATGACTTTCACATCACGTCCTGACCTGACTCACAACTACAACACAGCTAATGGCGTAATATTGAAGGGTGTGACACTATACATTGCGATCAACTGTTGGGATGGACCGTTTTCGGTCGAGTTTGTGCTGGTTAGATACTACAGCAGCGACTGCACCTGGATAAGTTGTGTAAATCCGTTGCATCAGTTCGTCGCTAGCACCTCCAGCAGACAGTCCGAGGTTAACACTATCATCCTCGTCGTCTCTGGTCAAGAACTTTCCTAGAACCCTCAGCAGGTAAGGAAAAGGCTTCCATAGGTGCCACGCGGGTGAAACTTGGTGGAGAATGTGCAAAGAGTGGATAAGATCCTCGACTGACTGCATCTGCTGTTCTCCCTTGATGTCGTGACCGGGAAAAGGCACGCGGCGTTCGGTCGTCTTGACGACAATTCTTCGTTCTTTGGCCCCAGAAGTGCGATGGTCCAGCCTTTCTAGTTCTTCAGGGTCTTTGGGCCCGTCGAAGATAAATGGTGAAGCTGGATGCATATTTCTTTCTCGCATTAGCCGCTCACTTTCGCCCTGATAACGCAAAATAACTTTTTCCAGTACTTCAAATGCATGTTCTGGTTCCCCTGCCCGCATCATGGCTACCGCAATATGGTTCCAGTTGTTGGCATCGAATGCGAAGCCTTCAGCACGGATGCTGGCCAATGTCTCGGCAATTTCGTTGTGCTTGCCGGCGGTTGAAAGCGCATCGATGTACACTGACAAGGCATACGATAACCAACTTGCATGGGAGCCACCCACTTCTTGGTCCTCAGTGTCTGGGCTATCCGGAAACACCGACTTGTGACTGACGAGTGAGAGACCAAGTTTGTGAACCTCTTCCCATACTTGGACAACTGCATCAATATCCCCAGCACGACTGTACGAGAGCAAAAGAATGGACAGCGTCGAGATGCTCGACGACCCGCCCTGTTCCAGAAACTCCGCATAAACTCGCTCAGTCTCACTACTTGAGGACTTGAGGGCGTGGGCCAAGAGCAGAGGCACGAAGAGATACTGCATTGTATCTGCCGGAACTCGAGGCTGCGAATATCTGGTTCGTGTCCCAGGATTCTCCAAAACCTGTTTCAGGAAGTCCTCGGCTATTCGTAAGCCGTCTGCGTTGTCGGCCGTGGCGTGTGATCGGATAATGGCGGCGAAAGTCTTGGTCGAAGGTTGGATGTCGTTTTCAATCATCTCATTGTAATGTGCTCTGGCCGCGTCGTGCTCGCCTCGTCGCAAGTGCCCAGCTACCAACATGGAAAGGGGGTACACATTAACAGGGCTTGATGGCTCCAGGTTGAGGAAAGACTGCATTTGTAAGAACAGGCTCTTGGCTTCAGACATTCGTCCCGAGTCAATGGCTGATTGAATCACCAGAGAGTATGTTGAAGCGTTCGGAGTTGCACCAAATTCGGTCATTCTAGAAAAGACACCGCGAACCGTATAGTGAGGAGCACCGATGACAACGTATGCCTTCAGAAGAATGTTGCAAAGACTGATTGATAATCGAAGGGTTCGATATGGCAAGTTCATTACGTAGTCAAAGACTCGAATAACACCAGGCCACGACGCGGCTTCTACATGGACATTCACCAGTTGCTCGAAAAGCTGGCGTGACGGACGAATGCCATGTTTTAAGGCGTGTTTGAAGGCCTTTTCCGCGTTGACCGGATCTCGCAGCCTCCCATACATGCCGATCACATGGACGTAGGTTACATGGTCCCGACGTGTCCTTGCTTTGCTCATCTGCGCCAGTACAGACCTTACTGAGTCCACGTCCCCTCGAAGTGCGAATTCGTGTAAGATGATGTTGTAAATATAAACGTTTGGTTGGATGCCCTGTCCTGCCATTGTTGCGAGCCATCGGTTCGTGGATTCTAAATCGCCTTGACGGGAATACGCCATTATTATCGATGCGTAGTGGAAGATATTTGGCTTCACAGGCTTCTGACTAGCCTTTGAGTTGTCGGAGGGAAACAGGCGTGCAAAAACATTGAGAAGATCATCGAGCCGACCCGCAACTGCGTATGCGTGCAAGAGAAGTGTCATCTCGCGTTCATCGGGCGTCTGTATCGATCGAGGTGGGTCATTTGGAGGCCTTGGCTTTCGATGATGGTCCTCGCGATAGATATCTTCCAGTCGACGAAAGTACAGTTCAGCAGCTTCTACGTCACCCTTATGAGCTGCCAGACCAAGACCAGCTCTTGCAACAGAGACAATCTTATCCATGTAACGCCCATGTGTTTGATTCACGACCTCGACCAAACGTTGGAAGACGTCTTCTGCCTCCGCATATGCTTCTCGCTTGGCGAGTAATCTCGTGAGGTAAGACAGGAGTTTCCACGGTATGGGGAGTTCTTTTCTGCGCTGATAGAGGTACACGGCGTATGCGAGTTCCGGCTCGCGCTGTCTGATCTGAAGAGCAAGGAAGAGACGAGCCGCGCGTCTCAGCCTTTGTTGGTCCCATATTCGTTCCTTATCTTCCAGAAATTCGAGCGGTCGTTTGATTGTGGCCACAGCTTGCTCGACCGTTTCCAGTACGCGATAAGCTTGAAAACCCCATCTACGCACCCTACGCGCAGATTCGTCAGTCCAATATAATAAGGGGGTCTCTACGGTGGCGAAGTTGTCAAGTGCCAGATCCAGCACACGCATTGGGCCGTCATATTGAAGGGCGTCTTTTAGAATCAACCGAATGAGATTAACCAGTCGAAGATCGAGAGTTCTGGCGTCCAACGGTTCGGCATTGGGGGTAAGCAATTCTCGCAGGCTCGATTGCACGGACTGCCAGTCGTCTAACAAGTCAAACTGGTAGACTCGCAGACTCTGGAAAAGGAGTTGAGTAGACCCCGGTTGCGTGAGTTCGGGTGAAGCTCCAGCTCTCTCCTCAATGTGATCAAGAAGTTGCTTGAGGCGTGATCCACGAAGATTTCGCGCGTCGACGGTATCTTCTTTGGGGCGGTTCCCAAGGAGACATTGCGCTAAGGCGAATTCGTGTTGGATTGATATGGCGTCTTTCCACGGACTTCGGATTGCACGGTCCCAAACCAGCCAAAGAGAGGCAGAGTCTTTTGCCAACCTTGGATATTTGTGCTCGACCATGTCTGCCCGTTGTCCCGGCCGTGGACCATTCACTTGGGCATGAGCGCGAGATCGCACATCTTTGTTAGCCGCTTCTCTCATCTCATCTAGCCATACTCGAAGTTCCTCAGGAGCGTTGGACGGCAACTGGGATGGGGCGACCAGGTGCGGTCGAATGATCTCGTAGAAGTCTGGAATAACATCCGGAGCACTGATATCTGGTGCTTCGGGGGACGTGAGTTTCAAAGAGGTTTCGTTGAGTGTGTCGCTAAGATCATCTGATATGTCCAGGTGATCCGTTTCATCTGTCCTTGGCGGATTCGACGTCGGAGGGTCGAGTGGTGAATGCACCCCAATGCCATCGGGAGGGTCCGCCTGAGAAACAGATTTTTCTTCCTGCCCGTCTTGGACGAAAATTTCGTCGGGCTTGAATACATTGTCCTGATTTTCTGGGACGAGAATCTCGGACGCACTGCGCTCGTCCCCAACAGGCCTTTCGTTGTTGTGGTCTTCTGAGTCGTTGGCTGCTGCTAGGTGTCGAGCGTCGGAGGTGAAACGAGCAAGGTGTGAAGGACGAAGTTGAAGGAGAGCACGTGGCGAGCGTCGAGATCGGACTCGAACCTCGGGAAGGGGAGGATGAAGAACGTGACCGAGGTGTGGGCATGGTTGAGAGGTGCCGTCGCTGACTCGGTCGTGTTTCACTTCTTTGACTGTTGTCACATAAAGAGAATGCCTTAACACTCGAGTGATAGAACGTCGGATTTTCCGGTTTGGAATGAGTGCGAGCATGGCGGCATTGTGGGTGAAGAACAGGCTGTTCCGTGACGAAGTTGTGGAGAGACGACAGGCAGGAGAGGGCGGCTCTTCGTGCTCGGGAAGGGTATGGTATACGTGGGTCGAGAACTGTTTCCATAGATCTCGTCGAGGTAAGGTAGCAGGTTGCTCGCATAGCAAAACAGCTAGCTCCTTCAGCTGCAGAAAAGCGGCGCGCATTTACCATGGACGCAGAGGTCGATGTTTCTCAAACGGAGAAGTTCTGCAATGATATTCCTTGGGCAATGATTAGCACACAGCCTTATGGCCAGAACCACACTAGGCGCACCTTCAACCGTTGAGTGCTTGGTGTCCCACAGTCTCCCGGGGCGTGTGTAGTGGTCGTTGCAAATAAATCGGACGTTGTGAAAACACCAGAGTAATCTGCTCAAAGAGGTCGCCACTTGAAGACTTGAAGTCAGGGACCCTGTCAGCCCGCTTCATACCTAATGTTAATTGTCGGTGTTCGTGCGGAGCACCTGAAGTACTCTGTACCACCAATAACATTCACCCTTGAAATTCTACTTTCATTTGATATTTCCAATATTGATGGCGCTACAGATTTCGGTAGCTATGCAGTCGTCACAATCAGGCACAAACAGAAAAAATGGTCAAGGAATACAACAAATTGATATGTCACCGAAAAGAAAAGCAAAGGCCAATGAACCAACCAAAAAATGTATGAGACTCGAGTCAGTAACCGAACAACTCAAGCCTTTATCGGAGATGAACGAGGCTTGGCTGACTCGGCTGCAATGGGCTGGTTTCCGCCCTGAGAGTGTACCACCTGTGCGGTTGTGCGGACTGTGGCAGACAGTCGTGCGGTCCTCCTCTGCATCCACTCACGTGCCTCCTGCAAGGTGGGGAAGGGCGGCATTTCGACACCGTCAGGAAGTTCCTTTGTCATTTCTTCGTAGACACCCCGTGTCTCATCCCATACTGCCTTATTCTCCGCCGCCTTGTCAAGATATATCTATACACAATGGTTAACTCTGATTTTAGACGTGGATGTTTGCTAAACCGCACCTGTTTCTCCGCCGGAGTCATGGCCCGCCAACTAGCAGCAGCCAATTTGGCACGCGCCTTCGCCTCTGTTTCAGAGCCAAAAATCCTCTGAGTGAGTTCCGGAGTGTCTTTGATTTCCTTTGAGTACAGGAAGAAGGCGCTCAGAGGTTTCGGGGGGATGTTGGGATTCTTCATGTTAGTCTTGGAGAATTTCTTCCCATTGTAACCGTGCCGCCTGGAGTGAGCACGGAACTGATTCTCCGCTTTGATGAGTTCTGGCCGCAGTGTTCTTTCCCACGCAGCAAGGGCTTTATCATACTTTCTCTTCTCCTCCTTAGCCCTTTCCTCCCACGCCTAGTGGTGGTCAGACAAATCCTGGATGGATGGGGCGCAATCTCACCTCTTTTTCGTCTTCCGGAATATCGTGATACATGTCAGAAGCTAGCTTCGCTTCGTGATGCACCGACATCCGATCGGCATCCTCACCATCGTATTTTCTCGGCACGCCCATATGCTGCTTGACCCAGTGCTGGAAAAAGAGCTGCCAGGCAGAAGCTGGCCGTTTTGGAGCTTTGATTTCTGGCCGCCGTGGTGCTTAAAAAGGTCAGCACTTGGCTCAGGTTGGAAAGAGGAGGGGGACCTACCTGCATCTTCGTTGACCTTCTTGCCCTTCTCGGGTTCCGGTTTCTCCTCTTTTTTCTTCCTCCCGCGAGGCTTTTTCCCAGCGACAACTTCCGACTTGATGGCGCCCGCCTTCGCACTTGTAGTGTAGGATTTGCGATTCCTGGGCTGTTGGCTTGGCCAAGGGCTAGTTGGTCTCGATATAGGTGATACGGTTGCACCAACCGTACAAGCGGAGTGGTGGGACGCAGCCGAAAGACCAATTTCGGCACGAGGTGGAGAAGATAGGTCGAAATCTGGCAGGAAATTGGCTGGCGCTAGCCCTTCTTGTACCGGAGCAGCGGGTATTTTGAACTCGTAGGGAAGGGAAGATGGGGCGGTCGTGGGTCGAGGGGGACATGGGTCGACCGGCGAGGGTAGCAAGGAATGCGGCGCGTTGGTCGCAAGGGGAGGGGACTGTGAAAGGGCCGCGCCTGCTGTGAATGGCCGCCGAGGAAGCGCGGGCAGCTGTGAGACGACAGGGTAAGAGGAGATGAATCCAACATCATTTCGCGGGTTGTTCACCATGAATGAAACATGATGCGAGTATTGAACAGATTCGGGATCATGGGCTTGAAAGATCGGGGAAGATGCGTGATGTTGAGCCGGTTGAGCAGTAGGTGGGATGCGGAAGAAAGTCGGGTCAGGTTGGAGCGGCGAGACTGGCGCTTGCCGGTACTCGCAGATGGTCATCGGCACATCGATGCGGGTATGAACCTCCTGCTGTGCCGGCTGAGGAGGATAGGTATCTTCTTGAACGATCGGATACTCCGGGAGGGCAGCAGCGAAAGTTGCAGCAGAGACGGGTGGCACGCTTGGGAGATTGAAAGAGTGTTCATCTCCGTTAGGCGAAAAGGGGGAGAGATCTTCGATGTTGAGTGTGAACAACGCATCAGTCGCCAGTTCCTTCAATCTTTGTCGTGACTCATCGGGGAAAGGTACAACGCGCGGGCCTAGCTTTTCCTGTTTTTGCTTGTCATACGCAACGAATGCAGCGTGAAATTGTATGTATGGCTCTTTATCCGCATCGTCGAGATCACTGAAAGAAGGAGGGGTGCTCGACGCCCTCACCGAGCTGTGCGAGGAGGCGGGCGACATACAAACATCCGCTGGTGCCGCGGTATCGTTTGGAGCAAAGACTTGCGAAGGCCACGGCCTGGATACTATTGGGGAGACCATTGGAGAGAGCGTAGGAGGCAGAGCGTTCATTCCAATTGCAAAGGTTGGAAATGGGTATTGGGGAGAGTGGATTTCAGCGTGACCATGGACAAAGGGCAAATGGGAACTTGCGGCGAGCGTCTGTTGTTGATTAGGGTAGGTTCCGGCTGATATCGTTGCGCGAGGCCCGTCAATAGGGGCTAAATCTATCGATGGCTGCTGGTACTGAGGAATCCATGTGTGCCGGGAAACGTGGATCGAATCAAACTGGGTGGAACAAGGATGAAGTGCCGCTTTAGGGCCGAAAGTTGACGCCATGGCGGTACGCGGGAATTCTGGCAGACGAATGCGACGACAGCGGGAAGGCCACGGGCGCAGAAGCTCAGGAATGTGGCGAGGTAATGTTCGCGTCGACACCGAAGCTGGATCCGAGCTGCTGGAGCAAACAAGAGGTGCTGGCGACGATAAAAGACAGAATACAGTAGCAAGTGTGAGAGAGAATTGCCTGAGGAGGGGAGAAAGGGAAAGAGAGATCTGGGTAGATCGGGACGTGGATGGGAATAAGTATCCTCCCATGAGCGACGTCCAAGGAGAAAGAAAGGCCTGGGAACCAAGGTCAGACAGAGTTGACAGGGTCGCCGACCAGAGGAATAAGCCAACGCGCTGTAGGTTTGCAGTAATTGGCTTCTTTCTTTCTTCCTCAGCGCCTGACACGAAAGCACCAGCACAACCCCGACTTCTCAACAAGAAACTTGTTCCCGCGCCCTTTCTCGCTCTTTACATATGCGCGGACCCTATTCTCGCTCAGCGCTGTTTTGCTCTTTTACGACATCGCCTGACCACCACCACACACAACACCTTTTGAGAGGGGTTCACCACCACAGTCTCTTAATTCTCCGTGTCTATAATATGTCTGTCGCTGCCTCTGTGTCATATCGGCGCCCCATCGGGGTACACTTCCAATATCCGGCCATCAAAAACAATTACTCGGCCCCGCATTTCCCACTCCTGGCTCCTCCATACGTAATGTGTCCACGATTGATCCGGCGCCCACGGATTACATTTATTCTCCGAGCCCGGCCGTCACCGTCAGGGCTTGCCTTTTTAGCCTCCCACCCCGATCGTGAGAGGCACTCGATGACACCAATCGCCCCAGCGCTCATGCTTCTCTGTCAGCTACGCAAGTACATTCCCCGGTTCTCGCTTTTCCCCCTGGTACATCGCTCGAGACCGTCTCATCCTAGGCTGAGAATTTATCACACATTTGTGGTTTGTGGCGACTCACGCCCCTCGTTGTTCCTCCACTCCCCACACATTGACACACTAGTTTTGGCCACTTCACCTGCGCAAAACTCAATCCGGTCAATTTCACAATCGTGCGCCCGCTCGAAGAAGGTTCGGAACTATTCCCTCCCTCCACCGGGCGGCGTTCCACCTCCGGCACGATCCGTCCGATAGGTGCTTGGTCATATCATCAATATCCCATTCATTGTATGGAAAGAAAGGCACGGGTCGGCTACCCCGTCCTTAAATTTGAATGCTCGGCGGTATGTACTTGTCCGAATGATACACCTTGCCGCCAGGCTGCGGAACGTGGCCTTGAGAATCACCTTTACACCACACAGCGTAATCAGGACTCACCTGCCAACCCTTTACATTCTTCATCAGCTCCTTTTCCCTTTCCAACGCAACATATTCACGTCGAACCAGGTTTCGGTCGGCCTCAGCCATGAGAATGGGGACGAGGTGGATACGCGCCCATTGCTTTTCCCGAAGCAGCTCTCTGGAGAAAGACCCTTGATCAGCAAGGTTCTAGAGGAAAGGAGGATGATATCAGGGAAAAGCAATGATGATCGATAATGGGGCCCAGATGCTGATTGAGTCCGGTTGTCATCGGCAAACGTGTGCCGCCAGTAAGGCCATCCGTTCCGGGCTGGCAATCCCCGGCCACGCCCATTAATTTCACAGTGTGCGCTGACACAGAAGGCCAAAGTCCAACCGGTGGAAGGATTCCATCGATCGGGCGCCGAAAATCCATGCGAGGAGTCGGACGATGGGAACAGCACGTATGCGCGCGTGGGCATGGGGACTTACCGCTTCTCTCTGTTGCCCATCCCGACCCGGTACAATCCATAGGCCGAGACAAGGAAGAAGGCGCCAAAGATCACAGCACCACTGGGTCCCTTGTATGGCAGGTAACGCTTGTATCGAATTGCCTCGAACCCACCCGTAGGGGGCATGTCCCTACACAAAGAAAGGATCATCAGTCTTTGCACTCTGTGCACTCCTGCTGCATACGTACTGTCTGTAGGGGACGGACATCTTGAGAGACCGTCAAATGACCTGAACAACGTTCAATTATATATATGAATCATGAGAGGAGTTACACACCGATTGTCAAATCTGACAGTTAACTCGACAATAGCAGGTGGACAGAGGTAATGCGACAGAGTGGCGGTAGCAAGGGTTCTGTGCTCTGTCGGCGGTGTCGGTGATCCCGGCGCCGCCCGGCATCGTCGTCTTTGCTTCCGAAACATGCAAGAAGCGCTTTTGAGAGTCACAGAAGCGGTGGCTGCCTAGGTGTTGACAGTCGCCCGGTCCTGTCCCCACGTGGTCCTAGACTCCACCTTGCTGAGCACCGCCGTGCTCACTTGAAATAAAGGTGTACGGAGAGCGTGTTGGTTTGTAAGGAGCAGTCCCTACCGCCAGGAGCAGAAATCATGGCTTTGATTATACGATCAATATCGAGTGAGGCTGGAATCGTAGCATTACGTTTGTGATTGGGAAACACTAATTTCTAAAGACACCGGTCTCCGCGTAGTTTCTCAGCTTAGACCATTCAGAAGTAAATTATAGAAAGCCGGACTTCCCCTAGCCCCATGGTTGCAGGGACTATGTTCACCCTACCATTGAAGTTCCATGTGTCACAGTCGGCGTGGAACACATTGCACAACAGCAAATCATACATACCGACTACAACAGTTGAAGTATACAGAAGAGGATGGCTCTCGTAATTGAGCACACTTTTAAAAGGCAGAACAAGCATACAAGCACAGTTCCTCCTGGAATGAAAAAAATTGCCAAGCAATGGGGCTGGGGCAGTCGGCGCCGTTTTTGGAGAAAGAGATGCAGCAAGTACAAGGCAACGGTGAGCGGCCTTATGCCCACTCAGGCGCACCCACAGGACCGGAAGAACTTGTAGTTTCGCCTTCGGCGGCACCGACAGAGCCCGGAGTACTGGAACGAAGCGTAGCCAGATGAGTAGCCTCTGTTCTTGCGGCGGTAGACGATGGAGCAAAGGAATGACTCCTGTGCCCATTAAGAATGTGCTCGTTGCCTTCAAAAAGGCTGATGAGGGGCGAGGGGGAGCGAAGAAACGTGGTCGGAGAACCATCAATAATGGATCTTGGTGCTGTTACACCTGAACCGACTGTCAAATGCGTAGAGTTCTGAAAGGCGGCAATATCGGCAATGTTTTCTGGTGGTGGGATGCCACCGCGACGGAGTCGACCAGATATAAGGTGCCGCCGTACAGCAGACTCCAGCGTGGCATAGTCGTGTGAGCTCGGAGCTTGCCTGTATGGGCGTGGACGAATGAAAGGCTCGAGAGGATCATCGTTGTCAGACGGCCCATCGCGGTAAGCGTCTGTGGAGGAATCCACGCGATATGCATGCGATATAGGGGACGCAATAGCATTATCTTCCTCTATAAAGTCACCAGAGGCCGTGCGTGGTCGACCATCGTGAGCTCTGCGAGCCGCTCGCAGACGACCGGTGTATTCGTTAAAATCGACCATTCTCCCTCGAGGAGGTCTTCGAGAAGATTGTTGTCGCATAGGACCAGTGCTGGGTGGCGATGTTGGATTGGGAGTACTACCCCGTAAGCGGCCGAGTAACGTGGCATCCAGGCCGGTTGTGCTCGAGGTACCATCATTCAGTGGGGGGATGGAGGCGTTCCACGGAGGAGTTGTCGCCTGACGCCGCCTGGGTATGCTAGCATCTAGATCGACACCATCTTGGAGCATCAGTTCGTAGCGACCACCAAGACCACCGGTCGCCAGTGGAAAGTCCCCAAGAGATAGTTCGAGCATTTCTTCGTCATGCGCAATCTCTTCAGCGAGATCTGTCCATCCGGCGTTTGCCAGGTCTGGTATTCTCGCTACCCGCTCGGTATCGATAGGCGGTACAATTTCTGATCTCCGCGTGCTCGAGCGCCGAGACCCACTGACGTGATATCTGGAGCTCAAGAATTGCAACTTATTGAAGGTGCGGCCAGAGATGTGTGTGGACTCTGAATGTCGAGGATATTTACGCGTATCTGCAGTTTCCTGAAATGGAAGTCAAAGGGTATTCTAAGCGCAATGACATTTGAACGGACCATGACCATCAGCTCCACCAACTGCCTCACAAACGCATTGTTGGTGTCAAGATGTTCCACAAACGCATCGAAAGACATGGGTGGATCAAATTCATTCAGTTTGATGTCCTGCATCACAGAATGTCTGGATGGCGATAGAGATTGTTAAACTCGATGGGCAACTGAGCATTGGGATGGCACATACACCATCGACCGCATTTTGTCTGTCAAGACAGTTTCCACATGTAGCTGCGTCCTGCGTTTCGGAGCAATCAGTATACCGGATTTATGATAGCAAGATAATACGCGAACCATTTTCCCATTGTAAATACGGAATAAGAAAGACGTTCAAAGATGAAAGAAACGGTGTAATATCGTTATGGACAAAAGACGGAGCAGAAAAGGCCAACTGAAGAGTGGCGACAATAATATCGGCACCAGATTTACCTCCGAAACACTTTCTCCACAGACGCGTGTTGGCCGCAATCGCACCTCTTCTGGGTTATATATGTACGTGTCACACTTGATACTTTTGGCTGAAAAATCTCACACGATACAATGAAGTCTCATTCCATCCATGGGGAGTTTTTTTTTTTTTTTTTTGTCAGAAGACAGAATCCTGAAATGTGAGCCGGCGCCTATTGACTTACATTTCAACAATCAGCACAGCAATCTAGATTGGAGGTGATGCTTCTTTCAAAAGGAACGCCCGGAGGACAGCGGAGCTACATCTCTTGGGTATCCCGACCCAACAGTATGGTCTCAACTCTCCGTGTCAATCCTCGCCATCCCGTTCCTCCACCCGAGCGCTTGTTCTGGGTGATTCTCGTGGGCAGTTCATTGAAAATGCTGGCCACCCATTGGGTGTCCGTCAACCTCGTGCGGTCATCTGGGTTCGGCAGGCGCTGTACGAACCTCCAGTTGTGGAACAGAACCGATTCACTTGTGAGCTTACCGCACGTATGGTTTCATATGGAGCCTCCCATCCGGCCGTTTCTCGAATCAGCATGTTGGAGGAGAAATCATGAAAGAGCCGGGTATCGTGCTGCCGAAATAACACGTGATCGACTCGAAGCGAAAAGCGGCCAAGAAGAAAGAAGCATGTCGGCATTACACGCTAGACGTAAATTTGAGGTTATGTTATGAAACACCAATATCCGCGCTTACAACTCGAATGATGTACATGGAAGCTCCGTTGTCGTGTAGCTCGTCTTCGAACAGCTGCGTGGCTGCATAATACAGGATCGGGTCCGGCTTTGTCAAGGTGGCCATTGGTATTGACTGTGACGAATCTTCAGGATCAGCCGGTAGCCACTGTGTGACTTGTAAACTTTTGGTTGGTCGTATGAGCGGTTCCACGTACTTGGGGTGTGGATGTGGAAGCATGCCCAGCATACATTGTAGTGTACGTCCAGTCATACGGTTTCGCGACAGTCATCTCAGAAACAGGAGTGAGTGAATTGGGCACAGTCCTGTCTTGTGCCTCGTCAGAAGTTCAAACATTCGTCCTTCTGTCCGCTTACCTTGTGCTTGCCCAAGCCTCCGCATGTCCTACTTTCACTCCTCCATCGCCTGGTCCCAGTTCCTTATTGCACACCTGCTTCAGGGCTCCTTTGGTGTCAAATGTGTAGGTCCATCCAGACGCCTCGTGGCTCAGAACGACAGAATTATGGCCAAAGGTCATCTCTGGCAGTGTCAGATCGAGTTCTCTCTGCAAAGAATCAAGCTCGGAAGCATTGGAGATTGAAGTAGAAGTGGTCGTAATTTTCCATCCATGTATCGTAATGGACTTGTTCACTCCCGTTTCATCGACATGATGAGAGGGTATTTCAGGGGATGTTGTAGTCATGTTGGGTCTTTGATGGTCGCACGAGGATTGGAAGTGCTCGTTGGCTGGCTCGCTGCAACGCGTGTAAGGGTCGCATTTTCTACCTCCCAGCGACGCGTAGTACTAGTGATAGATCTCGACGACAATGAGCGTGCGATCTTCCTCTCCCGTGCAAGAATTATGGTCCTCTATTCTTAACTCAGTCTCAGCTACTCGCTCAATACCATCAAAAAACGTTTTGATACTTGGAGAGGAACACACGGGAAAGAGCACGCTCGTTCGCGCCCTCCTACGCAAGACCGAGGATGATGACCAGAGCGGTGACTTTGCCCTCGGGTATGGTTGGGCAGACGTGAAGGATGATGCTGATGAAGGTGATCATACGCTTAGTACTTCTTTGTTGTGACCTCATTGAAAGGCGTAGACACTCTGGCCAGATTGTCGGTCTACAGCGTCCCATCATCTGCACCTTCGCATCTTGCCCTAGTGGACCACTTCCTCCCACCACGAACTAGCTTACCTCACACTCTTGTCATGATCGTGCTTGATTGGACACAACCATGGACATTTGTACTGCAGTTGGAGAAATGGATGAAATGGGTAGAGCGTTGGGCAGAAGGAGACAAGGGTCGGGACCTTGATGTGTTACGAGATGAGGGGAAAGAGCGACGTGCGTGACTTCTATCCTGCTACCATTCCCCGCCTCATTTCTTCTCAGTACGTCTGCATATACAGCATTACAGCGAGCCTGGGTCAGCCGACGCGTCAAATCCGGCCTCCCTATCAAGCACTCTGTTACCGCTAGGAGACGGAACGCTCACTAACAACGTTGCTGGCTTACCCATCATGGTTGTCTGTACTAAGGCGGACTTGATGGATGACAGTCTTTCCGGGACAGCCGGCCCAAGCCAATCTTTGGGAATAGTAGGTGGTTTGACCAAGAACAGCATGTGGGAAGACCGTCAAGACGCTATCATCCAAGTGTTGCGAACAATATGTCTGCGATGTAAGACATTCCTCTCCCATGGCATTTCATTCTGACGCCCTTCCACAGATGGAGCAGCATTATTCTATACAACTCATGCTCCGCAGACACTAGCCACATTGCGAGCTTACGCCCTGCATCTTCTCTTCCTACCAACACCAGTTGCACCAAACGAGCCCTTACCTCGAAACCCATTCCTGTTCGCACAACGGGCAAACGCCTTGGATCGGGATCGCATTCTCATACCGGTTGGATGGGACAGCTGGGGAAAGATCAAGATATTACGAGAGGACTTTGACGTGCGAAGGTGGGGCGAGGGGTGGGAGACAGACTTGGATTCCCCGGAGGGAAGGCCTAGTGGTGGCGCTCAGGACTGGTTCAGAGAGATCATCGGCCCGCATCAAGACATTCAGGCCAAAGCACCACCCCCTCTTATCATTCCCAAACCAGAACAAACATTCCTCGCTGCCCACTACGAAGCACTCCAAAAGGATCGGGATCCCCGCGCCACATTCCGGCAGCCTATTGCTGTCAGTGGACAGGCCGGAGCGGTCGAGACCGGTGTTGTCGGGCCCATGGGAAGCAGCAGCTTCAATCTACCCAGTGTGGAGAAGGCAATGCAGGAGATGGAGACGGAGGAGCCGCAACCAGGCAAGGAGATATCGCCCCGGTCAGCGCCACCCCCCGTCGCACCGGCACCTCGATCAGCACGTCTTCCTGTCGGTCCAACAGAGGCTATTGGAAGGACGCCTGGCTCACCCGGGGGTAGCTCACAACACGAAGTGTTGCAAAATTTCTTCCAGAGTCTTCTTGTTCCCAATCGGACAAGTAGTGCTGCACGTTCCGGGAGCGCTATATCGAAATCACCTGCACAAGGCACCTCTCCATCGCCTCCTGCGGAAAATGTGAATGGTGTTCCGGAGAAGTAGGCATACGAGCATGATTCTCTCTTTTACGGATATACTTGGCTATTCTTTCATGCCCGTTGTTTAGGATATGTGTTTCGATTTCTAAGTAATGGTTTTGTTATCTATGAAATGCAGAGTACTCCACTCGGAAAAGTTCGGACTGGCTAGTGGCAGTGCTAAAATCCCCAGAACCCTTGGTACCTCCTCTGGACTTCACGGCTCGCACCATCCGACTCACTATTCTTCACAATGGACGTTTCTGACTTGCTTCGGGCGGGCGCCTCTAAACAGTAGGTCACACGCCATCATATCTTTGTAAAATACGTCTAATAGAAAGGGCAGAAAATCGATTCAAGTTGAGAAGGGCATTCCCCTTGACATCGACATTGCCTATCTAACGGCAACCGATCCCAACCCAATGGATGAGGAGGAGTACAAGTGCGCTCTTTTTCTCAATCCATGCTCTATCTCTCAAATAAATCCCAGAAATGAACGGGAAGAATATTTACATTCAATGGCTCGGGAGAACGCGCAACTGCTCATCAACCACCTTTTCTCGTTACCCGTCACATCCTCACCGGACGGTCCCATTGCCCAGCTTCCTCCTCCCACCACTAGCTTACCTCGCGCAAAGCCCTTACCTAAACCTAAGCCGCCAACAAGATGGGAGAAATTCGCTGCTGCAAAGGGCATCCAGAAAAAGAGGAGGGAGAACAAGGTGTGGGACGAGGAGAAGCAAGTGTTCAGGGATCGTTGGGGCCGGGGAGGCAAGAACAAGGAGCTGGAAGAGCAATGGCTAGTCGAGGTACCCCAGAACGCACGTGAGTATCAATTCGAATTGTCATTTAGTATGTTGAATTTTTCTGACGCGCCTGTGCAGCGATGGACTATGACCCGGTTAAGGAGGCGCGTGATGCGAAGACGAAGCGCATTGCGAAGAATGAGGGTCAGCGGTTGAAGAATATTCAACGGGCCGCACGCGCCAAAAGCTCCACTTCCCAGCTTAACCCGGGACAGGAGAGAGAAAAGCTCAAAGTGCAGCTTGACAGGGATCTCGCTCAGACTCGTGTCAGCACTGCCAGCATGGGCAAGTTTGACAAGAAGTTCGAAGGCGAAGCGAAGCTGCGTGGTGTGAAACGCCAATTCGACCCGAATGAGAAGTCTGTTGAAGCTGAGAAAGCGACTTCCCTTGCAATTATGTCTAAGCTGGACACCGGCAGACCGTCGAAGAGGTCTAAAGGAGACAATGATGACGTGCTGAATGTGCGAAAGGCAATTCGTCACGAAAGTCGGAAGGGCGGGCAACCTCGCAGGGATAGCCAGGGACGAGTGAAGAGGAAGTAGTTAACCCGCCCAATTCCGTTCGCGTTATTTCTCTATGTCGTACGACCGCGCATTGTTCTACAATTAATCACACTGCATATATGCACATGAGGCTGGGTAGAACCCCAGCGGACGTAGAAATGACAGCCATACAATACTAAGCATCCTACAGGGTTAAGGTCATGAGATAGAAAGTGTTCATACATGTGCAGCTGACTCATTTCGACGTCTCTATGGGCAGCCTGTCCCATTTGGCCTTCCCATCATCCAGCCACTCCTTGGGGACCAGCTTCTCCTTCGCGGCAACGAATCCCTTGTAGACAAGCTTGATTGTGCTCTCGCTGACATTAACAACTCTGCTGATGTCACGGGCATGTTTAGCTTGTCCAAGTAGATGTGTCGTGAAGTAAATAGCGCCACCAGCAATGGAGATCGGGCTACGTCCAGCATTGACGCCCTGCTCGCGTGCATTGACGATGATCTGGACGCATGATCGTTCGAGGCTGACAGGAAGGCCAAGATGGTTGCAAAATCGTGGAATAAGCTCTTCAGCACTAGCTTTGGAGCCGCTTCCTGCCAAATGTATATCGACGCGATTCGTGCTCGAAGTCGCGCCGCCACTAACATTCAGGCGGAAGTATGCCTCCATGGCTTTGTAACACTGTCCAAGAGCCTTCTTGTTCACCTTTGTGATGTTGCAGATCTCTCGGAAGGTACGCGGCACATGTCCTTGGCGACACGCAATGAAGATGCAAGCAGCGACAATTGCATCCATCCTCTTGCCTTTCAAGATCCGATCCTCCTCCACGCGTTTGTACAATTGCTTCGCAGTGTCTGAGATGACCTTGGGCAGGGAGATGGAGTCGCAGAATTGGGAAATCTTCTTGAAGCCCTCCATCATCGTCTTGCCGTCCTTGAACGCCTGGGTCTTTGCAGACGCGCGCTGCAGCTCTCGGGCAAGGCCGGAACCACCGTCCTGGAAGCTGATAACAGTGTCGAGCTGTTCCATGCCGTCCATGAGAGGGTCAGACGCGGCACCAACACGAGAAGGGTCATCCCCCTCCTCGTTCGCAAATGTCTGCATTAAAGCGATGAAAAATCTGCTCTTACCAATATTGCCACATGTAGACTTACCCTCCCTGGAAGCGCTGTTAGTAGGGTTGTCAAAGGGGGGTGGATGGCGCAACTCACATTCGCTCCTTGTATCAATAATCCGGTCGCCTAACACCATCCCACAAGATCCGCACACCAAGTCACCCGAAGAGTATTGCTCGACGATGTTGGGGACAGGATCCTTGCATTCGGGGCAGATGAGGCGAACATTCAGGTCCGGAATGAAGTCCTGCGACTTTGCCACGGGACTTGTGGACATGACTGGATAGGGGGCGACGATAGCCGTCATCCTCGCAGTCGTTATGTATTGATCGTAGAAGGAGCGAATGGGGACAGTCAATGCGGCAAGAATCCTACAGATACAAGCAAATGGAAGAGTGAGTGATACTGATCTCAAGCAAAAAGATTCTGCCAGGCAGCCGTCGCTATGGCAAAGACCTCCCTAGGCCATTCCGCCTCCAATAATGCTCCAAGCAAACTGATAATTACCTTCTAGTACCTTAGGAGGCCTGGGTGAACCTCCCTATTCGTCTATAGCTGCCTTGAGCTGATTTTTTTGTGCTAGAGCCTGGAAGGAACGACGTGGGTAGTGTCAAAAGGGTATGAGAAGGTGGTGGTCGATGACGACCCCTGCGCTGGTCGTCTTCCTCAGGCGGGCGCCTGAATTTCCCCCCCGCTAAAGCCTTTCACACTCCGACATTTGCTTCCGTCAACCTTTACGCTGAGTCAGCCACTTCTCCCAATGGTCGCGACAAAAGAATCTCATTTGTGCAAAGTACGAATTTTGGACAAACATCAATCATGGTACAGATTCGACACCGACAACAGAATGGGTTAGACGGCGTGATGGAACGGAAGATAGGATAGGGTAGGGTAGCGAAAAGAAGTACAGCTTGAGTTGCAGAAGGACAATTGTCATGGGACACACAAGTATTGCAGGATTTTCATCGGACACCAAGACATGCATATGGTGGACCGCAAAAAAGTGGTGAGAATGTAGCTGAAACGAAACTGGAAAGCCTCGATCAATAGTACACAGCTGGACCTCGGCCATCCGCAGGCGGCACGTAGCCTTCAGGAACAGCACCCTCATACCCGTAAGTGGTGTAAGCATACTCACCTGGCGGGTAGGCATACATCTGTTCTGGCGGATAGTATGTTGCATATTGCGTTAAAGTCAGATCTCGGCCAACTATTGCGGGATCATCCGGTAACGCAGATGGTCCGGTGAGAGGTACCGGTGAGACGTCATACGACCCGGTGAAGTATCCAGCCCTGGGAACGAAAGAACTCGGCTGAGGGGTGACCAAGGAGCGGTTTGGCTGGAACGGTGCAGCATGCACAGCAGCACGAAGGAGAGAGGACGATGGAGGACCAGCGGACGATGCTGGCTTGGCGGTTGATGGAGGTTCCGTCGGAGAGCGGATAGATATAGGACCAGAGGACCGACGTTGTGCGAAATATGGCATCCCCGACTGGTCTGGATACAAGTAGGCATCCGGAAGAGCAGGTTGTACAGCATCGGAGAAGGGGGAAGGCGTGAATGTTTCCGGTGAGGGATTCTGCATTGGTCGTAGATGCGGAACAAATCCAGGAAGGGGTGCCGTTGGTCGCGGATGGTAGATAGGGGAAGGTGTAGGTTGTTGAAGGATCACAACGCGACCAGTGGCGACCTCAAAGCATACACCATTCTCGTCCATTGCAATACCGGGCGGTAAAGCCACGCCATAGCTGTATTGCGGATACGGCTGAGGCGAAATTTGCAGGTGCGGAGGTGGCAGTGTTTGATGTTGGGTAGGCGTAGGACGTATGTCGAGTGACTTGTCATTTGTCAAAGCAGTCGGATCAAAGCCATTGATCGCTTTGAACTGTGGTTGAGGGGCAACCTGTTGTTGCTGGACGGCAATGTTCTGGAATTGCTTCTCCAACTTGGTTACCGTATCGATCTCAGGCACAGGTACAGGTTCTGTCGTTGCACTGGGAACAGGAACAGCCGTAGTCTCCAGCACAAGATTACCGGACGGCGGAGTGCTGAGTGGCCCACTGCCTACCGTCTGAGCAAAGTCACCGTTATCGACCACGGAAATGGTGCCGGACAATGATCGTGGATTCGGAACGCTTGGTAGCTTGACTTTAGGTCCTTTCATCGCACTACTTGCACTTGCTGGTGACCTGGTCCTGTCCGGTTCGGAGATGGTTGCTGGTAGACGTACGACGACACCTTCATTGGGACTCCCCGGAAATTTTAGTCGAATACCTGCACCTTGGTTGTCCTTTGGCTGCAGGGTAGGATCTGTGTAAAGGTGAACAGCAAGATCCTTGGTCCAAGGCTTTTCCGCACGGGTGTTCTTGAACGAAGAGGGGGCATTTGTCGTGCTTACGACTGCAGCGCGCGGCGCACCATGGACGGCGTGGCCACCGCGAGCCGGTGGTGCACCGCGCACGGCGCCTCGACCACGGAATCCGCCCCGACCACGACCACGGGCTGCACGCTCTGCGTCTGTGCGCTTCAGTTCTTCATACCCATCATGTCCCCAGGGTAGATCACTGGGGTGGGCAGGCGGTGGCGGGGGAGGAACTGGAGCCGGTACAGGGACTGCTAATGACGCTTCAAGAGCGGAGGGCACAGCTTCGGTATCGGGCACTGGGCCCGTTGCTGGTGCGTGGACAGGTGTATGAGAAGCCTCCGCCTCCCCACGGCCGCCGTAATAGGCAGCCCCTGCTCTTCCTCGACCCCGACCTCTAGATCCGCCCTCAGATCCCCCTCTACCCATTCCGCCTCGGGCGCGGAAAGCCATCTGTCGGTCACGCCACCATGGACTCATGCTGCGCAGTCCCTTGTCTAACAGACGATCGTCATGGCCCCAGAACGCGCCCACGCGTGGAATGAATTGGGGGTCGTTCTCGAGTCTTTGAAGGTAAGCTTGGCGCGCGGATGGACCGGTTTTGGACGACGTCTTGCCAGAACTGGTCGACGCGGAGGCTTTGACTGATACCGATTCGACTTCATTCGGAACAGGAGCTGTCGTGACAGGGGCGGCACTTGCGCTCGGGGTGACGGATCCCATCTCGGCGAAGTCGATGATAGGCAGCGACGCATCGGCACCTCCATCAAGCTCCGAAGTGACCATATCCGACCATTTCGTCGCCGTGGGGATGGTGGACTCGGATGGAGCAACCTCGACAGTCGTGCTGATCGTGGCTTTCCCATTCACCGACGGCACCAAGGTTGGGGGTTCTTCGACATCGTCCACATCACTCTCTTCTTCGCTGTCCACCAACTCTTCCCGCTCACTTTCACTTTCACTCCCAGCGTCTCGCACAATCTCATCCTCGCTGTCCTCCTCCTCTCCCCTTCTGCGCCTGCGGGCGTGTCGGACGGAACGAGCCTTCCTTGTCCGCTGCGCAAGAGTAGCAGAGGATGCATCAGGTTGAGTTTGTTGCAGATCTGGCACTGAAGCCGTCTGCTGAGCGAGCTTGGGCATGACGTCTACAGGCGATGCAGATGTAGTAGCCATAATCATGGTTTTGCAAAAGCTCTATTTCTGCAATGTGATCATCAGCCAGCAGAGAAAGCCAGGTCAAGACTACGATTGACGTACTTATGAATTATTTCCGTAGACTTGATAAATACTACGGTAATGCAGAGTCGTTAGTGTTTATAGAGATGATGGACGGGAGAAAGCAGCGCACACGAGTCACTGGAGAGGGGCGGGTATACCGTGTGCGCCGGTGGCCCTGCCAACAAGCGAGGAGCGAAGGTTTGCACCGCGTCGAAAAGTTCTGGCACACCGAAGTTGCTTCCGTGCTTCCACTATTCTTTGTTCTGGCCGATCTTCTCGCCCTTCATTACGACCCGAAGAGTTCAATCGGAGAAAGTGCAAGCGTAGTACTAATGACTCATTTCCTCACTCGTATTCCTTTTTTTTTGCTCGGGGCAGACCAGCGATGACAACGGTATTCGGCGAGAACGCCTCTCTTGCATCCTCCGAAGAATATTTTTCACCAGCGGTACTGGCCAGACTTGGCGGTCAAGATCCGCCATTCAATACTGTCACCGCTCCTCTGGGTATTCAAGATGGTAGTGCGCAGTCGCGAACAGGACCGATCTGTGGGATCACCTTTCCGCGATCATGGTGATACCACCTTTCAGAAGTCGCACCTAGAGCTGTGCTAACTGAATAAACCTTTGTCATCAGCATGTCGTGGTACGAAACAGAACGAAAGCCTTGAATGAGCCTCAGGTGTTCGTTTTAGACCAAACTTATTGAGCCCAGAGAATTTCATTCACAGGCATCTTTACAACAATTTATCCCAGCACCGCTTTCTGTTCTCCTCTCTCTCCCAAGTAAAACTTCTTCCTCATAGCTTGCCTTTCTGCTCCAGGACTTTATCTATCCACGCCATCAAGTCCCGAGAAACATCATCGGCACGATCGAGCAATATCCAGTGACCAGCACCTTCATATTGAATGATTTCCAAACCTGGAACAATAGTCTTCATCGCGTCGATAGCACCCTGGGGAGCCGTGGGGTCCTCCATAGGTTGAACGAACACTGCGGGCAAGGCAGTCGGAATGACTTGATTAACATTTGCAACTATGGCAAGGTTAGGCACGTGGATGAATGAAATGAAGATCTCGTACCTGTCTCTACCTGCCAGCTAAGCTCGAATGCGCGATACCAGTTCGTAGGACCTCTGAAGCCTCCTTCTAGATTCTGAGTGTAGTACGCAAGTTCCTAAGACTTCGTGGTAAATAATCAGATGATTTTAGAAAGAACGGAAACCCTCACTTCGTCATTTAGCAGATCTCCACGCCCCGCTTCTCCCGACTCAAGAACATTCTCCAAACCGTTGTTGGAAGTGATACCTTTTATCCATGTCTTACTCGAACGGAACAAAATATCTATTCCGAGCGCAGTCTATTCGTCATGAGATTATGAACTGCTGAGCTTGACATATCACTCACATTCTTATCGAACAGGGCCGGAGAGCGGTCGCTGGCCATAAAAACCTTAGCGAGATTTGAGTTGTACTCGAAGAACGTTAAATGTGTGCAAGGTATACCATGTAGTTCCAGTCCGGCAGTTTTTCTGCTATCGCCTCCAGAGAAAGGAAGACGGGTAGTCTTGGAATCAGAGGAGCAGCAAGCCTATTGCAAATAGTAAATATTTTGTCCCTCAGTCATGATAAAAGCTGTTTACATAGCAACGGCCTGGACGCGATTGCCTTGCCATTGACAGAACTTGCCCGCGGCATATGAACCCCAGTCGTGACCGATCACAATCACGCGCTCGAGGGTCAGGAAATCCAACAAAGCAGACAAGTCCTTGGATATCTTGTCGGTCGTGTACTCAGAAGCTTCGTATGGCTTGGACTGTAATCTGGGAATCAGGGCAAGAAAGCTAACGTGTGTGGGTGACTCACCGTCCCTCCGTAACCGAGCATATCAGGGGCAATCACACGCCATCCATGACGGCACCAAGGACCAATTTGGTTTCTCCAAGCATACCTTCAACGTGTTCAATTGAAACGTCTGAGAACGAAGAAAATGTTATAATACCACAGATCCGGGAATCCATGCAAGAGAAGTAGGACCGGAGTTTCGCCGTGTTTATAGTTCTCAGGGACTTGATCCACGAAGTGATATGTCCGACCCGTGGACAACAAATCGGTCCGATGGTTGAAGGTTTCTGGTTTGGAGGGATCCATGTTTACCAATCGTGGGTGATGAGAAGGGATGAATCGACAGATCGCCCAAGAGCATTCTTGAGTTGCTCTTATAAGTACCCAGGGCAGACTGCACAGCATATGATTAAAAGGTTGGTTGATTCCGGCATCGGCTCCGTACCTTGATTGTCGTGAAAACCCGGTTTTTGGTGACAATGAAGGACCCTGTCAATACATTGTCTGGACTTTCCATAATCTTGAAACTAATCCATGAAACCTCGTGCCCGTTTCATGGAGATGATACTTCGTTTCGAAGTACGAGGAACAGTTATCTAGACGCTTCCCAGGGTTCGTAGTTCAGCGGGTAACAATGTGGACGAGCATTGTATACGATGTTGAGAGCACGGTTGGCAGATCAGCAGAGTTCTCGTCGGAAAATTAATCCCGAACTATGCATCCCTGATCAACCATGGAGCAACGAGACTTGATCCCACATCCATTGTGGGTTCGTCATGGTCATGTTGAGCTGATCTTGTAGGATTTGTGTCGAGAGCATTTCGGAGCATCGAGCGTGGGAGAAATGGTTCCCAGAGTTGTGATTGAAGGGTTCAATAAGGCCGACAGATCATCGACGTCACCTGCGGGGAAAACAGTTCAAGATGCAGAAAGCTGACCATGTCTCATCTACCCTGAAAAGGTCCACGTCACTGGTGTGATCGGTGGAACTCTCGCCAAGTCCATGGAGTCGCACGGAACATTACCACGTGCCCACTCATCCCAGGCTGGTCGTAAATGTGGGTCAGGAAAGTGCTGATCGTCTTCGTATTTTGGCTCTTGAGTATATTTCACGGTACATGGTCTGACTGGGTAGAAGTTTTGCGTTTGCTCCCGACGTAGCTTCTGCTCATGGAAGTTACTGTCAGACACAACGTGGCGCCAGGGGTCGTGCAGAAAACGCCGAATGAGACCGCGTCTCGGTCGTCGCGATCCCTTCTTTTGGCCCAGCCGCGAGAAAAGTTCAGCCTGAGCACAACATTGGAAGAGGCATGACACCCCCATCCTCGCTTTACCCCGGTTCTAGGCAACAAATGAGATTGGAGCATGCCGGATGGTCAGTGCGCGATTCTGTGGAAGAACAACCGACCCGACCGCGTGATGTCTTCCCCGACAAGATGCTAGTGGGTGATTGATGGCTCAAAGCTTGAACCGTCTATGCAGCCGATGCTTGTGATGCTGGAGCCATGCCTTCTCATCTTCCGGGATACTTAGGGCCAGCGAATCCTACTTCGTCATCCATAGCACGATCGATCGATCCTTCTGCTTGCTGTCTTGGTGTAATCCTTTCGGAAACCAAGCTTTCAACATGAAGCCTTTCACTGCACCTTGGGGAGAGGGTGTCTTGCACGGCACCGTGTTGCAGGCTGTTATCGTTGTGGCCTGTTCTGCCGGCTTCTATCTCTTCGGTTACGATCAGGTTCGTCCTATGCCATCATAACAAATGTGTGCTGACTGGTTCAATCTGCATACAGGGCATCGCGAACGCCCTTTTATCCAAAGCCGACTTCTTTATCCAGTATCCGGTCATGAATGATGCGACCAAGCAGGGAGCTATCCTCGGCCTATGTAAGCTGTTCAGTCAACAATTCTCGGTGCTACCCTAACGCCTGAGGGTAGTTGTTATCGGAGCAATGTTTGGCTGCATTTCCAACTTGGCAATCGGGAACCGCCTTGGTCGTCGACCGGTGCTCACAGCAGCCGCACTTGGCACTTTGCTTGGTGCCGGCCTGCAATCAGGCTCTCGCAACTTGGCTATGTTTATCGTCTCTCGACTCATCAACGGCTTTTTCGTCGGTGTTCTCACGTCTATCGTTCCCCCTTATATGGGCGAAGTATCTAAGACGAGCATCCGCGGGCTTTTTGTCTCCCTCGATCTTGTACTCGGGTCTGCCGGACTGATGACGGCCTTCTGGGTGTCATACGGGTTCCGAAATACCCCTGGGCCGATGGGCTGGCGCATGCCGCTGGCCTTGCAGGCGATGTTGTGGGTTTCCCATTTGACCCGTCCTCCCGGATTGATGCTAACTATAGCACAGCGTTCTCATCACGATCTGCTGCATTCCCTTCATCCCGGAGTCGCCTAGGTGGCTTATGGAGGCAGGCAGGCGGGACGATGCTTTGGCAGTCTTGATCCGCCTCCACGGTCGTGTGTACGCTGACGAAGCCGCTGCTGAGATTGAGGAGGCTATCGCACTCGAGCATGCTACGGCCGTCACCTCGTGGTGGGCGATCTTCCAGAAGTAAGACTATTATCTTCTTCTCTGGCATAGTGTACTCAATATTCACCTTGTCCTCCAGCAACAAGCAGTGTTTCCGGTACCGCACATTCCTCGCCGTAGCCGTCAACTCCTTCCAGCAGTTCACAGGTGTCAACACGGCGACCTACTACGCGGGCACGATTTTCATGACTGCGTTGGCTATGCCTCCAGAGAAAGGTCAGCTTGCGCTCGGTGGTCTCGGCATATCCGGTCACGTGACGTGTATCTTTGGGTGTTTCGTCATGATTGAGTATCTGGGTCGTGTGCGGACCATGATGCTAGGCTCTGCTACTCAGGCCATCGCCATGTGCTTGCTTGCCGGCGGCATATCACACATCGATGTTCCTGCCGGCGGTTACGTGGGCGCTGTTGGGATTTACTTATTCATCATGGCCTTGTAAGTCTATTATCCAACCAGAAGAGCAACCATTTTCTCACCATTTTGCAGTTCCGCTACATGGCTTCCATGTGGTTGGCTCTATGGAGCAGAGGTTACACCCCTCGCTATCCGTCTGAAGGCCGCCGCACTGGGAAACACGTTGCAGTACGCGTTTAATTTCATGATTGTTCAAGTCACGCCTGTCGGGATTACCAACCTAGGGTGGAAGTACTACATACCATTCGCGATTAGCAACGCCCTCCTGGTCCCGCTGCTTTACTTCTATTTCCCCGAAATCTCGCAGTTGTCGCTCGAGGAGATTGACGAGCTGTTCTCTGACGGCAAGGTATACATGCGCCGCAGCCCCTACGAGAGAATCGGACACGCACACCTCGATCACGCGCTTGAAGCAGGCAAACCTGTCAACGCCCCTGAAGGCTCTATCGAAGGGGAAAAGAACAATGGAGAATTCGTGGAACACCAGTGAACACGGGATATTAATGTCTTGTTTTCGGCATTCACTGAACACGAGGGTCTTTGCTGTTGTTTGATGATCTAATGGATGTCATGATTTTTCTCTAACTTTATTTGCCCACGGAGCAGTGGTGAGGTAAAGCGTGCCGGGCCGGTCAATCGGCGGCCGCCCGAATAGAGGTTCTTACCAAAATCAGGCATCGGCAGAACAACGTTATCAAAGATCACCGAGTTGCTAGGTCTGTTAGTACTGAAGTGCAGTCTCGGCGAAGATTTGCTGAACGACTAAGGTGCATAGTACCGGATTTTGCTCAGCCAGGAAGATCGTATTCCCGCTGCTCTCATTCGTCGACAGCCTATTGGATGCAGCGGTAAAACGGGAGCAATCTCTGTTCTGTGTGTGTCCCCTGCGAATAGATAGAAGCTACCACCTGAAATTCCCACCGAGCCCTTCTCTCATTCCGCTCATTGCAGTCAGCCCCAATCCGCTCTTCCCGCTGGACGCAACTTACGTTTGAACCACTAGGTCTCAACATAAGATCTCGCATTTCTTCCTTTCAACCATCCTAGACCAAAAAAATGGCCGATATGAAGACCATCACTGCTGAGGAGTTCAAGCAGCACAACTCCAAAGACAGCCTCTGGGTCCTCTTACATGGCAAAGGTACGTTTGGTTTCATATGATCTACGTTCGCTCTCGTTGACATCCCTCCAGTGTACGATGTGACAAAATTTCTCGACGAGGTTGGTCTTGACTGGTGCATGATCGCTGGATAGTCGCTGATGGAACGATAGCATCCCGGGGGTGATGAAGTGATTTTGGCTGAGAAGGGTGAGTGCTGACTGTGCTCTTGTCGTGCGTCCGCTGATCAGGTTGACAGGGACCGACGCAACCGAAGCGTTTGAGGACGTCGGACACTCTGACGAGGCTCGCGCACTGCTGCCAGATATGCAGATTGGCGTGTTCTCTGGCGTATGTCTTCTAGCTTCGCTTCGTTCGACAATAAGTACTCACATGTGCCACCCAGGACATGAAAGCAGGCGCCTCTGCCGCAGCAACTGAGGCGATGGCTGCGGGCCACCATGTCAACAAGCCCCCACAAACAAGGTGCATTCCCCCGTACCTATCTTCGCACCAGTCTAACTGTAGAATGACAGCGTGATCTCCTACCTGCTCCCCCTCGCTTTCTTGGGTGCCTATCTGGCCTACCGCTTCTACCTCTCTCAACAATAAACGGCTCGCCCCCGGCAGCGAGGACAGAACTGCATTTTCCTCTCCAATCTCTCCCCCTTTTGGCTTAGCTTGGTTCCACCTCACCCCTCCATTGCTGCCCCTACCTGTCGTAGATAAACGCCTTTGTGCTGCCTGACGGCAGGGGCCAACGGATATCTATGCCTGTTCGGCCGATTCTCTAATCTGCATTCTTTATTGGCTAGTTTCAGGTTCTCCCACAGCCAAGATGAGTGCCAGCGCACGCCGTTCTACGTCACGCACCCGCCGGCGTTTCCTCAAAGTGTGGGGAACACCGTTTGCAGTGGTGCCACGTATGCCATCTTGCTGGCACACCACGTTCGACATTCTGTGGAAGATCAGTGAATTGCCTCGACCCGGCATGATAATCGGTGGGATTGTGAATGCCCACCCAATATAAACGGGACCTTGGTCTGATAAGTCATGATTATCACTGATACGGTTTCGCCTTTTCGCACGCCGACATGGAGTAAGCAGCGGTACTAAGGCGCAGCTTTACCTACTCTACGCACAGTAAAAGCTGCCGGCATTGTTCGTATCTCCATACCCATTGTACACAATCTCCGTCGGGAACTTGCAGAGCGGCCTGGTCATCTGCACACCACCGCTAGCCGTGTTGTTCACATACTTGGTCGCGATGAAGTAGTTCGGGGCTGCGCCCTGCTCCACCCAAGCGATCATCCCGCGGAGCACATCATGGAGGGCATCGGGCTGCAGAGGGGGCATGCCAGCAGCGCTCTGTCCCTCACCTCCGAATCCGTTTGGTCCATCTCCGCCCGCACAGTGCTGCATGCCTGGTACGGTGAACAGCCGGTAATAGTCGTCCACGTTCAAGTTCGTGTTTAGGTTCATAAATGCCGTCATTTGCTCGTAATAGTAGAGTGAATTGCCGGGAGAGATGAGCTGGTCCGCCCAACTGACATAGTGTATCACCTTGCCGTTGTGTGGGGCCGCGACGTATGTTTGAATGTCCGGGTTTACCGCGTCCAACCGGTACGTATCGATCTGATCCGCCAACTGTATCGTGCTGTAGTTGAGTGTTGTGTAGTCCCAGTTCGAGTCACTAGGCTCGGTTTCAATCCCATATCATCGCATATAGAACAACACGTACTTCACGACCATATCTTTGAAATAGTCTGTGTTGATCTCAACGGGATTGGCTCCCAACAGGCCGGTCTCATAAGCCAGTTCTCCACCAGGCTCCAGCCTGCCAAATATATCTATCCCAGCATCATTATCAAGATTCTTACTTTGTCGCAGAATCAACTCACAGGTCTGACTGGTCTCGTAATAGTCTGAAAATACCAGGCGCACGGCGTTGATCTGGGCGGCACTCAAACAGGTAGTTGCGTCCTGTCCCGGACGACAGGCGAGCGTCTCAGGTCGAAAGCTTCATCCCCGCGTCAGCATCCTGACCGGTCCAAAAGATGGAAAGAGACGAACAAGCAGCGCCTAGGGTCGTTCAAAAGTCCATCGATAACACCATCCAACGCATCACATTGATTCAGCACCTCCTGATGAATCAACGCCCATGTAGCAGCCGAAATCCAGGAAGTGCTATTTTGAGGGGAGACAAGAAGGTTGAAATGGATCGACCAGGCTTGAAGGTGGGAGCTGCGCACGGGATGAGTAACGTAGAATCACGGGAGGGAAGAGAAACGGACATCCAGTTTGCAGGAGAGCCAACAACGACACCATCGAAGTCGTCTGGGTATCGTTGCACAGACATCAACCTGTTACCCTCATGAAGATCTCTCCTCACAGCTAGATCCAGCAGAACCAAACGCACCCCTGCCTCCCACCAGTAGAACACCCAAGCCAATAGCTCTTAAATCCAGCCGTGGCGCCATAGTATGCGCTCACCACCTCTTTAGCGACTACGACACTGATGTGCACGCTCAGATACGCGTAATCCACGATCGCTTCAGGATTGTTCAATCCCCAGGTGCCGTCCAAGGATGAAGAAGTATGCCCGCCGTCGGTGGACATGCTCGCGTGCCCATTGACGAGGCCAGAGTAAGCAAGGTCGCTGTATACCACTGCCGGAGCAGGTTAGCGTGGTGACATGAAGACAGAGTCGGACTTACTACCGCCGCTCCACCCACCGTTGCCAACTGCTAGGAATCGGCCGTCCCATGCATCAGGCAACCACACTTCTGTATTGGTCATATTCCGAGTGCCAGTGTTGACGAGTAGCTGCACGCCTGTCAGACACAATCTTGTCAGTCCGCGAAATATGCTGTAGAAATAGGGACGCACGACAGAACGCTGGTAGAGAGTTGGACGTCACTGCCCCTCCCGAGCTGGTGACGTTGACTAGCGCTCCGGCGGGATAGTAGGAGGCTGCAATGAGGGTAGCGCTATTCCCTACGCTGGAGGGGAGGGTGAAAGATGCGCATTGGGCTTCCCAGGCGGCAACGCGATCAAGCTGGATGAGAGCTGAGACGAGAGCGAGCCCCAGGATGCGAACGAGGCCCATCATTGGTCTGTGCGCTGGTGCTGAGCAGGAAGAGCGGGCAGCGCCCAGATGACAGGCCAGGCACGCAGTTATGTACCCGCAGACAGCAGCATCGTACAATACTGGCAGAACACAAGGCAGAAGCCGGCGGTCCGTCCTCCAGGTAGCATGAGTAGCCTAAATCACCGGGTTTCTTCAAGTTTCGCACGCCATGGGATGAATGTCGACGATGTCAGGTGCCTGGGTTGCGCCAGAAGAGCGACCGGCATGACGGCCGGTTGAACAGTCCACACCCGCCGGTACAAGCTAGACGTTATGATCTTGGGAATAACATGATGAACGAGCTGTACAACCTTGAAGAAATTGAGCATATTGCTGATTTGGGCCAGGGATGCTCACTAGAGTTGGAGGAAGCCGCCAGCAGTGGGGAAGAAGAAGACGTCAGATGTCATCGGACCTCTGGTGCAGGATAAATGTTTCATCCTTCCAGGCAGGTCTAAACACACTTCGCAGGATGCCTCGGTGATGGCCAGCGAGAGGTCGGTCGATATTATTATTGTTGAACAGCACTTGCTGTTGTGATCAGGTCTGATGATGAGGCGCGAGAGGGTTGATCAGGGACACTTGCGATGCCGTAATACTGTAAATGTTACATCTGTTACATGTACAGTCAAAAGGAGTGTATTAAAAGGAAGCGTTGATACAAAGGGTCATGGTACATTCCGCCATGAAAGGAGAGACCAAATGAGCGTGAAGCACAGCGGAGAGAGTTCTGGTGAAACATACAAGATACGTACTAGAGTCCGAAACACGGAGCGAGAACGGTTGTGAGAGCCATGCGAACATACTCTACGTACACGGAGCTGCCGGAGGCAGGAATTGGACATTCGGAAGAGGGGCCAGAAGGTGGAAAACCAGAGAGGTTGTAGTTGCCACTATCGCCAACGCTGTAACCAGGCGGCTTCATTAACAATATCAATGGGAGCGAGATTGTCATGATTATATAGACGATCACAGGTCCGCTGCCGTTCTTGGGCTCCTGGTACTGCTCGGCCGGGATGACGCCTTGCGTACCTCTGAGCACGTTCGGCCCCCGTCTTGTAACCCGTCAGCAAGAAGCGCTCCCTGTTCGAGGGATCGGACGTGGGGACGACAACCGAGCAGAACAGGTCGTAAGAGGGAGGCGGTAACGAGTCGTCATCCTGAGGTTGGATCGTTGGGTCAGATGCGCGAAGCTGATTGTTCAACTTCAGCTCGGCATTCAGCATACGCTGGGCGTGCCGCAAGCGCTGAGCCCTGGCCTTGGCAGGTCTGCATCGAGCTGCACGCTCAGCACCGGTGAGGCAACCTGTCAATACTACGGAGTCCTCCGGGGGGTTGCTGGCAGGGCTCGCCTGGGCCCAGGCCTTGGCAGCTCTGCATCGAGCTGCACGCTCGGCACCGGTGAGGCAACCTGTCAATACTACGAAGTCCTCCTGGGGGTTGCTGGCAGGGCTCCATTTAGTGGCACAATTCCCATATGCGACGACTGGGAGCGGATGAGGCTTCGCGGCGCCCACAACTGCGGTGGCAGCATCGGCGATATTGCTGACCCGTAGGCGATCAGCGTGAGTTGTAGTAATGAAATCGTGGTGACCGTTCAGATCGAGAGAACTGGATGGCCCATTCGTTATCGCTAAATGAGTAATGACGGACCTTTCATCATCGTCCCTTCCTAACTGAGCTGAATCGATGGAGGGTTCGGCATCAGGGCTTCCCATGGCAGTGAGAGAGGGGATAGTGGGTGCATCTGACACCAGATTCCCTACATCCATCTGAGTTTGACCCTAAGTTGACCGAAACTGCACGAACATACCTGGAATACATCGAATGTTGTGAACGCCGGGGTCATCCATGGTCATGATGATCAGACTATGGATCTCTGAAGGGTTTGAGTAATGGATAATAGCATTAGACGGTCACTTACAGGTTGGATAATTGTTGGTTAAAGGACTGGCAAAAGAGGTAGGCAAGGGAGGAGGATTTGTACTAGTACTTGGAGGCTTGAGGTTGAGGGTGGGCGTTTCAAGGACCTGGAATAGGGACCCGTGGAACGCAGTGATTGTTGGCGTGAAAACAAAGAGTGCATAGACGATCATCCGAAGCTGATCGTGGCCCTTGTGGCGATTACGGATTGGATGTAACCTTGACGACGAAGTAAGAGGAACCCGGCGGAACGTGCGGGACGATAGTGCGAGGTTCGATTTCACGGGCATTGCCTCCGTTTTTGCACAGCCACACATGGGACCCCAGATTCTATGGCAAAAACAAGGACCGGATTAGTAACAACACCTAACCCAAGAAACCCTAACCTGATAATTTGGTGAGCTTTAACCTGAAAATAACATAACCCTAGGATAAATTAGAACCTTAATTCTACTAAAACTTATAAGAATAATAGTACAATTAATCCCAATGTGAGGAGTAATAGTAATAGTAGTAAAATATATAACAGTCACTATACTTTATTCCTACCATCACTCAGAACAATACCACTGATAATAAGAGTTATCATTCTCATAATGCCATTATTACTTCTCCAAGAAGCATTAATAATACTGACATTATTATAAGACTGCAAGTAGTGTTGACTATTACTATTACTATTACTATTACTATTACTATTTCTATTACTAAGGTTTCTCATCATTGAAGGTTATATCATTTTCAGGTTAGGCCCATGACCTATTCAGGTTAGGGTTCTTTGGGTTAGGTGCTTTTACATAATTATCATCCTTATTTTTTACAAATTGGGGTACGCGAAAACGGAGGCAATATTGCCCGTGAAATCGAACCTCGCACTATCGGCTTTCCATACGGGCAAGGAAGAGTACTTTGGAAGGCTTGATCCATATTGACGGATTCAAGTGAAGCGATGAAAAAGATGGATCGATAGTGGGTTACTGAAGTCATATACAAGACGATTACAGAAGTTGTCCCAGATGATGACAAGTTACCGGCAGAGCATAACGTTCGATCTGAAATTCATTGGCAAGGAATGCAATATCAATTGGGAGGTTCAGCTAAGGCACGCAGACCCTGCGGGACACACACCACCTGGCCGTTCATATTCATCATGACTGACGGGTCGCAACGCGCCCTCGCTAGCTTCCATTTGCTCCCATTTTTCTGCATCTCAGAGAGCTTCCAGCTGTCGACCTGGAAGGTGGGGCGAGACAGGCCTAAAGGGAGAGAATGATAGCGATTGGAATACAGGAACGAGATTGAATTCCAAGTATTAATGAGAAAAGGGAAAGGGGTACAGGCAGTAAGAAAAGAGAGAAGCTGTCATGCGTCAGGGAGTGCAAAAGGGAATGAACGGCAGCAGATAGACAACGAACCGCTGGTTACGGCCCCTCCCTTCGCAATCGCACAGAGGACCAGGCGTTGACCGACTCTTCTTTTCATCCACTCTCTCCCATCCAGTTTGTCCTTCTCATCCTCATCCTTCCTTTCCATCGGCCATCTCGCCTTCTCCCGGGTGCGGTGCACATCCCACCCAGCCCCTCTCTTCAACAACTTCTCTCTCTTCCACTTTTCCTAATCCATTAATCCACGTCTTCCCTGACGACCAACTTCACCACCACCTCTTGCGAGACACGCAATCCTCGCGTTCCGGCCTGCTCGAATACTCCCCTTATCGTACCATCTTCCTCTAGTACTGCAGCAAGGGCGGTCTTCGATCATCGCAGGTAGCCATGTCCTATCCCAATGGCTTTGAAGATGGTGCGGACTCGTCGCACTCTTTTCCGTCGTCCAGTAAATTGACTGACATGCCTTCCTTTCCGTCTTCCTCAGCTCCGACATACCTCTCGGGTCACATGGCTGACGTCGTGCTGTCCGAGTTTCGTCCCACGCGCATAAAGCCAGACGCACTCCGCTGTGTGAACGTCCTCCTCGACGAGCTCCTCTGGAGCATTATCAAGTCCGCCCGCAGTGTCAACACGGACAAGCTCAAGCAGGATGGGGTGCTGAGGGTCATTCCTGCAGCACTGGGGAAAGAGTCAGTGCTGGAGGCTGAGATGGAGCTGAGGGAGTACTGGAAGACGAGTGGAGACAGCAGGGAGGCATACAAGGATATGAGGGAGAACCCGGCCCAGTTCCCTATCGCACAAGTGTTCGATGTACGTGATCTTAGTTTGCTCTCTATGACCTGAGCTGACCACTAAACAGGTCCTTCGGCTCAAATGCGAAGCGAACTCGTCACTAGGCCAAGCGGAGGAAGAAGACAATCTCGCTGTGGAGAAAGCAGAGCAGAGGCTTTATCAGGCACGCGAAGCTCCACCTATCGAGGCATTTGCCCCTGCCTCCTTGTATCTTACGGCCATTATTGAGCATATATGCGGGTTTGTCGTCTTCCACACCTGGAAAAAAACATAGGTGGCTGAAAGTTTATAGGCACATCATGTCGTGTGTGAGTAGGGTGGTGGCTAGGGACAGCAGCAAGACGTCAGCGAGCATTTCGGACCTATATGCGGCGCTCTGTGAGGACCAATCGCTGTACAACATGGCCAAGGGTATGAACTGTATGTATTGCTGCAGTCCCTATACAAATTCTGGCTAAATGCAGTTATGCAGCCTTCCAAAACATCGAAGCCCAGCATCGTTCCACCCGCGTGCAGCGTAAAGGCTCACTTACGGGGTCGCTCGTCTCTGCCCGCTCCCGTGCTGCTGCTGCTTCCCCTCGTCCTGGGTATGAACCCCCCTCCTCGAGCCCAACGAATACGTCGAATCGGACTTCTGGAGATTCTTCCTCGCATAGTGGTGTCATGCCAATGCTGCAGACACAGGTCCAGCCTGGCCCATCGCCCATACGTTCGCCAAGTGATAGGAAGAAAGTGCCGGTCATTTACCCTCAGATTGTTTCCAGCACTGTATCGGCCACGAACGGCCGCCCGAGCATGTCTGTAGAGCATGGCGCCTCCCCAGTTGCTCAGCAGTCATACCAAGCTCAGCAGCCACACCGCCGCTCCCACTCGGGTATGAGTGAGCATGGCCAGCGAGGCGGCGGCTTTCCTTTCCAAACTGATCCGAATATGACATCCGTCGATGACGGTGAGGTGAGTGCAATTCAGAGTCACCGGTTTGGTCCCGCTCGAACGACGTGTCTCTGATATAGAATACAATAGGGATCTGAATTTGAAGAACTCATGAGGACTGGTTCGACGATGAAGGTTTCACTTACCCCTGATCGTCTGCGTACTTTTGAGGTACGCTGCTTTCTTCCGTACTATCCATCCAACCCTCTTAGCATGCTGAAACTTATCGAACAGGTATTCGCCAAAGATCGCAACCAACGTGCTACCACCCGAGTGGTTACTACCCAACCAGCAGGTCAGCCTCCTGAGAGTGGCCCGTTCACTGCTCCAGTACAACAGCCAGCTTTGCCCAGCTCGCTCTCCAACTCTTATGGCGGACGTCCTGGTTCGCGTCCGTCGACCGGAGGCCGATCGGGTTCCCCTGTCAATGACGGATACATGACTGACAGCGCTGTCGGCTCCCGGCGGCCCAATTCCCGCCAGACCAGCAGAACCCGGTTGGAGGCGATCCCTCAGTTGCCGGGCCAGCGGACTGTGCAAGCCCTCCAACTGGACGAGTACGGAGGAAGACAGCCGGCACAAGGTCCATGGGGGCAACCGCCTTCTGCACCCGCGCCGGTGTCTATGCCTGCTCCTACACCCGCGCCGGCACCGGCGCCTGTTCCCCAGCCACAGGTGCAGCCACCCCGCCCCAGGCCGGTGGAGAGAGTAGCCATACCTCCTCGTCAGCAGCCTCGTAAGTCTCCATTTTCATAGACGGTGAGCAGTATGCTAAGGTCAAAGTAGCGTTCTTGGATGGGCCCCCAAGGAAGCAGAATTATAGCCCTGGTAACATTGCTCCGTTGTATGAGGAGACCGACAGCTTGGCAGAGTTGGACGAGCGGCCCAAGCCTAAATCAATTGTTTCCCCCACCTCCCCGACTTCGGATGGACCACCAACTCGTGTCTCCAAGTCCGCGCGTGATCTTATTGCCTTCCTCGACGAGGGTCCGCCGGAAGAGCCGCCTCACCTTTCACGCTCTACGAGTGCCGCAGCAGGCCTGGACAACAACAACCCTGGGCTGAAGAAGTCGGCTAGCAGGGGCTTCATGAACTCGCTCAAAGGCTTCGGCCGCAGTGGTGCGGCTGACAAGGCCTCCCGTAGCGGCAGCGTGGGTGGAACTGAAGAATACAACTCACTTCGCGGCCTCGTGCGTCGGCAGAAATCTTCTCACACGCTGGCGAGCACTGCCATGAATAGCAGCACGGTGAACATCCCGCCTCCATCCCCCGTCAGGCCAGTTCCGGTTCGTATTGTGTTGGACTCGAAGGACTCGATTCCTGGCATGAGTTCCAGATACAGGGATAACAGCGTTGGTAACGGCCAGCGTCCGACACCGCCTGTGTTGCACAGGGACGTACCTGCTCAGGACGTGCATGCTGCCGCTCTGCCAACACCGCCTGCCTCGCACGAGTCACCGCCTATGCGCACTTTTGCGGCTTATCCGCCTGGCGGCAGTCCGCGACCACCTGTACCGCCGCAGCAACGCAAGATTACTCCTATCAATACTGCACCCAACTCTCCGCTGTCTGGTAATGATGAGTACAACACCGCACCTTACAACACTTACACCAGAGTCGCCATCGACAAGGTTGCGGAGCAGCCCATCGTCGTGCACTCACCACAGAATGGCACACCAAACGGTGCACCAATTTCGATTCCAGCTTCGTCAGAAGAGCAGCTCGCTTTGCTACAGAAGCTCGTCCAGGCATCGGGCAGTATCGAAGAATGCCGTCTGCTCGTCGACAGTTTCATGGCGCAGCGTGGTGTGAAAACTGATGGTGCTGCTTCCCTTGCCCCACCTCCCACGGCTTCTATGCCAGGCACACCGGTCAGCGTCAGCAAGCCGCTCCCACCCGATCCAGAGGAAGAAAACAAGGAGAAAGCTGCCGTGGACTGGCTTTTGTCTGGTGACACCGAGTACAGCGCGGCTGGTGAGAAGGTCACTCACAAGCTTGCTCGTCCCAAGTCCAGAGATCGCGCCATGGGCGATCGCAAGAAGTCCCGTGAGCGCATGCGGACGACCTCTCAGCACAAAACACTCGTAGCTCCGGCTTGAGATACGCAGCACTCCAGTAATCAATCCCCCTTACGAACCCCAACCCGGTCTTGTGGATAACGTAATATACCATATCCTTGCTCTCTCGCGACCCACCTTCGTTACGATCATACGATCATATGTCTCTCTCTGCTTCAACCACACCCCGCCTGAATTGTATATTTGGACACGATACAGACCCGATTCCAGCTGGACGGCTAGAGGGTATATATTGGAGCGGAGGAGTTTGGTAAAATCAAATGTCCAGGTTGGATTATTTTTGGTGTGCTTTTTCGCTTGCCTTGCGCTCACTCGGATTCTTCATCTCGATTTCGTTCGTTATTCACTTCCTATGCCCTTCTTATCCTTGTTTCTCCTTGTTCTTCACTATTAGTCGGAAATGTCGGTGGTATAGCGGTTCTGTATGGGAATGCTAATGTGGTGGAATACGTAATGACACACCCACATGCGCAGTACGCGGTTATTTACATGGATGAAGGGTGCGATTGTTGCGGGCTACTTAGGGCGGACGTTACAGAAACATAAACAGTACAGCTCGTTTTCAATGCTTGGTGTTGAATTGCAGAGCACTTGCGAAAAGAAAGAACAATTGAGGACACTTAAGAAGAAATAAACAAACATGAGGCAGATAGGAGGACTATGGTACAAGACCCGTCTGCTCATCCGTGACCGATCCAGTCATATTTTCCCATTAGTCTTTCTTGAACAGGTTCTCGACCGATAACCGGGTCTTCATCACCTGGGTGACGGAGACGGTCGGCTCGTACGGTGAGTTCGCCACGACTCGCTTCTCGAGCGGGGTGGACAGGGAGACTTTCTTCTCTGTTGAGGCGTCCTCCTGAGCCTGCTTACGGATCGCGTCGATCCGGGCTTCCTCGGCGAGCTGGCATGCTGTCAGCAAGCAATGTTGGTAGAAGGAGAGGGATACCCACGATATCGCGCCAGGAATGGTCGACGTGCTTCTCACGGGGTTTGGAGGAGAAGATGAGGGCTGAAGCGACGACAGAGACGACTGTGATGCCTTGTGCCCACATACGGATCTGGACGATCTAGAGCTCAGGTTAGCATACAGTCTCAATAAGGTGAAATGAGAGACATGCCTTTTGGGGGAAGGTCATGAGCTTGTCGCGCATGATGAATCCTCCAGCACCAACCATCCCTACTGCCCATCCACCGACGACCATGCCAAACTGATGCCTAGCAGCATAGTCGTAAGCCTTCTCGGCCCAGCCGAGCGCCTCCCAGCGCTGGAGTTGCTGCGCCTCTTCCTCGTCAAGCTCATTCTTGGCAGCACCTTGCCACTGTTCGCGCTGGAAGAGATCGCTCTCGTGTTCTGCTTGGATGACGGTGGCGGGTATGGTGACGAGTACGATAGAGAGCGCCTTGAGTTGGATAGGAAGTTGGCGGAAGTAGGGCCAGCGACCGTTAAGGAAGTATGCCATGCCCAGAGAGCCGGCGAGGCCGACTGTGAAACCTTTCACTCCACCCTGGATCGTGCGCCTGTAGTGGGCATCGGCTTGGTCCTTGGTGAGCAGCTGGGTGATGGTTAGGAAACGGTTTTTCCGAAGTAAAAGACGGAGTAACACACCTTCATGATTTTGATGTTATTACGGGAGAGTATTCAACAGCCAAGCGATGAGGAGAGAGAGAAATGAAGAGAGAAGAGAAGAGAAGAGAGAAGAGTTGACCGACAATGTTTGAAATGAAGTGGAAAGAGTGCTGATATATCGGCGTGCCTGCTGTCAGAAGAACCCCTTGCCCGAAGTGGCAGGTGCTCCAGATCCTCGCGAAAGGGCGTCCGGTCACTAGAGTGGCGAAATGCGGGGCAAGCGGGTAACGATCCGCTCAGCCCGCCCCTCCGTGGAAAAGGCGCCAGCCAATCACAGTGTAGCTGCGTCATCAGCTCCCGTTAAAGACCCACACAAGCCACGTTATGCTGACCAACATTCATTCCGGCACTTGCCTAAGCCCGCGGAGAAGCATTCATCAACACTGAAAAAACATATAAGAAACGAAATGAAGCGAGTCCTGTTTGCCCCGATCAGGGTAGAATTGGGCGGCTTGTTCCGATCATTCAGTCACAGGAGAAGTATTACGAAACACGTCCCTCACCCGTACTCTCAATTCCAGAAATGTAGCTCCAACCATCAAGTTCAACAGGCGTTGTCAACCATCGACGTCATTGATGCTCTGGGCCATTGCGACATTCTGAACTTAACTAACATGTTCACTTATAGGTAACCAACTCCGCAGGGATACCAAATTTCCGCCCCGGGTTTCTCGGCCGTTGGACGGCCCCGCAGGATCCGCTAACCAGCACAGGGTATACCCTTCCTGTGTAGTGGGACTTGAATGGCACCGGATTATTCATTGAGCTGTTGTCGAACGGTGCACTTCTGGACTGTCGCTGCAAGTAGATTCTCGGCCTTGACAAGCATGATTTCATCACTATGTACCCAACCAAGAAGCAAGAACATATACTCTATCTTGTTTATCATTTCGTTATTCATTGGACATCTCATCTCTAGTCTGTCCTGTTAAATCAAATTCATGTCCTGTCTACCATCCAAACTGCTCGACATGCAACTCGACCTCCGGCCTGCCGCGGAGTGCTCCATCGCAGCTAGCCAGTTCTTTGGTAGTCAAGATCCTCCTGACGTTCCTTGCTAGCGAGCTCGGACCGCATACTGCCCCGTCACTATCAGCTATCGACAGTTGTAAGTCAGTGAAGGGACATACCGCTAACAGACATTGGTCCAGTAGAGCTGTCCACCTCCTCCTTGATCAGCTCTCCCAGATCTGGCCGTCCGTCTTGTACAGATACTTGCTCGAACTGTGTAAGACGGGTGATGACGCAAGCCGTGCCGCTAATCTCTGTCGAGGAGCTGCTCTCAACAGATGAGGACGCGCTGTCCTTATTCTGGGACTTCTCGCCCAATTCCTCATCTAGGGTTGGCACGCCATCGAGCGAGGTAAGCTCTTGAGTGACGAAGATCCTGATGTCTAGGTCCAGGTCTTTCGGCGCGCTCGAAAGTAGGTCGGAGAGGGAGTCGGATACCCAGGACATGCAGGCTGATTGCCGGACCATCCATACGAAGCTGACGCGCCTGACTGCGGACGTCCGGATAGGGTGGTACTGGATGATATGGGACAGTTGGGCAAAGGTGTACGAAATCCCGCTCCCTCCTACAACTCGTTAGTTGCGGTTGTTAATGCCTAGATGGATATGCTCGCCTGCGATGAGGATGTTGGTATCATATTGCAGCAAGTCGGGCGGCATCCCATAAGGACCATCCACGAATGCAGTCACGCTGCTCTCCCCACCACCTCGCGTCGCGCACGCCATCAAGCGCTTCGTGAACCCATCCCTGGCGCGCACGATAAAGCTAAGTTCCTGCTCCCCGCTCTCTTTCTCCGTGGGCTGTTTGGATTTGGGTACTGGCGCACAAGCAATCGTGAAAGGATGCGCCTCGAAAGGCATCAAGCTTACGCCGGGAACGACAAGGTACGCATGCTGTCCCGGCCGCCAGCTCATCTTCCGTCTCATCCTGATCTTGACTGTTTCCTCCGAAAGCACTTGGACGGTCGCTTGAGTGTAATGACGAGAGGAGGACGAGAGGACGGATAGCCAGAGACGGTTCAGCAAGAACATGCGGAAGAGGCGGACGATACGGTCCGTGCCCCAAAGTGCGAAGGAGGGGTAGATCCAGTACGCGCCGGCGCGGTAGTGCATGATGCATCCAGCAAGGAAGAAACTGTAACGTAAACTTATTAAGGATACTTCTATCAAGGCGCGAAGGGTGACGTACCAGATCAAAACAATATGGCTGACGAGAAAGAACTCGTAACATATCCTGCGAACAATCCGGAATGAGACCAAGAAGCTCAGGAAGAAAGCCACCAGAGCCGCTATGCCCCAAATCGTGATGGGTTTGGTGTAAGTGTGTGCGGGGCTTGGGCCAATGGAGACCCATGTAAATGCGTGACTGAGACATACTGCATGAAGGTTAATAATAGACGAGAAAAGACTGGAGTAGATGCGCACGAATCAGGACCGCACGACCGGCAGTTCGATGAAGTATGCTAAGCTAATCTGAGATTAGAATCATCTGGGAATGGAATTTTTCAACACCTACCCGCTCTGGTCCAATGCCTGTCAGGTCTACAAGTAGCAAAGGTCAGATCGAGAGCGAGTGAGAGAGTGCAAAACGTACAGGAGATGACATTGTTCTTTCCAGCCAATCCAACGACAAACGGTGTCTGCGCCATGGCGAGCCAGCCCAATCTGTTTGCGAAGCTGTTTGGACCACTCTGATCTAACCAATCCATCAGTCCAGAATGATAATCTGGTTGCGGTGCACATACTGTTTATGAATCCGAACATGAGACATGCTGTCAAATAGCCCCCACAGAAGATCGCTTCGGCCAGATTCACACGGTGCACTCCATCCATGCTGGTGGGAAGCGTGAATCGATAAAAGATTCTGTTCCACAGAGTGGAGATTGCAGAGAGAAGATGGCGATGCGACCGACTGCCATTGCGTCCTGCTGTGACGATTTCTCCATTTCGGAGTTCAGCAGAGCGTCTCTCCGAGCCTCTTCCACGACGTAAATAGCCGCGAAAGAGTGAGGCAATGTAAAGAAACATGACAAATCCGCCCACTGCGCCGATAAGCCACCATTGGAACAGTGGATAGTTACCTTGCATCCACTTCTGGAGATTTTTGGCGGCGTTTTGGGCATTACTGTTCCCATTCCCTCCTGACGCTGTTGCGGTTGCGCTGGATGAATGGTATGATGTGGTTTGAGTCCCAGCGTTGTGGCTTCCCCGAGATGTGGTACCAACAGTGGAAGAGAGTACAGAGGTGGCAGCAGAGATGAGCGCGTCGGTCGTCGAAGCCTGCCTGCCTCCTGTACGTGTCGCGCTTGTAGTCGAAGACGACATGGCGCTTCCTGCTTTCTGTTTTCAGAGGACGTGTAACTCCAGATCCCAGCGCACAATGAATCCGGGCGCCATCGCAGAACCCCAAGTATTTAACTCTGGGCTCGAGGCTCCGGCGACATGAATAGAACCAGAGTCCATTCAGAATTACCCGCATGGGTGACGATGGCAGATTTCGTGCCCTTCACTCCGAGAGAAGTTTTTAAGATACGGGCCTATCTAGTTACCGGTGGTAAGTTGGTATTCGAGATCGTCACATCCCCTGTCCATGCCAAGATCGTGCGAGAGCACGACGTGAATGTGATGAGCCGTACAAGTTGCCGAAAATCCGAAAAAAAAAACTGAGAGACAATGATTATTCATTGTCTCAAGAAGTATGGTGTAAGGATGTTGCATCCACTCGTGTTCGCCGGTGGAGGAGGTACGGGCGGAGTGAAGGCGTTCGATCGCAGAAGGCAGGGTCGCCTGGGCGCTTCCACCATATGTATCGTGATATCTCGGAAGCATAGGGCCATGTAAATTGGTACACTCGCCACCCATCTAATCAGATACCCAGATCGAGTAAGAGGTCGAGCCCTTTCTGAACGTAACCATGCGCTCTGTCTTACGACCATTCCAAGATCAAGATCCGAACCAGGCCGGGGAGATTCGTCAGCAATATGCCGTCATTCTCTCGGCGTAGCAGCTTGGGTCACAGAGGCTTTTAGCATCGAAGGTGGATAGACCGTCGCAGAATCCCGACATCTCCGAACATCTGAAACATGCATCCATCTCTCACCAGCCGAGTTGTTCGCCATGCAGCATCATCTCTGTGCGTCTCCTCATAATAGATCGGGAGTGGTACTGGTGAAGTTCGCATAACTGGAATCGGTCTACCTCCGATTACTGGTCAACTCAGCTTGCAGGACTAGAAAGGGCAACCCTTCCACCCACCAATTACGAGGTAAGAGCCGTAACTAGAATTCATAGACTCTAAAAGTCGAGATACAACATGCAGGTGGCAAGTCTTTCTCTTGGGCCCACGGAAGTCGACTAAAGTTCTGTGAGGACTCGTATGAGAGACTGCTGTCGAGGGGAGAGTTATATTGATTCGTTGATTATACGAACTCTCGGTAACGTGCTCGACCAGGATTGGCATCGTGAACAAGATACCAACCACGTGGATGACGAAGAGATTGATGCCGACCTCTGTTCCCCGGTTCATTCAATAATGGTGACGGCGTTACTGTAGCGGACAATGTTGAAATATCATTCAAAGACCAGAGTGTATCACACACTCCCTCTCAAAATATTCACACGCTGCGTACAATGTAGACACGTCTCGGTAGTATCCATCGATGGCTGATATTGTTCCAAACGGTGGGAGTTCCGCGAACATGTCGAGCACCTTTCAAGGCTTCCCCTCCGCAGAGCTCCATGCTAAATGAAACAATAAACGAGCGTTGCCTTGAGGATAACGGATGGGCGCACGAGCCAATAAATTTAACATTAAACGGCGGTGGCGGCAACTGGGGGCACTGCTGGCACAGCGGGTGGTACATGGGGCCCAGTAATTCTGAAGGCATGTGGACAGATGCTTCGCACATCGTTGATATCGCCAGCGGCAGTCGACCCAGCCACATTGGCGCTAAGGATTGCCGAACCTGGATTGTACCCGAGTCGGGCCTCTCATTACTGGAGGTGATGTGATATTCAATGACACTGTTATCGTGTCATTACTACCCAGACCGAATGATCGACGACGGTATGTCATTTCCGAGTGCTGAGCAATTCCACGTGTGGGTCGAAAAGCCTGACGCGAGCGGAAATTGGAAACTCGGCTTGTGATCGGAGAGTGTTATGCCCAGCTTCTTTAGTGCTTAGAAGCCCATACAATACACCAAAGTTTAGAGATACCTTCTCCTAGGAACTTGAGCTGAAAAGCACTCCAAAGATCCAGAAGCCAAGCCTGTGATAGACTGGGTACGGCGGTGTCGGAAGCGCATCGATCGAACCATATAAACCAACGTGCTTGATCCTGCGACAGAACGCCTCATGTATCAGGGGGCCAGGAGTATAGCCAAATATAATTAGATGGGGTGTAAAATGCGCATACACGGTGCATCACAGAGCGTGGATGCGCCGGTGGGGAAGTTTCGGCTTTATCCACGGAAGCATGACTGGGAATGCCTGTGTCACATGTTGATCGCCACCCATCTTATCAAATTTTCTTCGGAATGGCTCGTTTCCAAGATAAGATCCACCCCAATTTCTTCGCGATGGGTTGTTCTCCCGGTAGGTCTTCGCGCTTCCTGGTTCGGACTTGTGGGCCCGTCGGGGAATCTATCCCGATAGATCTCGACATAGTCCTTAGCGTCAGATCATCAGCAACCGGAGTGTAAATCTCCGGAAGCATGGTGATAATGACAGTCCCAAAGAACGCGATCCATGAACGCATCGGGTGATGATCACTCGGCCAATAGTGACCAGGCACAAGCCCTGGCAACAAAGGGGGGTGAGGTCTATGCTTGCATTCTGATGCTCGTCTTCACCCGCATGGGTCACGTCCATTGTTAGAATCGGTCACTCCAGAGAAAAGAAGGGGGGGACAGGGGGTTGACGCATCATGCTGGAATGATTGTTGAATCTTTCAAGTGTGCAAAGCACATCATAACCGAGTTACCGGGCAGGGGGACTGTCGGGATTAACCAAAGGGTGCTTTCCTTCGTCAAGATCAGATAAACTGGCTTAGATGGCGCGGACTAGTGCCACAATCCTTTGTCTCGCAGTACCCTGTACCATTCGTCTCGCACTTGTTGATCGTAGCATTCATCAGCCGCGGGAATCTTGCCTTTTGAGATGGAGATGTAGGTTCCTGATCTCGGAAGCAAGGGCATCGTTCCCCCATCGGATCCCGATCGCACGGACAATGGGGTTTCGGTGACGAATTTGGCAATAAATGCACCTGATTGTTGAGGAGATTTCGCAAATGGCAGCAAGGGAAGTATCCACTTGGATGAGAAATTGGCGATACAACCCGCTTCCCGGATAAGCCCGGTCCGCGGCACAAAGCCTGGGCTGAGTGAGAGGACATGGCAAGCATGTTCTGGACTACTTGATCCAGATTGAGAGCGATTGTGCGTGAGAAAGAAGATGTGCATCAGAAGGAGCTTCGAATCAGCATATGCTGACATCGGCCGATATCCTTTCAGGCTCAGGTAAGTATCCAAAGTTGAGGGTGTTAAACGTTTGTCTACCCGACATCAGGCATGGACGTTGATTCGACGATAATCTGGACACACCTTTAGCAGCCCTCATGTGGAGACCTGAAGACACAAATAGAATACGAGTGGTTTTTCCGGTTGCCAACAGCCGTGGCCAGAGGAGATCAAGGAGCAAGGCCACGGCTAGGGCATTGACTTGCAAAGTCTCGTCATATCCATCTTGAGTAATCCTTCTCTTCAAGCTGCAGATCATTCCGGAACAAAGAACCAAAGTATGGATAGGGCCGCCGAGATAGTTGTCCAACTCGGAGACAAATCTGTGCACGCTTTCCAACCGCGACAGGTCGAGGGGAAGACAATTCACGATGTCACCCTCCCTATCATAACGGTGATTCGCAGATCCATCGCCATATGCATTTCTCTCTGGAGTTCGCGATCCAAGGATGATATGCCATGGCATGCGCGGCTGGGGGGAAGCCAGCAATGTCTTGACAGCTTCGCGCCCCTGTCAGCTTTCGTCAGCAGAGTGCTCCTTTCATGGAACAGTGCTTACTATTCCAGAAGTGCCTGCGTAGTGTTCAGATCCAACTCATACTACAATAGGGTATACTTACCACCCAGAAAGACCACTACGTGTCTATCATTCATTCTTGTGTTGAAGCGGGTATAATCGCGACGCGAATGACGGGCGCCCACATCAGTCGGCAAGCGCAGGTGAACCGAAGTTCACGTGTTGTCCCTGATCACAATCACAGCCACCCAAATTTTGGTGCACGTCCTCTTCAGCAATACGGTCTGCTGCAGATTGCATGCCACAAATGGAGTCGCCCCCGTCTAAAATCGAAAAGGAGAAGAGAGGCAGAAAAGACACCCCGGATTCAATCGCAGGCAAGAAGCGTAAGCGGTCCGAAGTTGAGGTCGAGGGCAAGGATCCAGCCTTAACTGCGGTCAGCGAGGAAATCCCAGTGCCTGGCGATGAAGCCCCGCTCTCTCACAAGCAGCTTCGTAAAGCTAAAAAGAGCTTTTTGAACACAAATGGAGAAGACGTGCAGAGGGACGAAAAATTCAGTAAAGGTTCGAAAGCAGATGTAACGGAAAAGCCCGTACGACAGAACTCGGTCTGGGTTGGCAATCTCGCATTTAAGACCTCGGAGTCCGACATCAAGGAGTTCTTTTCGAAATGCGGGACGGTCACTCGGGTGCACATGCCTCGAAAGACGACGGCTGGATCAAGTGGAGGGATGCGCGGACAGAATATGGGTTTTGCTTATGTTGATTTCGATACAACTGAGAGCCGGGATAAGGCGGTCAAGCTCAGCGAGAGCCCCCTACACGGGAGGAAGTTGTTGATTAAAGATGGTACATCCTATGTGATTGTCACTATATAGAATTCTAGTACTAATCTTTTATGTAGGAAACGACTATCGCGGCAGGCCCACTGCCGCACAAAAGGCTGCTGAAGAAGAGGACCCGACGAGCTCGAAGCCTAACATGACCAAGACCGCTCAGAAACTCCTGAAGTCCCAAAAGCACCCTCCGTGTCCCACGCTTTTCATGGGAAATCTTGGATTTGAGACCACAAAGGAGACGATCACAGAAATGTTGGAAGGTCATCATAAAACTGCGCATGCACCGGCGAAGGGGGTGAATGATGACGAGCAGGAGACGAAGGGCGAACAGGAGACGAAAAAGGAGGACATGCTGGAACTTGGACTGCGAAAGGTCCGGCTGGGGACATTTGAAGATAGCGGTATGTGCAAAGGGTGCGTATCTATGACATATGCACACGCAATCCGACTAAGCAATCTTCTAGATGGGCGTTCTTGGACTTTCACACGACTGCACAAGCACAGGCTGTCCTCATCAATTCTCGCAACCACCATCTCAATGGACGTAAGCTCGTCCTCGAGTTCGCCTCTGCTGACGCACTGCGCCGAGGCGGCCATCCGTCCGCTTTCCCTTCACACAGCAAGGAACAGGAGGCAACACATGGGACGAGCAAGAGGATCGGAGCCGGGAAGAGTCCAGGATATAAGAAGGGTAAGAGAGAACAGGGTCATGCTGGCGATGAAAGTCACGTCGTAGAGGAAGACGTGCCGAGTGCCTTCCCATCTGCGTCAGAGGAGACCGAACAGCCGGCGAAGCGACAGAAAATAGCTCGCGAGCGCCCCGCGGCTGATATGACTCGAGGAGGGAAGGACAGGCCAGTGAGGCGGCTCAAGCCTGGAGCTGCTTTAGCTCTTGCCAAGCAGAATGTCGCCAAAACAGGCGCGATTGTTGCTAGCCAGGGGAAGAAGATCACTTTTTGATAGGGATCAGATGGGAGACTGAATGTGGAGATTGGCGTATATCATTAATCAGTTGTGAATCTCGTAGCAGATGAGACTCTTAATGAAACCTTCGACGCTGCCTCAACGAGTTCATGATTCTCCGGCCTGCTCCTCACCATCATCCTCCTCCAGCTCCCCAATCTGCCACTCCCCACACACATCCCACCGGCTTCCCTCCGCCGCCGCCGACACATACTTGACGAAATACATGAGTTTCGGATCGCGAAGTACGATAAGAAGGCCATTGAACGACGCGGGCTGGGTGAGTAGTGTACCGGTCTCATCTTCATAGTCTTCCTCGGCATCTTCACCCTCTTCACCATTTTCGGCGGGGCCGTCGCCGTTCGCCGCTCGGTCGGCAGCCTCCATAGCGAGAGCTTCTTCATACGCTTCGCGGTCCTCCTCCGCGATCTCAAACCCTTCCTCATCTTCCTCATCTTCCGCCTGCTCTTCATCACCTTCCTCAGGGGCGTCAATATCCCCATCCTCCAGCAGCTTATCCTGCGGTTCCTTTACCTCTTCCTTCCCTGCGTGATCCTGTCCATTTGCACGCTCGCTCGTGCCATTCACCCCTTTGGATCTCGATCCCCCACTGCTCCGGTAGACAGCGGGGTCCTCTTCCCCCTCGTGCGGGGCCATGTAAGATTCCCACCCACCCCAGGCACAGCTCTCCCATCCGCCCATCTCTTCCTCCTCAGTCTCCTTTTCCACAGTTTTGCCTTTTCCCTTCTTGTCGACCTTCGTCTGAGCAGGTTTGGCTTTAGGATGGGGTTGAGGAGTGAGGGACAGCGTGACGTCCAGTCTTGCCTCTTCCTCATCGGCCTGGGCAAGAGTGTAATCCAGTCCCGGCCTGAATCTTCTGGCGATGACATTATGGTTCAGGGGAACCAGACTCGTCACGAGCCCGAGCCACGCTCTGAACGCTGGAGAAGGAAGAAGATCGTCTTGCAGCGAGCGGAGAAGGGTGGTGGCAGACGCCGTTTCGCCGTCTATAGTCTTAGCTGGCGGAAGTGCAGCGGAAGGGTCGAGAACGCAATAACGAAGCTTATGTGGAGGGCCAGCGAGCACCCATCCGTTCCCCTCTCCTGCTGAGTGAGCGGGAATTCTGCACTGCCGGTCAGGGCCAAGACAGTCTGCAGCGTCCTTCTGCCTCAAGGCGGCATCGAGTTTCTCGGCCAAGGCTTCAGAGAGAATGTCCTTGAGCGAGAGGGACGAGTCTTTTGTAAACTGCTGCGAAAGAAGGGTGAGGGAGCGAGGTTGGAGGTAAACGGGGTTGAGATAGGAGGACAGGAAGATGAGCTCTGATTCTGTGAACGGGGTGGAGGGAATAAATATCGGGAGTGGGGAAGGGTAGGGCTTAAGGGCGATGGGAGGTGAAGCTGACTGTCGCAGACAGGTGAGATATCTGGACGACGGCTAAACATGTGAGAACCCACCAGCTGCTCCAGTGAGCTCGCCAATCGCTCTGTACGATCCCGCTCCCTGTCTTCTTCGTACCCTTCCTCTCCCGGCTTTGCCATATGGAACCAACCGCTCACGCTGAGCCTCTGTCTGCCTTCCTTGTCCTCCCCGAGCGCAACTACCACCTCTTCCACACTGTGGAAGCTGTGCCCCGGTTGAACTTCGAAGAAGACGAACTGATTCCATGCAGGCGGGACGCGTTTTGACGGTTTCGTATCCGGCTCCGGAAGCTGGCCCTCAACGGGTGGCAGAACAGGGTAGAGCTCGAGCGCGCCTCCCCATTCGTCTTTCCAATCCGTGCTTCCGCTACCCGAGAGTGGGAGATATAGAATGTATGACACCCGTCGGGTACCGATTACGTCGTCGTGGTTGAGAAGATGGCATCCTTGGCGATAAGAGTTGGAGGACATGTCCTGCTGCGTGCCAGAGAGGGGCCCACAACCGGTCACGCCCCGCACGAAACGCCGGAAAGGAGTAGAGTAGAGCGCGTTACGAAGGCGAAGAAGGGAGGGGAAGAGAGTGAGTTGTTCTGGAGTGAGATAGTTGAGTGAAGCCAGGTCACCTGTCTGGTGTACCTACGATGATGTTAGCTGTCCACTGTTTCAGAATGTTCAACACAGCTGCACCTTATAGATGTCTGTCTCCTTCTCTGCAAATCTCAGCTCGCCTAGAATCTCATCCTTCACCTTCTTTAGAAGGTCGTCATCTACGAGGCGGTCAAGCACCGCGTGCTTATAAGGCTCGCTCGCTTCATACGCATCCGCGAGCTTCTTAACTGTGGCTTGCTCGAAAAGGTCAGGCACGAAGGCCGACGTGTCGTCGGCTTCGTTGAGCTTTTGCCGCTTGGAAGAGCGTGCACCCTCTGACGGCGATGGCGAGCGTGGTCGTATGGTAGGCATTGATCACTTTTATGTGATTGTGCACCTTTCGGAGGAGAGAAGGGTGTATGTACCAAGGAGAGCACAAATTGGAGGAAAAGCAAAACCCGGTTGGAGCGCAAGTGGAAGCTGCCAGTGAGGTGCCGCACTCGGCAAGACCCTTGAACAAAAAATTGTAGTGATTAATCACCGCATGGAGGCCCTGGCTTTGTCGCAACCAAAGAAGTGAGCTCAGGTCATCTACGCTGACCTAAGCTGAATCCGGGCCAGACCACATGTTTCAGTTCAGGAACAGACAAGGATATACGGAATACACAAGCCTGTAGCATGTCTAGTGTAGATGTTGTAGTTAGTCTTTTTAGGTATTTGGAAAATACCATGTACAATCCCCCCATTGTAAACCCATCCAGGCTATCTTTGCCAACCAAGAGAAGCAGGCTAACACACCACATCTTTGTCCCCTCTGTTTAGACTTGATCAAGTAACCCTGTGCTTGTGTGGATTCTATCTCATTCCATATCACATCACAATTTGTCAGCCATTTTTTTTTATCTAGAAGGATACCATCTTTCATATCAAAACAAGAAAAAAAAAGCAAGCCTGTGTAAACAGGCTCTCTTCTGCTCCTCTCCCAAATCCACTATGCCTGCTCCCAAAGTTGCTGAAATAAACAAGGAGCTGAAGAAATTGACAGCAGGGCAGCACCAGGTACTCACCACAGTGCTTGGCGCTGTCCAAGATGACCAGCTGAATATTGGACACTTGTAAGTCCATACCCATAGCATTAGTGATATGGCTGTTAGGGCAACACAGGCTGACTAAGTCTGCTCACCTAAGAGTGCCAAGAGTCTAAGCA